GAGCCGGGGGAGGGGCGTTCCTGCAGGGGTTGCAAGGTAAGGCACGACAGCAGCAGGGTGGCATTACAGGCGAAATTGGCATACCGGTCGTGCGGAAGCGTAGGAAAGTGGGAAGCGTGTGGTTGGTGAGTTAGGATGCTTACGGAGCACTTGGCAGCAGTCCTCAGCTCTTGAGCTCCTGACCGAACTACGAACTACTGACAGGATAGGTGCGGACGTAATGGCAAACAGGTCTCTTGATGCTCCGGATTTACCTACCAGATTTTGTTTGAAGGTCACCGGGCAACCTGAGGCGCCCTTATACACCAGCAGGATGAAGTTGTTGGTGTCCGCGGTACCAGTAGCGTTGGCAGACCAAAGCAAGTACGGGCAGGCCATTTGAACTGTCACATGCAGCTTGCCGTCGGTTGTACGGAAGATTGTTGCCCCTCCAACGACGGTTCGAATCAAGGAGTCGCTGAGCACGACAGCTGACGTGCAGAAGGCGATGCCGCCTTTATCGTTTAGACACACATCGGTGTTCGGGATTGCGCCCTTCAAGGACCTGGGCAGTTTGCAAATTTGACCGTCAACGCCAAAGTTGTCGACCGTTGAGCAAGACCCGATGCACGTGGCGCAAATGGAACCCGGGCCGCCTGTCGCATAGCAGTAATCGTTGTCTTGACTGTTCATTGGCGGTGGCGGTGGCGGCGAGGGTGACATGCTGGGAGGCGGAGGCGGAGGAAGGTCCTGGAACCTGCAAGTGCTGGAGCAGCCATCTCCGTCGTTGACGTTATTGTCGCTGCGTGGGCGGGCGGGGAACAGCAGCAAGACACATAGATGCTGAGACGTGCTTAGAAAACAAGGGTGACAGAATGGGGATAAGCATGCAACACAACCATCTGCCGGGCGAGCGGTGCTGCATGCAACTGCAGCAAACTAGGACGGTATAGATACGACATGCAGTACGTATGTACGGCTGGTGAGGGGGTTCTAGTAAATAGCCTCAAGGACGGGACGTGCGTGCATGGCTGCTGGGTAGGTTGACAGGTTCCATGCATGGCTGCTATGCATGGTGTTAACTTACTCGCATTGCTCATCAGGATCCACGACACCGTCCCCGCAGCGCCAGCAGTCCGGATCTTGTTTGTCGACCAGGCCGTCGCCGTCGTTGTCGATCTTATCGTAGCAATCCTCCGCGGTCAGAATGGCGTTTTGGTTGCACAGCACCTACACCCAATAACCAAAACGCAGGAGGTTTGCTGGCACCGCGTATTATTAGTTACCAGGGTTGCCGGTACTTCTGTTACTGATCACCAGATCCAGCTCATGTGCCGTACGGCGTACGGCAGGCCCTTGCAGCCAGCCAGCCAGCCAGCATTGCCGCGGGGTGCATGCATGGACTGTCTTAGGCAGGGAGCCTGTTAATTAAAGCAACCTAGTGTGCTGCATTGCTCGCCAACGTCACGCATGAATGGAATGAATCCAACCTGGGAAGGATGGAGGGGCTTCATTAAGATAGGGGGCTTCATTAGGATCATTGTTACTTACGGTTGCACGGCAGGTCTGGTTGGGGCCGTACGGTATGGGGCACAGTCGTGCTTGGTGGGCCAGCACTCGTAGTCCGTTCCAGTCGACGGGACCCGTCCAGTAGCCATGCCAATAGATATGGTCCACATTACTGCAGTCATCATGCGCGGGGAGCAGCAATTGTGACATGGCATTATTACCAAAATCACAAAATCACAGGTTCCTACTATTATAACGCTGGGTTGGCTCGCGCCGGCGGCAGATGCGGCATGTAGCAACCATACATGCAAACCGGACGACAGGCCGTAGATAGAGCTGTAGCTGCGCACATCTTATCACACTTACGCGCTGTTGGTTTGGGGGCTGATCTGCGCCATATCCTCCGTAACCTCCACGTCACTAAAGGACACGGACGTGAAGTTCAGGGCCACAGGCAGGAAGCCGTAGCTTTCCTGGTTAAACCCGGCCTGGGGGTCGCAACAAGCAAGTAAGGGACGGCGCGCTGGGTTTCGTGCAGGGACAGGTTCAGGTCGTGGCAAGGTGGGAAGGTATAGGCCTAGGCCCTAGGGCTTGCCACCTAACAACTGTCCTGACGGTTAAACGAGTGTACCCTAGGCCGGTTGCGTTGAAGGCGTATCCCGAAGGACAAGAGTGCAGATGGCGTACCGGTATGCCGTACCATTGCCCCGCCCGTACATGACGCCTGAGGGCCTGACCTATCTAATCCGCCATACCTCATAACGAGGACATATCGATACCTCCACTCATTATTACGCACCTGCGTTAGTACAATCAGGGAGCCTGCACGCTGGTTGACGAAGCTGATGATACGCTGCTTGATTGAGATGAGTGCCCTGTTGAGTGTGGCATTGATACCGCCCACCGTGTTGAGGGTGTTGGAGGGAATGTACAGCAGTTTGTAGCTGCTGAGGTTGGCGGCTAGGACCTGGGCTTCTGTTCTGGCGTAGGTGACGGGAGTCGAGGGGTAGCCTCCCCAGTTCAGCCAGCCCAGCAGCGAGTCCCTGCATACGTTGCAATGAATGGAGGGATGGGTGATATTAGTGACGCAGACTAACCCGGCGGAGAATCGTTCCGCCGGAGGTATGAGTGCCGGTAAGCTCGCTTGCCTGGCAGGGGTCCCCACGCTGAAATCGCCAACTGCCAGGACGCCCTCCGCATCCCCCGGTGCCAGTTCGAGGGCCATTGTGAACACGTTGGCATACAGCCAGCCGCAGTTGCTGTCCTGGCAGTGCCCGTCATCATCTGCGTCGTCGGAGCTAATGAACACGAAACCGCCCTTGCTGCCGCCGATGCGGAAATGGGCTGGAGGTGCAGGAGGGTTGGGTGGAGGTCGGGGCGAGGGAGGGCTAGGAGGGTTGGGGGGTGGGCGAGGAGGCCTGGGAGATGGTGGTGGGCGGGGCGGGGAGGGAGGGCTGGGAGGTGAAGGGCTGGGAGGCCTGGGGCTCGGAGGCGGGCGAGGAGGAGGATCGGGGCTGGGAGGTGGCGACGCCTTGGCAACGACTGCGGAAGGCAAATGAGCGGTTGTTATTACAGCTAAACGGTATGAATAGCAGCCGCCCATGTTACAAATACAGTATAAAGATGCCACAGTGGTGTCGTTCCTGCGTAATAGCGGCGTCAACTTGCAAAAAGTGCTGCAGCAACCGCCGCGAAGCCTCGAAACGTCGCATCGATGACAATGAAGCACCACGCGCGCTGCTGAACGGCCCAGTCAAAACATCTAGCAAATTTATTTCATCATGAATATGAGCTTACGTGTTCGCCTTAAACTCCATTTGTCGTCTAGCCAAGACGTCCCGACCCAACCGCCGTCGTCCGCCGACCGCCGAGTCGGTTCACCGCCAGCTCCGAGAGACACGAAACAGAGAAGTAAAATAGCAAGGATTGCAGTTAAGAAAGGATGCCGGCCCATTGTTGGGCGGGCCCCCCGAAGGCTATCCGTCTGTGTTACTGGTTGAAGCGGCGACTGACCGTTAACAGTGGCACGGATCCGAACATTGTATTTAGTAGGCGCCTTTTTGTGCAGTATAGTATAGCTTTGTGTAAGAGGAAAATTTTATTTGATGTTTCAGGTATGACTTTGCCTCGATATGACACTTCCCGACCCGAGGCTACTCGAGGCCATGTGAGACGCTTAGAGCGCTCCGAAAGGATCGAGGCGAGTCTTACGACATATTTACGGAAATCCCGAGGCAACTTAAGCCCTCTACAAGACTGCCACGACACACGATGCGACTGGAAGCGAAGCCCGTCGTATAGCGGGATGATAGTTGGGAGCATCGCAGGGTTGCGGCTCTGCCCTCAGGCTCATGCGGGATTTGCGGTCGTAACTCCTCCAACCAACGCAGCCTCGATACTTATTCCATGCTTATTCCGTGCTCATGAACGACACAACGTGCATGTGCTAAAGCATGAAGCTCCGGGAAGGATTTCAGGGGCGGGGCCCCCTCTGCGACCCGGTGTGTACCGGTAAGGGGCGGCCCTACCGGAGTGCTCAGGAGGGATGTTTGGGGATTGCCAACATAAGCGGGCTTCGGTCCCCCTGTGCGCCCACATGCAGACCCGGAGGCCCCTCTGCATGCAATGCGGAACACGCTACACGTCCGTTTGTGCTCCCACCTTTCCATGGAGTTGACGGCTGACGTTTCTGCGACAAGGGCTGCAGGATTTCAGCCCGCTGGCATGTGACAGCAGCAGCAGCCAACAGTTCCGTTACCCGCCAACCCCGTTCGTACGTGTACGGGCTAGTATGTATGTGTACGGGCTTGTATGTATGTGTACGGGCTTGTATGTACAGGGTGTGCACGTCGTACAACATATGGCTTCAGGTGTCTACAGGGCACACAACTTCAGTAACCCTCACAGCGAGCCCACATGGGCTATCCTGTTGCCCTGTTATTAGATGCATGCGATTTGCTGAGTGCGCAGTACATGCGTACGGTCGGTGTCCATGGGTACGTTACCGGCTGAAGGGCTGACACTTGTCGGGTGAACATCATCTAGGGTGAACACCATCTAGGGCGGCCTAGAGACCGCAATAGTAAAGGCCGACAGTCAAACTACCAGATCAATGGCCAGCAGCAAGCTAACCTGAACTGAAAAGCTGGTGCATCGCGCATGTGCCCTATGGCCCAGTTAAGTTAGCCCAGTTAAGTTACGGGTAAACTCAAGACCCGTGGGTCGCAGCTGACGAGTGCTGCATTTATCCGGAAATAGTGCAATTTTGGAAGGTTTATAACTACTAATGACCTGTCGGAGCGCAGAACCATTTCGGGGATCACAGCGGCATGCCTCCATAAAGCCAGGTGCCGTTACATAGAGCAGGGAGAACGTCTGCGGTAACAGGTATGCCTTCATTCAATTTATTTAGAAGAACAAAAGTTGGCGCTGTGCCGTCTGGACTATCTGTGGATTGCATGGAGGTGCATTGCGCAACGTTGCGCATTGGGCCCATCCTTCCACGATACCCCCGAAAAATCTACTTTCTTTGTTCACACAGTTCCTGTTCCATATACGCTAAGACCTCTCAATACCGCTTGCAGCTATCGGCACTTCTGTGACCATCCCAGCAGACAAGTTCAACAGGTAGTCCTCAATCCGAAGATATTTTCACCCTGCTTAGTGGTTCGCATAGGTTCTGCGCTCCGTGCTTCTTTTACGACCTCGACTTCGGTAGCAGAGGCCCCTAATGGACCGGTTTGATTCCACGGCTATTTTCTCAATCTTCAAGAATGAAGATGGAGAAAATCTACTTCCCTTCGACGAGATGGCTGCGCTTCTGGACTTAGGCGAGCTGCCAGACCTGAGCGACAACCCTCCCCTGATAAGCAATGTGCCGATTGCAACAGCAGCAGAGCCAGCTGGGCCAATAAAGCAGGAAGGTAAAGTTTATAATGCGTTGGGCTTAAAGCGGGGCACAAACATTCCCCGTCGCGACAAACTAACTGCCATCGCTGTCTGTGACTTGTCACAGCACTGCCCACCGTGAGCGGAATAGGAGACAGCGAGCACACCAGGGCGCAAGGGTGGTAAGTCTAGATACCTCTTCCGCTTCCTGGCGTGGAACGCAGAAGTGCGCGACATTGCCCATTGTAACCATCTGCTGGCTGCTTCCTTCGCAGGGGCTCAAACCACTCTTCTGATGATGGTGGTGACGGGGACAGCGGCGGCTCAGACATGGACGGCCAGCCTCAACACGACAACGACGCTCCCAGCCCTTCCCCGTTTGGTGGCAGCCCCAGCCCAGCTCCGTCTAATCGAACAGGAAGCAGGGGAAAGGCCACGTCGGGCGTAAAGAAGCGACGACAGCGCAATGCAGATCAGATGGAGTCCAATCGCGTCGCTCAGCAGAAATACAGGCAAGTTGGCACTTGCATGCATGACCTTTTCAAGTTGGGCCCCCACACTTTTCCTCCTTAGTTCTTCACCCCTCGCCATGTACGGCCATGTTCTCGTTCTCCTCACTGCGACCTTCGGCTCTCGCCTTCCCTCCTTGAGCTCCCGCCTCCGTACTTCCTAACCCTGCATCCTAACTCCCTGCATCCTGGCCTCCTAACATGCACCGGCACCAGGCAGCGCAAGAAGAAGGAGCAGTCCGCGCTGCAGCAGGCGGTGGACATGCTCACGGCGCAGGTGACGGCGCTCAAGGCGGTGGAGGTAAGGAGGCGGGACAGGTCCGGATGTGCGAATATGTACGGAAACGCGTTGTTTGTCAGACACGGTTCATTCAATTCGGAAACGGAAAGCAACGCGGAAGCAGCGTTCGCAGCAGCTCATCAAGATTCCCCTCCTGTAGAAGCCTTTTGCCCTAATAACTTGCGGTTTCCCTCGGCACTCTTGATTCTTCTCCCTGTTCCTTCCCCCCTCCTTCCTCCCTCTTCCCACCCTTTCCCCTCCCGCACCAGGTCCGCGCCTCCGAGCTCGAGTCCTCCAACGCCGCCCTGCGCGCCTCCCTCAGCCAGCAGGGCGCCTCCCTGGGCCTGCTGCAGCAGCACAGCGCGGCGCAGACGGCCGAGCTGGAGGCGACGCGGGCGGCGCTGGTCAGCAGCCAGGCGCAGGTGGCGGCGCAGGGGAGGGCAATTGTGGACCAGCAGGCCAAGCTGAGGCTGCAGGAGCAGGTAAGGGGGAGGCGGGGGACGGGGGGGGAATCAAAGACCATACCGAACCATAGGAAACCGGGCGGGGGGGAGAGCAGGAGGGAAAAGGAGTGTGTAGATGGAAGTGCGGCGGGGTTTAGAAGCGACGCGGCGCAACTATACCTCGTCATATCCCTCATGCTCACCCTGCTCACCCCTCCCGCACCCCAGGTGATCGCCTCCCTCAAGGACCGCCTCAAGGAGCGCATCGACGAGGCGCTGCAACACGTGGTGCCCGGCACGGTGTGTGAGAAGATGGTGGCGGCGGTCAAGGCGACGCTGTACGGCGCCAAGGACGTGTCGGGACTGCAGGTGGGGGCGAGGAGGTGACGGGGGAGACGGGACGGGGGTGTTGAGCGTACTAGCGAGCCGCGAGGAGGAAGCCGAAGAACGTATGCGACTCAGATGCATAACCCGGCCGCTCCGTGCCGTACCTCACCACCCACCCACCGCATCACCCACCCCTCAAATCGTACCACCCTTCTTTTCCCCCCTCCCCCCTTTTTTGTCTCATTATATTCCCCCCCTTTCCCTTCCCCCCTTCCGCAGGAGACGCTGGCCCAGCTTCCCGAGCAGCTGGTGACGGAGCTGTGCAAGAACATCTTCCACGTGTGCAAGGAGACGTGGCCGGAGCTGCGGCTGAGGTGCAGCCAGCAGGTGGGGGAAGCGTGCATGGCGGGCAGGGCGTGAGGGGGAGGAGAGAGGAGGCGGGCAGGGCGTGAGAGGGATGCGGGTATGGCGGGCAGGGCGTGAGGAGGAGGAGAGCGGAGGAGAGCAGGGCGTGAGGGGGAGGAGAGCGGAGGCGGGCAGGGCGTGAGGGGGATGCGGGTATGTTTGGTGCTGGAGTATGGGCGGCTGCGTGCATGTCATGACGGAGGAAAGTGGCTTGTTTTGACAGGCAGAGCTGCTGTTTTGTTGTGTCTTACTGCTTGGGTCTGCTGGATTGGGGATAAGAGGGATGGCACTGCATTGGGGCATATGCGGGAGCTGTGCATGTTGCGTGCGAGTTGGTCGCGTGACAGGATGGCGGGAGCGCGTGTCATGTCTCAAGTGCAATGTGAGGGACGCCCGGCGTGGCTTCAGGAGGGATGGCGGTGCGGAGGGTGCGCAGCAGGAGGCACCGTTGTGCGAGGGCGGCGGTGGTACAGAGGAACACACCCGCGCAGGGGCGGGGCGGTCCGTTTGCATGAGTCGAGCACATTTCCGTGGTTATAATAAGGAGGGTTGGGAAGGGTGGAGGCGCGGTGCGGCGCAGTGCAGGAGACGGCCTGGATGGTACATAATAGAAACATCTGAAGGCCGTGTCCCCTTTGGACATTTGTTAACGTTTGTCTGTTAAGCCTGTTATGCATGGTTTCAGTTCATAGACCAGTACGACGGGGCAGCTCTCCCGTACGCACGTGTTGCAAGCACATGTGCTGTTGTTTTGTCGCGCATGTGCGAGTTGCGGACTGCAGCCATCTTTGTCTTCACTGTTTAGCCCATGGCATGGTCAACTTGAAACTATAGTCGTGTGTGTATTTGTGTAGAGGCTATAATACACGAGGCGCTCCGGAGCACCCGCGCCTCTATCTGTAACATGTGGTATGCGTGCTAGTTGGTGCCATGGGCGTAGCGACCAATTCCTGCCTAGCGGGTTTAACGTTTTGTTGGATATCGCCGAATCCTAGGCTAAATTTTGATGGGAATCGCCAAATTGGAACGTAACGAGGCTGAATGGAATGTAATGAGGCTCAATGAGTTTAGTGGCGACTGCTGTTTTGAGAAAATGCATGAGGACGCTGGAGGACGTGCAAACGAAAGGTGTTTGCACAACAGGCGGGCACAACAACTGGAGTGTCACTTGCATGCATGCGCGGTTGTTGGTGGCTTTTGTTGCATACCTGCCACGGCAGGCAAATGAGAAGTCATGATGCGTCTGGAGACCCCGCCACTGATGTGGTTGTTGGATGTACTTGGATGTGCGCCGTTACCCAAGGCGGTTAGACGGATGTTAAGCACGAGTGGGGCACGCAATGGTGTGCGCTGATTGTCAGGGACCATGCATGAAAGTGCAATTGTATAAACGCACCTAAGACATGCAAGAAAAAGTGGCACCCGCTGGCGGGACGCACAAGTAGCTTGCAAGATCACAGAAACGTGTGCACGGATTTTATGCCCGGTATAACCCCAGATGGTCTGATTGGGGGCGCTGTCACCTACTCGGTCTTTGTGCTACTGATCGTTCCTGCCCTGCTGGGAGGATGGAACACTTGTGATGTAACGTGCATTACAAATGCCGTACCTTCGCACCATCGCACGTGCAGACGTCCCGGCGCCCACTTTCTAGGGACCCCATCAGAGGCAACTAGCGCCCTCCAATCTGCACCACAAGTTCGTAATCCGCCAAACCTTAGCAGTCGAACATATACAAGGTGCCATGCACACGTCCCGAGTCCGCCGATTGGAGCTCTAACCGCCTCCGAACACTCCTGAGCACGAGGGCCGACAAGCAAACGGCGGTGCTGTTGCTAGGCGTAGTTTCAACCGACAGCAAACCCTGCCTTTCAGCTGAGGCAGGTGCAGGGCGCGAGCCTCCAACAGGCGTGTAGCTGACACACAGGGACGTGGGCTCACAGCAATCGGAGGAGCAGTTGCAGGGTGCACGGTTGGCGGCACAAGCGGCAGTAGCCGCTTTCCCAGTGGTGTGCCCTATCCCCGCAGTGGCTGTGGAAGCATTGTGGCCGTCAGGAGCAGCATGAGGGACGCCGTCATGCATGTCTTCCTGGTGAAGATGTGTTGCGTTTCGAAGCTGCGTGCCCAACAACCTGCCAGTGTTTGGTCCTGGTTGGATTGTAGGGGCGATGAGAGAGCGCAAGCGGCGGATAGTCTTGGACGAGCCGTCGGCGTTTATGATGTTTTGGTGGTTAGCACAGGCGCTGATGTCTCGGCAGACGCCCTCCTCGTTTGTGTCTGCAAACACCCCGGGTGCTGGATTTGATGCATTTCTATGCAATACAGCACCATCGGCAACTAAATCAAGGAATTGATCTGCACCCGCGTTCGTAACAGCGCCATTGTCAAGTTGCCCAGCGGACGATTTTTTTAAGTACTCTGGGTATTCCTGTCGCGCCTGAGCGGTTGCAAGCACCATTAACACGACAAGGACAAGTAAAGCCATCAGCAAGCTATCATGACCACATGCCCTGAAACGCTTCTGTTCACTGAAAGGGTAACTGGAACATAAGACTGGAATTCGATAAAGAAGCCAATACTTCTATTGGCTACACTTCGGTAAGGAGGACTCAAGGAGGATGAGGAACATTCCGTAACACCGTATGGTCGCGGAGCGACCCACGGTTCACTGGGATGGCAGTACCAGTGCCGTCGTACGACTACCAGTGCAGAAAGCTATCCAGCGCCAAAAGTATTGCCTACGCGCACGTATGGCCGATGTTTGAATACCTTTTTGGATACCTGGTCACTTGTTTATGGCCGCAGTGCCCACAGATTTGTTGTTCAGATAGTGCCAAAGGTGCGTGCATCATGCCTGAGGGCCTTGGCATGGCCGCCGAACATGGGCACATTTGGGCACGGCGTGTTATTTGGTGCAGGTAAGTCTGTCCGATAAAGAAGTTTACCATGCTGGGAACGATAGTGGCGACCCTTCGTTGGGGGTTTATCCTGCCTTACAGTATACCGTACGGCGAGGGAAGGTACCTAGCTACCGGTAGCGCAAGGCACATAAGTGGCACGTGATACGAGAGCCAGTGTGGCCCGTTGCAGGCTTATACACTTCCCCCTGGTTTTCCCCCATGTCCCCGTGCAAACATTTCCTAAGCCACTTTCGGGTGTCATCTAGCTGAGCCGGGAACTAGGGTGTCTCTTCGTATGACACCTTGAAGGAGCCTCATGTAAACAGCTGATGTCCTTTGCGCTTCCGCATGAGGGCAATCCCGAAGAGCCAATGTTGTTTTTGGGGGGGAGACCGGGAAACATGCAGTCACGGTCGCTGGCATGGCCGTTAAAATTAAAATCGTCAAGTATAGCCTACCGCGTTTGTGCATGCCTTTGCAATGCAAGTAAAGGGGGCAAACCCGCTGCTTTTGGAACGAGCTCAGCCTCATCTTCTTTTGGCCGCTGCCAGATGGGCCCTGCTAGGAGCACCTCTTAGCTCTTAAGTCCTGTGACTCCCCCTTACCAAGTTCAAAATAATAAAGACTTACTTTGTTCTTCGCTTCTGTTACACTTTCGCGCTTGCTAGCGATAAGTGGTGCGGCCGGGTCCGCGCAGCCAAGCGGTGGCGGGCTTGGCGCAGCATGATATACACTGCCTTGGACAACTTCTATCTTACAGATGAAGAGCTTGCCAATAGTCCGTCTAGGAAGCACGATATAGACGAGGAAACAGAGACGACCCTACGCATTTTCGGCTGCGAGTTGATACAGGAGGCAGGAATCCTGCTAAAATGTCCCCAGGCTGTCATGGCCACGGGGCAGGTGCTCTTCCAGCGCTTTTTCTGCAGGAAGAGCATGCGAGACTACAACGTGCGGGTGAGCCTCATACAAAGACGGCTTCGGCGGCCCTCGGCGGCGCCAGCATTTAGGCACGACCTGCCTTTTGGCCCTTTGATGCGTCTGCTCAGAAACATTGGTTGCGAAGCAGTATGTGGCCTTTGGGGCAAGAGGACTTAGGGAGTTCCTTCAGATCGGTTACTAAAAAGAACGTCCCTTTCTATCCTTCTTATGCAGCGCATGGCTTGTGCTTGCCTGTTTCTGGCAACGAAGCTAGAAGAAAGCCACAAGCGGACACGGGACATCCTCATGGTGTTTGACCGGATCAACAAGCGGCGGGATGGCAGCAAAAGTCTCCCTTTGCTGATTCCTGAAACCAACGTAAGTTAACTGGGTACTACTTGGCACAAGCATTCCGAACTGGAGCCAACGGGTGGGGTACAGTTGGGGAAGGTCCCGAGAAGCTGTGTGACACGCGTCCTTCGCGGTCAACAGCATGTGTGTAGAGTGCGAATGGTGAATATTTGCCCCTCCCTTCCCCGTCATGTGGTACGGCACACTTGCTACCATCTTCTGGTGCCCACATGGCCCGCGTTTGCCTGGTGTGGCTTCTTTCTACCGTCACAACCCCATACCCGACATGCCTTGCCGCGGGCGCTGTTGCACACATGCCTGAACAGTTCCTTTGTCCTTCTTGCGCAGTTGCTGACATGCACAAGACGGTGGGTGCTCGTCTGTGGTGCTCGTGTAGGAATATAACCTGATGAAGGAGCGGGTCATCACGTACGAGCGGATCCTGCTCAAGACCTTCGGGTTCATCATCCATGCCGTCCACCCGCACAAGTACGTGAACAGCTTTGTTCACAGCCTGGAGGGAAGCGACGAGCTGCAGCAGCTTGCGTGGAACATCCTGAACGACAGGTACGGATTCGTGGCAGTCACATCCTTGGGCATTTAAGGCACCGATAAAGGAAAGGGGGTGTGCACGTTGCTGACAGGGCTCCTTCCTCTTTGCCTGTACAGCCTGCGGACGACTCTTGGCGTGCGCTTCAAGGGTCACGTCGTGGCGGCGGGAGCTATCTACCTGGCGGCCCGGCGCTTGCAGGTAGTTGGTGTATGGAGCCCCCTCCTTGGCGCTAAGGTTTAGAGGGCTGTACGCTTGCCATGTACGTATAAAGGTTGATGGGCTTTGTAATGTGCTGAAGTCGCTGTGCTTCTGCACGCGGTAACCCAGCTTTACACATTTGTAAGAGCTGTAGCACATAGCAATAACCCCTCGGCACCGCGCTTGACCCCGCCACTCCCCCCTAATAACAGGTTCCGCTACCGGATCATCCGCCCTGGTGGGAGGCCTTCAAGGTGCCCACCGAGCAGCTGGTGGAGGTGGTCCTCACCCTGCACAACCTCTACCTGCGGCCCAAGGCGCACTACATCGAGGTCAACCCAGACGTCCTCAAGCACCAGGCTATTAGCGGCATCGGAGTGGCGAAGCAGCTAACCCCGGGCCCTGAGTGTAACGACAGCCCGGCAGCCCAGGAATCGAGTATGGTCCGCGGGGACCTTGCATCCGTACTGGCTGTAGGTGGCCCGCCGACGACGGGACCGGTTGCGACAACGACTGCCGGTGCTGCGCCGGTTGCCACGTCGACTGCCGCAGGCCCTGGCGGGGCGGCAGAGATGCTGGCAGCAGCCGTCGCAGCGGCCCAGCAACGGCTGCAGAGCGCTGCGCTTGCGGCGGGAGCTGCGGGAACGACGACAGCTGCTGTCCAGAAGCCAGAACCGGACGTCGTCTCTACGGCACAGGTGAGGCCGACTCTACGTCCTGCGACGTCGTACCGCACCGTGTGGCTGCTATTGCTTGCAAAACTGACAACATGCAGAGTTTGTGTTGAGGCTGATGTTGGGTTTGTATTTTTGTAGGGAGCCAACGGTCAGACGGTTACGGGCGGTCCCGGCAACGGTGCTGCTGCGTCCGGTGGGGATGGAGCTGCAGTTCAGTCGCGGAAACGCAGCCGAAGCCGCGAGCGCAGCGAGGGCGACGAGGGGAAGAAGCGTCGCGACGGAAGCGCCTCACGCAGTGCGTCCTGCAGCAGAAGCAGAAGCCGCAGCAGGGACAGGGGCCGTCGGAGCCGTAGCAGGAGCCGTGAGCGCGACAGGCAGTGGTGAGTCCATAGTTTGCACAGAGCTTCGTAGTCGAAGCATACGGTAGTTCGTGAAGCGCTGAATACGTGCATTAGCTGCGATAACGGCTGTGTACTGTTTGCCACAACGCGGCCTGGATCTCATGCTTACCCCTTGCCGCCCTTTATACGCGTACTCTGTGCGTTGCAGGGACAACAAGCAACGCGGCAATGGGCGTCGCGGCGGCAACCGAAGCCGCAGTCGTAGCCGCAGCCGAGATCGCCGCGAGCAGTACCGGGAACGGCGGGACCGCGATTGGGAGCGTGAGCGTGACAGGGAGCGAGAGCGTGAACGGGACCGGCGAGAACGTGACGGCCGGGGAGAGCGGGCCAGGGACCGAGAGTGGGAGCGAGAGCGTGAACGGGAGAGAGGAAGGGACTACCGGCAGACGGAACGAGACGCACGTGGCGCGGGCAAGGACGATGGCAGAGACGGCAGAGGTGAGTCGAAGGCGGCGTGCCCGCTGCTTGTGTGGACGGGTAACGTGTGTTGCCTGCATTTGTGCGTGTGTTGCCTGCATTTGCACGTTGCATGTTCGACGCCCTATGATGCTTTTTATATATACGCTATTCCTAGCGGCCTCCCTTTTATAGGGTGGACCGGAGCGGACAATTACTTGCACTGAGGGCTTAGCTGTGGCATGCACAATCATTACCGTTTCACCAATTTACGGCATTCGTACACTTCCCCTACGTATTTTCATACGATTTTCAAATCCCCTAAACCTGAGCTAAACTGATCCATCATCCTTTAATTCTCTTCGCAGATCGGAAGGACAGCGTCCTTCCACCGCCACCGCCTCTGCCGCCTCGTCATCCGGACCGCCGGCGCTGATGACGTCGTCCCAGGAAGGGTCTGGAAACACCGGACGACGGCCACTGCTGGTGCTCAGGTGTAGGAGGCTTGACTACAATCTCATGTGCAGGCCGGTTCAAACCCCAGGCTTCATGCATTGGTTCAGGCAAAGCTTGTGCCGGGTAGCTATTGGCAGGGCAATGGGTCTACGCATACACCTTTAAACTGTGAACTGGGACGCTTAGCATGTGCATTCTTACCCTTGATACAAAAACGCGAAAAACATAAATCATTGTTGTTGATGCTGCTGTTGTGACTTAACAGTGTTTGTCTTAGGATGGAGCGAGCTTGCCTTGGCCGAGAATGTTTGAGCAGGAGCGGATTCAACTGTCGGGAGGCCCGTTTGACAGAGTATAAAAAGGCGTATCAACAGGTGGGCGCTGGCATGCCATTATAGACGGGACGGTATGCATATGCATCTGGGACTCGGGACCATTCTCATTTAAACGTGTGGAGGAGTCCAGGAATTCTGGCACTTTGTCGTGCTGATTGCACGCTGTGGGTTACTAGCAAAACTGCTGCTGTGGGTTCCGTACGTAGAAACGTGTGAAGGTCGTGGAACATTACACAACCTACTCTTGCCACTTTCTTTTTCTGTCTGCGCTTGGGGATGCAAGCGGGAGACTAGTAGGGATGTGGATGAATGGTAGTGTGCCCTGCCATGTGCAGGGCCGTGCAGGTACGCCTAAAAGCTGGCGCCGTCGATTGCACAATTTTGAGGTGTTGCTGCGACACACCATCTGCTCAGATGTGAAGGACGCGACAGCAGTCCTACCTTGACTGTAGGTAGGTTCAGCTGCTGTCGAGAGTGAAGTGACAGGTCGAATGGTAGACCATGCGAATTTGACCGCATGACGATGGTACATATTGCACACAAACTCATATTATGGCAATTACAATTTAATTGCAAAAGTGTAACAAAGCGGATTTAAGGTTTGGATGTGGTCCATCTTCATCCTTCAACTTTTCTCCACTGGGCAGACAGCACGACTGCAAAGAATTTTATACTTTACGTTACAGATAATGTCCACAATCTGTTCGACTACGCATGTCAGCCAGCTTGGTTAGCCACAACATCCATCAACAGGAATGCTGATTACGTCCTCCTAGGACAAGACCTCTGCCGTAGTGTCGCTCTACTGCTCATGCCGTAGTGCCGGCGGTAGTGGTCGGCGGGCCGCTGGGCGGGCCCGTGTGCTCCGCGCGGGTCAGCCCCGTCTTCAGCACCACCTTGATGCAGCCTTCCGTCTGTACGGCGACGGGGTTCCAGCGCTTGGGTATGTACCGCAGTGCAGCTAGCATTACAGCTTTAGGTATAATGAAGGAAACATGGGGACGATTCTGGCCTATCAGAGGCGTAGCAACTACATGGGTTGTCATGTCAGAAATGGTATGCCCTGTCGTAATACAGGATCTTCCGCTCTTGCCTTGTCGTTGAAGATCTTGTACGCGTGCGGCGCCTCCTCCAGCGGCATCTCGTGCGTGATGACGATGGTGGGATCCAGCTTGCCCGCCTTGACCATGTCTAGCAGCTGGTGCCAGTACTTCTGCGGGGGATGCAATGTCGGGGCAGGTTGGAAGGGTTCCGTTGCGACCCATGGGTCATGCACAACCGTAAACAGAGCACCAAACGCCTTGCTGAGGTCAAGACAAGAGCTAGGCAAGGGATCACTACAGGTAGCTGAGGTGCATGGGAGCCTCGTTAGAAGCCGCGCAAAGCAACAACCCGCTCATCCCACTACGCCGTATACGCGACCTCCTATCGTCTGCAATACAATGCATATCCAACTTGTGGAGCGCGAACGTTCTGTAGTGCAGCTGGCCTGCATGCGCGCACGTGTGAGCCCACCTGCACTGGAGTCTGGCCGGCCTTCAGCGTCAGCCCCTTCTCCTGCGGTAGGGTACGGCGGCGGGACAGTCTATTGGGTGCACGACCCCGACAAGCCTGTTCAGGCCATCGGCGATGCGGATACTATAAACGTAATGCAGCGTGACGGCATGTGGCAAACCCTGCTGCTGCCTACTTCACTACCGGTAACGTTCCCAACCAGGTAACGTACCATGAAGGCGCCGATGTTGAACCTGCGCGGTTGGGATTGGACATGGTTGGGATTGGAGGGGTGTGGATACAAGGGTAAGAAAGCCAACAAGCCATTAGGAAGGACGAGAAGGCCTGGGAGCAAGCCTACAAGTCAATGTCAACACGGGCACGCCCAGTGAACTTCACACAACCGGCTGCGGCATTAAGCCACATGGATCGGCAAGGGGCTGTACCGGTACGGTATATCCCAATTTCCCAATCCGCCGCCCTGCTGTCCTCATACATCGACCCACCTCCTTACACCAACTCCCAACCGTCACCAGCCTTCTCACCCGTTGGTCCGGCCCACGTACACGCCGATGCAGGCGATGATGCCGCCCTTGCGGCAGCAGTAGATGAGCTCGTTGAGGATGTCAGCAGTGTCAGTCTCAAGCAGCGTCTGCGGGCAGGCGGGCGGGCGTCACACACGGCAGCGTTTTGAATACCGGTATCGGGCGACCCTTGACGGGCTACCGGTAACTGCTGCAGGTTCAGCGTTCTATTGATAAAATTAAACCCCTCCCTTCCCAGCCACTAACCTAGAAAACCACTAACCGTATACACCGTTTCACCGTTTTTTAACACCGTTTCATGGCATGCCTCGTCAGTCAGTCTCCCGAACACAGTTGCCGTACCTTCATCATCGCTGCGTGCACGATGCTCTTGCAGTAGTGGAAGCCAACCGCCTCGATGCACACGTCCGGACCGCCCGGGATCACCCGCTCCAGAGCCTCCTTCACCTGACAGGTTATTAGCCACATGAAGCATTCGAGAACGGCAGAGGTGTGGGGTAAGCGACAGGAATACCGTATAGACAGACAAGGTATATCCTGCAGGTATATCGCACCTCCCCTATCACGACCTCCTAGTTGCGTCCATACATCTCCCTCTCTTCCACATCGTAACACCAAATGTCTGTCGTACATGCCTCTTTTGCTCCTTGCGCTTCTCGCACCCTGTCCGAACCCGCCGTACCTTCTCCTTCCCAAAGTTGACCGTCACCAGCCCAGGCATCTTGGAGGCTGCGTGGTCCAGTCGGTACTGCTGGTTGTCGATCAGGATGACCCGGTCCGCGCCCCGCACCTGGCTGCAGTGGGCGGCCAGGATGCCGCCTGGGGGGGGCCGCGTACATGCGTGCATGGGGGCATGGGAGCATGCATGCATGGTAGCGTGGGAGCATGGGAACAGCAGGGCGACGCAAGGGGGTACGTAAAGTACTGTAAGAAGAAGATACCCAAGTTTTCCCGAAAAAATGTGCGGAAAGTTACCCGACGGTACCCAGCGGAGGAGGGGGAGCAGCCAGCAGGCAAAGGGGGAATTTTGGGAAGGGGGAAGTAAGGCTTTCATAATGAGTGCGCATGTGCTCGCCGGGTATCATCCGTCTTCATCGACGAGCCCTTTTTTAGCTCTCTTACCAAGTTGCATCCCCGCATATTGCATATCCTGCTGTTAACCCCCCAATGCCCCCAAGGACCTTTCTCAAACCTTACAAGCTCTCTACCACACGCCTCCGTAGTCCTTACCCGCTCCGACACCTCCCCCCGCCACCTTATCATGCATCCTCTTACCCGGTCCTGCTCCCCAGATGGCCACCGTCTTGCCGGGCCCCACCTCCCCCAGCTCGGTTGCATACCAGGCGGTGCTCAGAATGTCGGACAGCAGCAACACCTGATTGTCCGGCAGCTCGGAGGGAACGTGCAGCAGGTTCATGTCGGCTGGTGACGGGGAGGAAGGGCGCGGAGGAGGAGGGCGGATGGGAACCGGGAAGGGGAGTAGAGGGCAACAGCGGGTCATTACAAGCGTCGAGGCGGTCCGAGGACACATTCCACAGTCAAACCTCCTCCCAGCCCACCCCCCCAACATTGGAATCCCAGCCCCCCTCCCTCCCAGGCTCACCGAAGGGCACTCGCACGAAGTCCGCCTGGCCTCCCTCGTAGCCGCCCGTCACATGTGCGTAGCCGAATAGGCCCGCGGTCCTGCGGGAGCGACCCATGGGTCATCAGCCATCATCCGCCGGCTCACCTGGAGCACTACAAGACGCTAGTAGCAAGCGTGGGCATACAGCGCTTTCGATTCCCTTCTTAACCGCCGCCACCGCCCCCACCGTCGTCTTTCCTAACCTGCGCTCTCACGACGTGTCGAGCCCAGCCCTGCAACACAAGAAGCGCACCAACCTCGCTCCGTACATCACCTACCTCGCTCCGTACAGCATCTCCTGGTCCTTGGAGGGGTTGGTGATGTCGCAGCCGCTGAACTGCCCGTGGCAGCAGGTACGGCACTGCCCGCATGCGATATCGAAGGACGACACCACCCGGTCACCGGGGCGCACGTTGCGGACCTGACAGCAGCAGGGGATTGGGTAGACTTGGCCGCGGGAAATACCGGTACTGATTCTATCGTACGATCGCAAAACAGCACACCCCGAGGTGGATATGACACCTGCGGCAAACCGCTGGCAATTAACGCTCTCGTCGTCGGTAACCAATGAGCCCCTTGAGTCCCTTTACGCCCACACCCACAACACACGCTCCCGATGCGGCCTCACCTCGGGCCCCACTTCCTCCACGATGCCCATGAACTCATGTCCCAGGATGTCGCCCGCCTGCATGCCCGGAGCTGAACCCAGGTAGAGGTGCAGGTCGGAACCGCAGATAGCGGTGCTGCTGACGCGGACGATGGCGTCGAGCTGTGGGCGAGGAGCAGGTGGTGGGGTTAGGCAGGTAGGAAAGGAAAAGGCGGGGATCGGAGAAGGAGGTAGGGAGGTAAAGGCTGATGCTCTAGCAGCAGCGTTTACCGCAAACGAGGTGTCAAGAAGGGGTGATGGTAGCAGCACCAACAGCACCATGCAAGTAATGACAACGTACGGCACATTCATGTACCGGCGTGTATGCAGGACGCCGACCCACCGGGTCGGTGATCAGCGGTCGCGGCCGCTCCTCCACCACCACCTTCCGGGCTCCCTCCCAGCACACCGCCCGCATGCGGCGCTCGGGGTCCTTGTTGGCGGTCACCGTCACTCCCGCGCCGGTGCGCACCACCTTGCCGCCCAGGTTGCCGCCGGAACGCTGAGGCCGAGAGGGTGGGTGGGTGGGGGAGAGGGTGAGGTGGGTGAGGTCGAGAAGGACGGAGTGCAACCAATCACCAGGAGGGCCACAGCCCACACCTGCTGCAGCAGGCCCTCCGCAACCCTCAGCTGTGGGTTGGGTCTATCTGGTTGTTGGTTTCCCCCTGACGCCCCACCCACCCACCCACCCACCCACGACCCACCTGCGGGTTGGTTTCCAGCGGGTGTCCTATCAGGTCCTGCAGCGTGCCGCCCGTGTCAACCTGGGGGGGATTGGGGGTAAAAAGGATATATTACTAACTGACCGTGTGGTAAGGCGTAAGGTTGGGGCGGTTGAAAGAGGGTTGGCAGCGGTTGGTGCTCAGGTTAAGTTAATGGGTGCTCTAGGAAGGACGTCCTCGGAGAAGAAGTCACCAAAGCCTTTAGTTGTAATTGCAGCCCTGAGCAAACACTGCTAGGATTGGTATGGTGGTTGCGAAAAGACAAGAGCTTTCGGATACGAGTCGTCAAAGCTTTTTCGCATCATTTGTCATGTCCTATGGCGCTATGGGGCGATAAGACAAAAGAGCAATTGTATGGGAATGTAAAGGGAGGAGTCGGCGTCGCATTTTGAACTCGGGAAGCGCAAAGCGGGAGCGACCCATGGTTCAGCGCTGACCGGTCGTAGCCTGGTAGGGATCGCAGCTCCCCAGCGGCGCCTAATTAGGCTGCGACACGCAGCTTTACCTTTGTCTTTGACTCTTCGCCCGTGATAGCGGTTGTGAGCTTCTCCATGGCTTGCTTGACTGCCTCCATGCCTGTCGCGCCTTCTAGGTTATTGCCAAACGCCGAGGAAACTGGCGCAAATTGCTGTTCGAGTAATCAAGCGTGTTTGGTCTACAGCAGTGGAACAGGACGTCGATGCTTTATGTGCGGTTTGTGGTTCTACAGGTTCTATAATCGGTGTGCAAGGCGGGGCCGCTCATCCGTGTACGGCGCATGGCGGTTGACGACAGCGCGTGACGACATCGCGACGCCATAACAGCTGGCAGGCACATCAGCTAGCTCGATCCACAAACCCACAAACCCATCTTATTCAACAAGAACAGGTATGAACTTGTAAGATGCACAGTAAAACGTTCCAAGGCACAAGGGCTTACTTCACATAGTAAGCGTCCGATGGTAAGCGCCGAAAGTCACCAGTGTTACCGCTTATAAACAGTCCAAAGCACCGGCAAAACACAATCGCTTGTAACAAAAGCGTATGCATACGTCGCAGCGTTCACACAACCTTTGGTTCCTTCATTCTAGCTACATCCTGCCCTGCTAACACCCATTGACACGCCCTTTTGACGCAGCTGCGGCGCACTTACAGCGCCCCTTGATCACAGTCCCCTTTCCTTCTTGCTACATGCTACATGCTAAGTCCTATCTAAGCCGCTACCCACCTTCTCCCTCCGTGAAGTCACCCTAGCACTCCTCCTCCTTATTTCCTTAACGGAACATGTGCGTTGGCTAATACCCTACGCCTCTCACACAAGCACACTCCCAGGGCGTTCATGTCAGCCCTTCCCAACGTACACTTCCTGTCCCATCTTTCCCAGCCCGCTCCCGCCCCACTCCCTTACACGATTCCCGTAGAACTGTGTAACTTGCTACAGTTTGCTACCTACAATTCCCGCAGCACCGTCGAGGGCTGGATATACTCCAGCAGCGTGTTATCCCCGCCCGGCGAGAACCGAAACCCCTCCGGCAGGAAGGTCCGCTTGCGGCCCCGCACCAGCGCCCCCAGCGCCGCCTCCCTCATCTCCGCCTCCGTGCGGATGTTGTTCGACGCCCACACCAGCTTGCCCTCGTAGAAGGCGAGGAACATGGGGACGGTACGGAAGCCGTAGCGGTCCTGCAGCGTGTTGCCCTCGCTGGCGTCCAGCTTGTACATCTGGGGGGAGGAGCACGGGCCGCATGCAGGCAGTACAATTCGAGTACAATGTAATACAATGTGCAGGCAGCAACGGCGGCATGCCGTAGGCAGTCGAAGGCAGCACACGCAGTTATGTCGGCAGCACAAGCAGCCCTCTAACTCTTGTACTCTTCCCTTCCCCTCCGCCCCGCTTCCTTTTTCACCCTCGCCAGCTCCACCCGGCCTCCCCTCGCAGCGGGGCACCCCAGCCCCCCACCTACCTTGATCCTCGCCGCTTCGCTGCCCCTCCGCGCCGCCGCCTCCTCCGCCAGCCCCCCATGCGCCGCCTCCACCGCCGCCTCCACGCGCGCACACACGGGGTTCCAGTCCGCAAGCACCGCCACCACCAGCAGCATGTCGGAAGGGGCGCCGGGACCCGCGACTTGGGCGTCAAAGTCCTTGAGCCGCATGAACGGCAGCTTGGCTCGCCTGGGAGGGCAGGAGGGCAGGAGGGCAGGAGGGCAGGAGGGGAGGAGGGTCGGAGGGCAGGAGAAGGAGAGGAGGAGAGGGGTCCATTAGGTAGAGGGGGGAAAGGGGTAAAGAGAGCTTTCGACAGGGGATTGATGCATTGCTGGACTAGAGGACCGTGGAGCAGGTGGGAAAAGAAGCACAGGAAAGAGGTGCATGCATGCATGCATGCATGCTCGCGCCCACCCATTCCATCCTTCCTTGCACGACCCCTTGAACTCCCCACTTACTTGGCCTTGTACCGCTGCTGGTACTGCTCCGCCACCCTGGCCGCACTGGCTGCCAGCCGCTGCTGCGCCTTACTCAGCTCCGGACTGCCGTAGTCCTCCAGCACCCCCCGCCCCCCTCCTCCTCCTCCTCCTCCTCCCGCACATGAGGAGGAAGACAGCAGGCCCCCTGCAGACGCCGACCGCCCCAACGCCAACCCGCCGGACCCACCCGCACCCCCAGTTGCACCCGCCGGGTTAGGGGAAGAGGACGAGGCGGTAGCGGAGGCGGAGGCGCTTGCGGACCCCCCGCCGCCGCCTCCTAGCAGCGCCCCCGCTGACGCCGCCCGGGCAGTGCCGTACAGCACCCGAGGCAGCGTGTCGATAAGGCCCAGCCGGGAGTCCAGGGCTCGTAGGTCGGCTACGGTGCCTGCCAGCTTGCATGCGGGGTCGAGGCGGCGCAGGGCCTTCTTGAGGGAGCCCACGCCGGGGCGCTCCGTCTCCACGTGGTGGGGCCCGGGGGGCACATACACACTGCCGATGGCCTGTGGTGGGGGGTAGCGTGTGAGGTTGGGGGGGAGTATGCCATGTCCTTCTCTTGCCTGCTCCGTACGCGTTGCGTGTCCCCGCGCTGTTTGCCTTGCAACACCACCACACACACCCAACATCTCCAGCTCCCTCCCTCTCCCATGATGTCAGCATGCAAACCTTGGTAGACCCCTGTCGCATGGCTAATCGCCCCCTCTCCTCCCGACCCCAGCTGCTACCATGCTTTCCGTCCCTTTCCCGCCTGCTAACCCAACTACCCGGTATCCGTCCTAATGTGGAATGCGCACTACCCTACCAACCCCCAGCTCAGTTCATCGACCGTAATCCCCCACCTGCTGTCGCTGCCGAATCGCCCCCACATCCAGCTCCAGCCGCCCGCCCAGCCGCGTGGCCACCACCTTGGAGGTGTAGGGCCCCTCGGTGCGGCGTGGCGCCTCGCCACACTGCCACTCGCGCACGCAGTCGCCGGCCTGGGGGGTTGGAGGGGGGGCAGGGAGGAGATAGGGTACAGGGAAAGGTTAGGGAAGGAAGGCCAGCTGCTGTCCAGAAGCCAGAGCCGGACGTCGTCTCTACGGCACAGGTGAGGCCGACCCTACATCTCACCGCACCGTGTGGCTGCTATTGATTGCAAAATCGACAACATGCAACGTTTGTGTCGAGGCTGATGTGGGGTTTGTATTCTTGTAGGGAGCCAACGGTCAGACGGTTACGGGCGGTTCCGGCAACGGTGCTGCTGCGTCCGGTGGGGATGGAGCTGCAGTTCAGTCGCGGAAACGCAGCCGAAGCCGCGAGCGCAGCGAGGGCGACGAGGGGAAGAAGCGTCGCGACGGAAGCGCCTCACGCAGTGCGTCCTGCAGCAGAAGCAGAAGCCGCAGCAGGGACAGGGGCCGCCGGAGCCGTAGCAGGAGCCGTGAGCGTGAAAGGCAGTGGTGAGTCCATAGTTCAAACAGAGCATAGTAGTCGAGGTATACGGTAGTTCACGATGCGCTGAAAACGTGCATTACGGCGATGTACTGTTTGCCACTATGAGACCGTGACGCGACCTTGGATCTCATGCTTCTCCCTTACCACCTTTTGTCCTCGTACTCTGTGTGTTGTAGGGACAACAAGCAACGCGGCAATGGGCGTCGCGGCGGCAACCGGAGCCGCAGTCGTAGCCGCAGCCGAGATCGCCGCGAGCAGTACCGGGAACGGCGGGACCGGGATTGGGAGCGTGAGCGTGACAGGGAGCGAGAGCGTGAACGGGACCGGCGGGACCGAGACGGCCGTGGAGAGCGGGCCAGGGACCGAGATTGGGAGCGGGACAGGGAGCGGGAGAGAGGGAGGGACTACCGGCAGACGGAACGAGACGCACGTGGCGCGGGCAAGGACGATGGCAGAGACGGCAGAGGTGAGTCGCAGGCTGCGGGTCCTTGCTTGATGCTTTCCTAGCTGCTTGTGTGGACGGGTACCGTGTGTTGCCTGCATTTTTGCGTGTGTTGCCTGCATTTGCACGTTGCATGTTCGACGCCCAATGATGCTCTTTATATATACGCTATTCCTAGCGGCCTCCCTTTTGGAGGGTGGACCGGAGCGGACAATTACTTGCACTGAGGGCTTAGCTGTGGCATGCACCCATCCATTACCATGTCGCCAGTTTACGGCATTCGTACACTTCCCGTATCTTTACTCATACGGCCATTATTGCCGTTGTACCTGGACTATTCTGATCCATCCTCCATGAAATCCCTTTCGCAGATCGGAAGGACAGCGTCCTCCCACCGCCACCGCCTCTGCCGCCTCGTCATCCGGACCGCCGACGCTGATGATGTTGTCCCAGGAAGGGTCTGGAAATACCGGACGACGGCCATTGCTGGTGCTCAGGTGTAGGAGACTTGACTACAATCTCATGTGCAGGCCGGTTCCAACCCCAGGCTTCGTGCCTTGGTCCAGGCGAAGCTTGTGCCCGGTAGCTATTGGCAGGGCAATGGGTCTACGCATACACCTTTAAACTGTGAACTGGGACGCTTAGCATGTGCATTCTTACCCTTGATACAAAAACGCGAAAAACATAAATCATTGTTGTTGATGCTGCTGTTGTGACTTAACAGTGTTTGTCTTAGGATGGAGCGAGCTTGCCTTGGCCGAGAATGTTTGAGCAGGAGCGGATTCAACTGTCGGGAGGCCCGTTTGACAGAGTATAAAAAGGCGTATCAACAGGTGGGCGCTGGCATGCCATTATAGACGGGACGGTATGCATATGCATCTGGGACTCGGGACCATTCTCATTTAAACGTGTGGTGGAGTCCAGGAATTCTGGCACTTTGTCGTGCTGCTTGCACGCTGTGGGTTACTTGCAAAACTGCTGCTGTGGGTTCCGTACGTAGAAACGTGTGAAGGTCGTGGAACATTACACAACCTACTCTTGCTACTTCTTTTTCTGTCTGCGCTTGGGGATGCAAGCGGGAGACTAGTAGGGATGTGGATGAATGGTAGGGTTTTAGGGTTGTGCCCTGCCATGTGCAGGGCCGTGCAGGTACGCCTAAAAGCTGGCGCCGTCGATTGCACAAAATTGAGGTGTTGCTGCAACACACCATCTGCTCAGATGTGAAGGACGCGACAGCAGTCCTGCCTTGCCTGTAGGTAGGTTCAGCTGCTGTCGAGAGTGAAGTAACAGGTCGAATGGTAGAACATGCGAATCTGACCGCATGACGACGGTACATATTGCACACACAACTTATATTATGGCAATTACAATTTAATTGCAAACATGTAACAAAGCTGATTGAAGTTTTGGATCTGGTCCATGTTCATCCTCCACCAATACATAAGGTGTTTGCAACTGTTGTGGCTGCAACGTATTTTACACCTTACGTTCCACATTCATATCCACAATCTGCTCAACTTCCGCATGTCAGCCAGCTTGGTTAGCCACCGCCGGCACTACGGCATGAGCGGCAGAGCGAAACTACGGCAGAGGGTTGTCCTAGGAAAAAGGACGCATTCAACATTGCTATCCATCAACAGCAATGTTGAATGCGTCCTTTTTCCTAGGACAACCCTCTGCCGTAGTTTCGCTCTGCCGCTCATGCCGTAGTGCCGGCGGTAGTGGTCGGCGGGCCGCTGGGCGGGCCCGTTTGCTCTGCGCGGGTCAGCCCCGTCTTCAGCACCACCTTGATGCAGCCATCCATCTGTACGGCGATGGGGGTCAAGAGGATGGGTGTGTACCGCAGTGCAGTTAGCATTACAGCTTTAGGTGAAATGAAGGGAACACGGGGACGATTCTGGTCTATCAGAGGCGTAGCAACTACATGGGTTGTCATATCAGAAATGGCATGCCCTGTCGTAGTACAGGATCTTCCTCTCTTGCCTTGTCGTTAAAGATCTTGTACGCGTGCGGCGCGTCCTCCAACGGCAGCTCGTGCGTGATGACGATGGTGGGGTCCAGCTTGCCCGCCTTGACCATGTCGAGCAGCTGGTGCCAGTACTTCTGCGGGGTTTGCAATGTCAGGGCAGGATGGAAGGGTTCCGTTGCGACCCATGGGTCATGTACAACCGTTAACAGAGCACCAAACGCCTTGCTGAGGTCAAGACAAGAGCTAGGCAAGGGATCACTACAGGTTAGAAGCCGCGCAACGCAACAACTCGCTCATCCCACTGCACCGTATACGCGACCTCCTGTCGTCTGCAATACAATGCCTATCCAACTTGTGGAGCGCGAACGTTGTGTAGTGCAGCAGCTGGCCTGCGCGCGCGCACGTGTGTGCCCACCTGCACTGGAGTCTGGCCGGCCTTCAGCGTCAGCCCCTTCTCCTGCGGTAGGGTACGGCGGCGGGACAGTCCCCGACAAGATTGTTCAGGACACCGGCGATGCGGATACTGAAAACGCAATGCAGCGTGACGGCATGCTTGGGGCAAACCCTGCTGCTGCCTACTTCACTACCGGTAACGCTACCAACCAGCAGGCAACGTACCATGAAGGCGCCGATGTTGAACCTGCGCGGTTGGGATTGGACATGGTTAGGATTGAAGGGGTGTGGATACAAGGGTAAGAAAGCAAACAAGCCATTAGGAAGGCCTGGGAGCAAGCCTACAAGTTGATGTCAACACGGGCACGCCCAGTGAACTTCACAAATTGGCTGCGGCAACTAAGCTACATGGATATAGGCAAGGGCCTGTATATCCCAATCTCCCCTGCTGCTGCCCTCAACATCGAACCGAAACCTATTTCAACTCCCAACCGTCACCAGCCTCACCCGTTGGTCCGGCCCACGTACACGCCGATGCAGGCGATGATGCCGCCCTTTCGGCAGCAGTAGATGAGCTCGTTGAGGATGTCCGCCGTGTCGGTCTCAAGCAGCGTCTGCGGGCAGGCGGGCGGGTGTCACAAACGGCAGCGTTTTGAATACCGGTACCGGGCGACCCATGGCGGGCTACCGGTAACTGCAGGTTCAGCGTTTTATTGATAAAATTAAACCCCTCGCTTCCCAGCCACTAACCTTGACAAACTGCTTACACACCGTTTCATGGCATGCCTCGTCAGGCAGTCTCCCGAACACAGTTGCCGTACCTTCATCATCGCTGCGTGCATGATGCTCTTGCAGTAGTGGAAGCCAACCGCCTCGATGCACACGTCCGGACCGCCCGGGATCACCCGCTCCAGAGCCTCCTTCACCTGACAGGTTATTAGCCACATGAAGCATTCGAGAACGGCGAAGGTGTGGGGTAAGCGACACCAATACCGTACAGACAGGCAAGAAACCCGAAGTAAGGTGGTCTCCCGTAGGTATAGTGCACCTCCCCTAACTCGACCTCCTAGTTGCGTTCATACCTTTCCCTGTATGTCGTACAATTGCTCCCTGCGATTCTCGCAACCTGTATGCCGTACCTTCTCCTTCCCAAAGTTGACCGTCACCAGCCCCGGCAGCTTGGAGGCTGCGTGGTCCAGTCGGTACTGCAGGTTGTCGATCAGGATGACCCGGTCCGCGCCCCGCACCTGGCTGCAGTGGGCGGCCAGGATGCCGCCTGGGGGGGGCCGCGTACATGCGTGCATGGGGGCATGGGAGCATGCATGCATGGTAGCGTGGGAGCATGGGAACAGCAGGGCGACGCAAGGGGGTAAAGTATCGTAAGAGGAAGAGACCCAAGTTTTCCCGGAAAACGTCAGGAACCCAAGTTACCCAACACATACCCAGCGGACGAGGGGGATCAGCCAGCAGGCAAAGGGGGGATTTTGGGAAGGGGGAAGGCTTCCAGAACGAGTGCGCATGTGCTCGCCGGGTATCATCCGGCTTCATCGACGAGCCCTTTTTCAGCTCTCTTACCAGGTTACATCCCCGCTGCGCATCCTGCTGTTAACCCCCCAATGCCCCCAAGGACCTTTCTCAAACCTTCCAAGCTCTCTACCACACTCCGCCTCCGTAGTCCTTACCCGCTCCGACACCTCCCCCCGCCACCTTATCATGCATCCTCTTACCCGGTCCCGCTCCCCAGATGGCCACCGTCTTGCCGGGCCCCACCTCCCCCAGCTCCGTCGCATACCAGGCGGTGCTCAGAATGTCGGACAGCAGCAGCACCTGGTTGTCCGGCAGCTCGGAGGGAACGTGCAGCAGGTTCATGTCGGCTGGTGACGGGGAGGGAGGGCGGATGGGAAGCGGGAAGGGGAGCGGCAAGGGGGCAAAAGCGGGTCATTACAAGCGTCAAGGCGATCTGAGGACATAATCCACAGCCAAACCTCCTCCCTCCCAGACTCACCGAAGGGCACTCGCACGAAGTCCGCCTGGCCTCCCTCGTAGCCGCCCGTCACATGCGCGTAGCCGAATAGACCCGCGGTCCTGCGGGAGCGACCCATGGGTCATCAGCCATAATCCGCCGGCTCATCTGAGCACTAAAAGACGCTAGATGGTAGCACGCGTGGGCATACAGCGCTTCCCGATTCCCTTCTTAACCGCTGTCGCCGCCCCCATCGTCGTCTTTCCTAACCCGCGCTCTCACGACGTGTCGAACCCAGCCCTGCACACAAGAAGCTCACCAACCTCGCGCCGTACATCACCTACCTGGCGCCGTACAGCATCTCCTGGTCCTTGGAGGGGTTGGTGATGTCGCAGCCGCTGAACTGCCCGTGGGAGCAGGTACGGCACTGCCCGCATGCGATATCGAAGGATGACACCACCCGGTCACCCGGGCGCACGTTGCGGACCTGGCAGCAGGGGGGTTTGGGTAGACTTAGCCGCGGGAAATACCGGTACTGGCTCTGTCGTACGGTCGCAGAACAGTACACCCCGCGGTGCATACGACACCTGTGGCAAACCGCTGGCACTTAACGCTCTCGTCGTCGGTAACCAATGAGCGAGCCCCTTGAGACCCTTTACGCCCACACCCCCAACACCCGCCCACGATGCGGCCTCACCTCGGGCCCCACTTCCTCCACAGTGCCCATGAACTCGTGCCCCAGGATGTCGCCCACCTGCATGCCAGGTGCTGAGCCAAGGTAGAGGTGCAGGTCGGAACCGCAGATGGCGGTGCTGCTGACGCGGACGATGGCGTCGTGCTGTGAGGTAGGAGCAGGAGGTGGGGTTACGGTAGACAGGAAGGAAAAGGCGGGGATTGGAGAAGGAGGTAGGGAGGTAAAGGCTGATGCTCCAGCAGCGTTTATCACAAACGAGGTGTCAAGCGGTGTGTACCAGAAGGAGTGTTGGTAGCAGCACCAGCAGCACCATGCAAGTAAAGACAACGTACGGCACATGCATGTACCGGTACATATGCAGGACGCCGACCCACCGGGTCGGTGATCAGCGGTCGCGGCCGCTCCTCCACCACCACCTTCCGCGCTCCCTCCCAGCACACCGCCCGCATGCGGCGCTCGGGGTCCTTGTTGGCGTTCACCGTCACTCCGGCGCCGGTGCGCACCACCTTGCCTCCCAGGTTGCCGCCGGAACGCTGGGAGAGGAGCGGGTGGGCGAGAGGGTGAGGTCGAGAAGGACGGAGTGCAATCATTCACCATCTATGAGGACAAGACCACCTGCTGCAGCAGCCCCTCCACAACCCTCAGCTGTGGGTTGGGTCTATCTGGTTGTTGGTTTCCCCCTGACGCCCCACCCACCCACCCACCCACCCACGACCCACCTGCGGGTTGGTTTCCAGCGGGTGTCCTATCAGGTCCTGCAGCGTGCCGCCCGTGTCAACCTGGGGGGGATTGGGGGTGAAGGGGAAACAACTAACTGACCGTGCGATAAGGCGTGGGATTGGGGCGGTTGCAAGAGGGTTGGCAGCGGTTGGTGCTCAGGTTAATGGGTGCTCTAGGAAGGGGGTCCTCGGAGAAGAAGTCACCAGAGCCTTCAGTTTTTATTGCAGCCTGAGCAAGCACTGCTAGGAATGGTTAATGGTTGCGGAGAGTGCGAAGCTTTCGGATACGAGTCGTCAAGGCTCTTTCGCATCATTTGTCATGTCCTATGGAGCAATAACGATTAAGAAAAAATGCATGGAAGTGTAAAGGGAGGAGTCGGCATTGCATTTTTAGCGACCAGAAGCGCAAAGTGGGAGCGACCCATGGTTCATCGTTGACCGGTCGAAGCGTGGTAGGTTCACCAGCGGCGCCTAATTAGGCTGCGACACGCGGCTTTACCTTTGTCTTTGACTCTTCGCCCGTGATAGCGGTTGTGAGCTTCTCCATGGCTTGCTTGACTGCCTCCATGTCTTTCGCTCCTTCTAGCTTATCGTGAAACGCCGAGGAAACTCGAAGGGATTGGCTTGCATTGCTGGAGTGAAGTAGGCGCGTGTTGAAGGGGATGCAGATGTTGCTGTGCTACTTTGCTGTCAGTTCTGGTGCGCTGTGTTTGTGTGTTGCTTGTGGCCGCTGTATACAGCTTCCGACCTCCGGGTTCTCAGCTGGGGGGGAGTTGTACTGTCGGGCCTCCGTCGCAACAGCACGTGATACGTCATGACAGCTGTCATGACACAGCGCGTGCTTGTCATATCGTGTGGCTTAGAGTTGCCGTACGTGTTCGTCCAACCGTGTCTCGCGTATGCGACTTGTGGTCTATCTAGAGGATGTGATGATAGTGCCATTGTATGAGTAAATGCCGGAACTTGCGTGACTACTAGTGTAAGCGCTTGGCCATGGACATGATGTCATGCTTGCTGTGCGACTTGTCATTAGGAAAGACGCTGTTACCGATGTTTACATCTTGTTGTTGTCTGTTGATTTGTCTGCGACAACGCACCTCTTTGACTGGACAAGAAGGATCGGCGCCGGTGAGCGCCTGGCGCAGCTGCAGTTCCACGTGCCAGCAGTCCGACTCGGCCAGGGGGTCGCCCTCTGGGGGCTCGTACCGTTCCATGGCCGCCAGCGCCCAGGCCGCCAGGTCCGGCTCCGACAGGAGCTCGTCAAAGGTCATGTCGGCTGCACAGATGGACGCCAGTAGCAGCCAGGCGGTCGTCCGGATGGAAGGTGGCTCTCCGGGCGCCTTGCTGAGCTCCCGCAGCGCGTACGCCACCCACACCATGAGGCCATCCGATGGCTCCAGCCAGTCTTCAGTTAGAACAAGCCCAGGGTCGTCATGTGCAGCTGCGGACTCCGAGCCCGCAGCTGCCGCTGACATTTCGCAGACCGACACCTTGACTCGCTCCACCTCCGCTGTGTACTTCTCCAGCAACATGTCAACCAGCGGAATCAGCGAGTAGTGTAGCCCGATCACCTTGCCTAGTGCCTGGTCACGGCGGGGCACGCCACGTCTGGGCGGGGGCCAGCGGAGCGGAGCACCACTCGCCATGGAGAACCCGGCAGCCAGCTGCATACTTGGTTTTGTTATGTGGCAATGTCCCTTGAATGCCGCCTGGAAGCTGCGCCCTGCTACGTCACTGACGTCATTGATAAGGAGGAAGCTCGCTCCCTTGCTTGCTCTTGACGAGCTGCTGACATATTGCAAGCCATCTTTTTCATAAATGTCTATATCTATACCTGGTCGAGGTGCACCTGGGAAACGGTGCAGTGCAGCGCTAGGCAATTCTGAAAGCGTAGCCTGCTGCATGTTAGGCAAATGCTAAAATTTCGTCTAGATATTGAACATCTCGTGCGCCTGCGAGCCGGGCGAGTCAAGAGCGATGTCAAAAGATGGACCGATGTCAACGTTTGGGACCACGAGACAGCCTCGCGCTTTGTGCCCCCCATGGCGGCGTGCAGGTTACCGTCAGGACAATTGCGCCCGTACGGAATTGCGCCCTTGCACGTGGACGTTTGCAAACGGTAAAAGCATCTTTCTAAAACAACGTTTTACTGGCTAGCAAACTAGCTTAGCTGGTTAGGCTAGCTTCCTCGCTTTCTTGGAAGCTGTCAACTGAGCAATCGAACCGCACCTACACTTTGCTGCGTCTTTTGGCTCTTTCCTACAAGAATTGTATTTGGGTTTTGTCCTAGGACGTTACTCAATAATGAACAAAGTCGGCTGAGAGCCAGAAGCCGCACAAGGGCGTCATGCGAGTGCATTCGGGAGTGGACACGCTGTTCTCACAGTGCCAGTTCTTCCAACAACGATTAAAGTACCATAGAGCCGCAACGTGTGCTTCAAATCCGTCATCCTTGGCAATGAGCTGTGCACACACCGTGTTCATGCCCCACAGTGCGTGCCCTTGGGTATTAGCTCTTCCTTTCCCCGGACGATAGCCCAAAGCCGTAAACTGCACAACCATTACCTGTGCTGAAACATAAGCTAAGGAACACAGCCTAAGGAACTACAGGAAACCACCCGCACCCAGTGGAGAAGCAAGGCACCGTGCGTGATCTGTCGCTAGCGAGCGACAACTTAGGCTCTGTCAGTGAGCTACGCGAGCTTCAAGCACGGTGCTTAGGTCTCGAGCCAGTTACCTCCCTATACTTCTAAGTAAATCTTTTACAGGTAATTCTAGTTCACTATAGTACTGGGCGAAGCCGGTGGCGTCGCCATACGAGGGTCTAAGAATACCCAGCTCGGTTTTGAGGGGGTGTGGTCAATGGGTGCGCTTGCGCATGCACAGCTCCTTGTAGCCAGGCAGCAAAGCAGGGAACCCATCCATGTCGGTGTCAGCACTGCTAACGCAGCCCACTACGTCCCGTTCATCGATATAACAACCCATGGCGGCTTCTAGTTACAGGGCAGCACCGGGACAATACTCCTTTAAATGCTGTTCGAAGACACGCACTGCCTTGGAAGATGGTTCGTTTACACACAAGCCGCAAGTTACGGACAAGTGGAGGAAAAGCTAAAGCCCACACAAATCGGACTACATCTTTTCATCACTTACGCATCCACTGAAAAGCGACCTTCACCCGTCGTACGCAGCCCGAAAACAAACCAGCTTGCCTCAACCACAGAGACACAGTTCCCATCCCCATACCCATGGAAAAACACCAAGACTTCAACGCGCATGTAACACACAAACTCCGCCCAAAATAGGACCTCGCCATGTCAAGGTTTGGTACGCTTAGAATGCCAGACCCATCATGCGCTCCATATCACATGCATCAACATGCATTACCATTTATAGACAACCCTTCCTTGCATCACCGGACTCGCCACAATGCCACCACTCTACCGCCAAAGAACTCCCGCATGTTCAGCCTGCACCATACCTCCTTATCACCATACCTCCTTAACACCATACCTCCTTATGACAAGCCAGCTTCCTTTTCTTCAACCCACTTACATCGTGACAACCGCCGCCAACAACACATGACATGTTCCGCGTCGCCACAATGCCACCACTCTCCGGTCAAACAAGTACCGGATGTTCAACCTGCACCCATTCACACATTCACCATACCTCCTTACAACAAGCCTTTTCCATTTTCCCGTTTTCCTTTTCCCACTTACCACGTGACTACCGCCAACAACTATAGCACCCTCACCTTCGACTCCTCAACTTGACTGCTGACCTCTGGCCGACGGGCTATGTTTTCTCTACAGCGTAAATTAAAACGCCTAGGTCTCCTTGTTCCTGCTGTTGCTGTTAAGTGCTTCGACGTGCAAGTCCGCTCCATTTTGTCGTATGGTGCTCAGGTCTGGGGGCCTGATGCGGTACTGAAGTTGATGACAGAGTGCGAGAACCCCACGGGTTACTTTGACAGATCTTTGCGGGACCCTATGGTGCAATTGCAAAGGGGATTTCTTCGGGAGGTTGCGGGTGTGAAAGTCTCTCCGGATAAGCTGTTGTTTAAGGAATTTAACCAGCGTCCTCTGCACGTCTTCTGGTTGGAACTGTTTTTGAGGTTTTGGAATGACCTGGCCAAGCAGAAGGACACGATCTACCATCAAGCGTTGCGCGGTGAAATTCGTTCAGCCCTCAGCACTGATCTCCAATGTGATGGCTGGGGTTCTAGTGTGTTGAAAATTCTAAAAATGTTAGGGACGGATTTGACGGTTGTGGGGGAAGAGTTGGACTTGGATGCGCGTGTGGAACGTATTGCAGGCACGGAGTTAAACGTATCTGCTCTCACTCATAAGTTTGCTGACAGAATGGGTGCGGCTTGGGAGGATAGGAGTTTAGAAGTTGACCCGCGGCTTTTCAACCCAGTAGACCCCGTACCAGGGGTTGGAGTTAAGATGTGCCGCTACAAAAATTGGATGGGTGGTCCGGTTGACAGGGGTTACATTACTCAGCGGCAGCATGTGAATTTGATGCGTTTTCGGCTGTGTGTGTGGGGCATAGAAGCCAATCGCCCAAGGGGTAGGCAGCGTGTAGCGCGTCTTTGTCCTATGTGTACGGTGCAAGGGTCACCTGGGAGAGTGGAGGATGAGAAGCACGTTCTTATGGAATGTCCCGCTTACGATGATTTGCGAGAAAAGTTTTGGGAAAGTGGCGTCTCACGGGATGCTGAGATGATTACTGTCATGGGCATGGAGGATCAGGCATTGCTTGCTAGCGTGATCACTAGCTTGCGAAGTCGTAGAATTGCGCAGACAGGGGTTATCATCTGATTAGCGTTTGATTAAACGTTTACTTGTGTGTACTTTTCTTCGTTTTCTTTTTCTTGGTTCTTGCGTTTTGTGCTCGCGATCCATGAGCCTTCTGGCTCGGACGGATCTTACGAGCTCTGTACGAAGCTTGTAACATACATACATACATACCGTACACCTTCGACTATCGCCTACAACTGTTGCCTATACATTTTCCTACACCTTTTCTTCAATCGAGTAATTAACCGTGTATGGTCTACAGCCGTGGAACAGGACGTCAATGCTGTATGTGCGGTTTGTGGTTCTACAGGTTCTATAATTGTTTTGCAGGGCGCAGACCGCTCATCCGTATACGGCGCATGGCGATTGACGACAGCGTGTGACGACATCGCGACGCCATAACAGCCTTGTGGCCGGCATCAGCTAGCATAGTTCACAAAATACATCTATTATTTCAACAAGATCAGGTATGAACTTCTAACAAGGAAAATTCCCGAGGCACAAGGGCTTACTTCACATAGTAAGCGTCCGATGGTAAGCGCCGCAAGTCACCAGTGTTACCACTTCCAAACTATCCACAAAGTCCAAGTATAAGTACCAGCAAAACACAAACGCTTGTAATATGAAGCGTATGCACATGTCGCTGCGTTCAGACAACCTTTACTTCCGTCGATCTAGCTACATCCTGCCCTGCTAACACCCATTGACATGCCCTTTTGGACGCAGCTGCGGCGCACTTGCAGCGCCTCTTGATCCAAATCCCCTTCTTGCTACATGCTACATGCTATGTCCTATCTAAGCCGCTATCCACCTTCGCCCTCCGTCAGCCACCCTAGCACTCCTCCTCCTCATGTCCTTATCAGAACATGCGCGATGGTTATACCCTATGCCTCTCCCCCAAGCACACTCCCCGGGCGCCCATGTCAGCCCTTCCCACCGTACACTTCCTGTCCCATCTTTCCCCAGCCCGCTCCCACTCCCACTCCCTTACACGATTCGGTATAACCGTGTAACATTTACACGTATGTCACTTGCTACCTACAATTCCCGCAACACCGTCGAAGGCTGGATATACTCCAGCAGCGTGTTGTCACCGCCCGGCGAGAACCGAAACCCCTCCGGCAGGAAGGTCCGCTTGCGCCCCCGCACCAGCGCCCCCAGCGCCGCCTCCCCCATCTCCGCCTCAGTGCGGATGTTGTTTGACGCCCACACCAGCTTGCCCTCGTAGAAGGCGAGGAACATGGGGACGGTACGGAAGCCGTAGCGGTCCTGCAGCGTGTTGCCCTCGCTGGCGTCCAGCTTGTACATCTGGGGGGAGGAGCACGGGCCGCATGCAGGCAGTACAATTCGAGTACAATGTAGTACAATGTGCAGGCAGCAACGGCGGCATGCCGTAGGCAGTCGAAGGCAGCACACGCAGTTATGTCGGCAGCACAAGCAGCCCTCTAACTCTTGTACTCTTCCCTTCCCCTCCGCCCCGCTTCCTTTTTCACCCTCGCCAGCTCCACCCGGCCTCCCCTCGCAGCGGGGCACCCCAGCCCCCCACCTACCTTGATCCTCGCCGCTTCGCTGCCCCTCCGCGCCGCCGCCTCCTCCGCCAGCCCCCCATGCGCCGCCTCCACCGCCGCCTCCACGCGCGCACACACGGGGTTCCAGTCCGCAAGCACCGCCACCACCAGCAGCATGTCGGAAGGGGCGCCGGGACCCGCGACTTGGGCGTCAAAGTCCTTGAGCCGCATGAACGGCAGCTTGGCTCGCCTGGGAGGGCAGGAGGGCAGGAGGGCAGGAGGGGAGGAGGGTCGGAGGGCAGGAGAAGGAGAGGAGGAGAGGGGTCCATTAGGTAGAGGGGGGAAAGGGGTAAAGAGAGCTTTCGACAGGGGATTGATGCATTGCTGGACTAGAGGACCGTGGAGCAGGTGGGAAAAGAAGCACAGGAAAGAGGTGCATGCATGCATGCATGCATGCTCGCGCCCACCCATTCCATCCTTCCTTGCACGACCCCTTGAACTCCCCACTTACTTGGCCTTGTACCGCTGCTGGTACTGCTCCGCCACCCTGGCCGCACTGGCTGCCAGCCGCTGCTGCGCCTTACTCAGCTCCGGACTGCCGTAGTCCTCCAGCACCCCCCGCCCTCCTCCTCCTCCTCCTCCTGATGCAGACGAGGAGGACAGCAGGCCCCCTGCAGACGCCGACCGCCCCAACGCCAATCCGCCGGACCCACCCGCACCCCCACCAGCAACCGCCGGGTTGGAGGAGGAGGACGAGGCGGTAGCGGAGGCGGAGGCGCTTGCGGACCCCCCGCCGCCGCCTCCTAGCAGCGCCCCCGCTGACGCCGCCCGGGCAGTGCCGTACAGCACCCGAGGCAGCGTGTCGATAAGGCCCAGCCGGGAGTCCAGGGCTCGTAGGTCGGCTACGGTGCCTGCCAGCTTGCATGCGGGGTCGAGGCGGCGCAGGGCCTTCTTGAGGGAGCCCACGCCGGGGCGCTCCGTCTCCACGTGGTGGGGTCCGGGAGGCACATACACACTGCCGATGGCCTGTGTGTGTGGGGGGGGGGTATACCGGTACCATGTTCCTTCTCTTCCCTGCTTAAGCGTTGCATGTCCCCGCGCAGTTTTCCTTGCAACAAAATGACACCGAACATCTCTCGCTGACCCGCTTTCCCCCTCCTCCATGATGCGAGCATGCAACCCATGGCAGACTTTTACCACATGGCTAACCCCTGCCTATCCTCCTTCCCCCACCTGCTACCATGCTTTCCGTCCCTTGCCCGCCTGCTAACCCAACTACCCGGTATCCAGCCTAATGTGGAATGCGTACTAGGTACTACCCTACCACCAACCCCCACCTGCTGCCGCTGCCGAATCGCCCCCACATCCAGCTCCAGCCGCCCGCCCAGCCGCGTGGCCAGCACCTTGGAGGTATAGGGCCCCTCGGTGCGGCGGGGCGCCTCGCCACACTGCCACTCGCGCACGCAGTCGCCAGCCTGGGGGGTTGGAGGGGGGGGCAGGGAGGGTGGGGGAGGAGGAGGCAGGGTAGGGTACAGGGAGAGGTCAGGGAAGGATGGCCACGGAGGAGGGTTGGAGAGGTGGGCTGAATAGGCAATCCGAGGTCTGGAGCCCTGGGGTCTTCCAGGCTAAGAGGTAAGGCTAGGAGGCCTGGAAGAGGCCTGCAAGAGGATACCATGTTGATATTGGCACGATCCCGGTTCACCTGGAAGGAAGCCATGATGTCCTGACGGCTGACGAAGCGCACCGTCAGGCCGGGGGCGGCGTCCAAGCTGTGTGAGGGATGGGGAGTGAGGGGCGGGGTTGAGGATGAGAGGGATGGGGATGGGAGCTGACATGCGGGCTGGCCATCCGCGTCCCAGCGTCGGTTCCCGTCTAACGGCATCATGGCTGCTACACAGGGTTCATGGCGTATTAGGGGAGGAGCTTACGTGATGACTTGTGGGATGCTCCTTGGGAATTTCCCCCGGTCGATGACATTTCCTTTGCTGTCAGATAACGTGTATCCGGTTTCCGTTACGACGAGCCTGTCAAGGGGCGCAGCGAGGGGCAGGGACCGGGGTAGGACTGGACAGGCCAACCAATGTAAGGGCAAGGAAACGACTAAGGGCTGTGCTCATAGAAGGGGGCCAACCGGTCGTCACTTGGTGTTGGTCTCCATTTAGTTGGTTGCACATGCACATGGAAACAGCTAGCAAGACGGAACCTCCCGTCAGGACGATTACTGAACTAATAAACAAATAGGCTTCACAAATAACTCCATGGCGTGTAAAGGGCTGAAGCGTAGACTAGCCGCGTTCACGGAAAATGGACACAAGAAAGAAGCCATATAACCACCCATACATAGACGCACCAGGGTCTTCCAGATGGGTAGTAAACAAAGCCAATTCCTTGCGCGTTAAAGGAAGCGATAATTTGGGAGGACTTGCTGTCACTGAAGAAAGTAATTATTTGCCCAGAACCTTGTTTACATACAACGACCGCTATGTTACCACTAGGATAGAATATGGTGCCGTCGCCTGTTGTGGGATTTACTTTGTCAAGGTCGGAAAGGGCTGGCGGGGCTCCGCCCCCCGAAATTGAGGGCTCGTTGCCTCCAAATGCCATTTTAAGTCGCATTAAGTCACTCAGAAATTGATTGGAAAGTTGATTGCGCTGCTCACTCGAAGTTATGTACGGCGCATTACTATCCCAACAAGCTGCACTCTTTTCCTCGGTGCATTACGTACACCGGCCTAGTGCCTGGGCCGTATCAACCATTATATGTGCGGTGAGAGCTAGCAACAGCTTGTGATCCTGGCACTGCGAGCCATGATCACCAAACGGACACTGTTGGAAAGCTGCATAACCTGGGACGCTCCTGATAGCACGTGCAGTTACAGAAGGCATCGCGTTGTCAGTCACAGGGTGAAGCCCTCACCATCAACCACCTATGCCTTCCTGCAAGGCCCACGAGGGCTACAACCGGATGCCGTAATCACATCGCACGCCCTATCTAGGTTCCGGTACATGCGTAGCTTGTACCGGAGGGAGGCCCACCATACACAGTAGCATTAGTCTTCAACAAGAGGGATTGAGGAGGCTACCGCAACACCTAAGAACACCCCAGCAGGTTCAAAGGCGACCCAGGAGGCAAGTCACCGTGCCTGCAAGCATGACATGGGTGGAAGAGCAAACGATCCCTTTAGAATGCGAAAGTTACAAGGGGGACCGGAGTTCCTGAAAGCCTGAGAGCCGTACAAGCGACCCAATCGCTAGCGGTACACGCTATCCCTTTAGATAATACGGATATCAGCATGGAGCCAGCAATAAGATACCGGCAAGCAGGCAGCAACGCGTCTTGGAAGTTGCACGAAGCACACGAACATACCTGTAAGGCACGCAATCGACCGGATTGCCATTTCGCATGTAGCTGCACGGTGGTGGTACGGTACGGCTTCCTCAAGCCCCAGCCTAGCAGGCGCTAGCCGGCTAGGCGGTTAGCTGCTCCTGCCCGCTGGAGCCCCCTGGCTGCAGGAGTAGTCGTCTGCTCTCCTCATTCTCCTTCCAGGTGGACCCATCCTCGAAGTATTCTTTCTTCCAAATGGGCACGGTGGCCTTCAGCTCGTCGATGGCCCATGCCACGGCCTATGCAAGCATAATCAGCAATTCCATTGTTGGCCAATAGATTTTGACAGCAAACAAGCAAGATTAGTAAGGGGTTGGCAAACAACATTGCGCAACAACAACAACATTGCTTTTAGGGCACCATAACGGTCAATCATTCATTGCGCACCTCAAGGGATTCACGTCGGTGGGCCGATGAGACAGCGATGACGACGCTAGGCTCGGACACGAGTACCGTGCCAACGCGATGCGCAATCGCAACCTTACACACCTTCCATTTCAATTGGATTTCGTTTGCGATGTCCTGCACGCGCAAAGGTCCCTATCAAGCGCCTGTCGTGCTTAGCAAAAGGCCTACAGGAGCAGTGGCTTGCTTACCTGGAGCTTTTTCACAGCCATCGGCACATACGCTTCATAGTCGAGCTTAATTACTGCTTTTCCCTGAAAGTTGTTGCGCGTCACTCCGCTGAACGTTGAGATCGCTCCCGCGCCAGGATCGGCAACCAGTGTAACGTATTTATTCAGGTCAAGAGATTCACCAGTAACTTCAACAAAGAAGTTGATAGCTGCCTGCTGGCTGGACATTGTGGAATTGTCACAGGTGTATTTTTCAGCTCTGTTGTGACGCGAGCGTTTGGCAAGGGAGATAGCCAGTGATTATAAAGGAAACCCAAGAACTTATAAGCTATCATCCTTGGGAGCCTATGGCGGTACGGCATGACGACGGATCACGTGCAATGAACAGCCGTATGCGGCACATATCCAATCCAAGCGCTTATGGCGGAACGCGTAGCATATCCTGCAATGCCAATGCAGCTAAACCAAAACATCTGCGCAAACAGCGGAATACACAACAGAACCCAAGGCTTCGCAGCCTGCCCTGCAACAAAGACCATTCATTAGCGTCACGGTATGTACGACGGTGGACAGACACGCTGGAATATATTCATACGGACGGACATGCCGAGATAATACTGCTGCTATTTACACTTGTTGGCTGCCCCCCTTTTCCACAACGTCGTATACTGCCACTGACTCCCACAACGTCGTATACTGCCACTGACTCCTAGCCACCTAGTTAGCGGTTGCCACTGCTGCAGTTGCTGTTGCACGCTTTTTGAAAAAGCCGACCAGGTTGCCGTACATGTACGGAAACTCTCCGGATCCAGGCCGCAAAGATTGCTGGATCCAGCCCGGCAGACTGCCGAGCACGCCGCCATAGCCTCCACCCGCACCTCCACCGCCGCTGCTGTTATCGTTGTTGCCGCCGCCGGCCCCAGATCCTGTAGGCGCGTACCTCGCATCCACAAGCACAATCGCCGCGTAATCTCCCGCGTGCCGGATGACCCTGCAAGCACGAACCGATAATAAAGTTGAGAAGGTGAGAACAACGGTTACGGCACCACCATGTTGACAATATTGACATGCTTTGATAACCCACAGACCCATGGGCCCTCCCACCTTCCCTTCGTTACAAGGTTAGTTTTCTTCCTTCCCACCCACCTTCCCACGCACTGGTTGACCGCCTTGATGCACAACCCTTCGTAATACTGCCGCCCACTTAACCGGGGGGCAACATGAGCACCACCACCGCCATGCGGCCCGGAAGCCGCGGAGCTCGACCCCGCCCCCGCCGCCGCTGCCCCCACCGCCGCTGCCCCTGCCGAGGATGCCCCTGCTGCTGTTGATGCTGCCCCTGCCGAGGATGCCCGTGCTGCCCCCGGTCCCGCCGCCCCCGCCGACGCCGCCTCGTCCAGGTACCTCATGCGCTCCCTGAGCTCTGGGTCGCTGGGGTTGGGGTACGGCAGCCCGAGCACCACCACACAGCGACCCAGATCGTCCCCGAAGTTGATTCCCTCGCTCAGCTTGCCGCCCACCACACTCAGCAGCAGCGCACCGCTCTGCCTCTGCCCCTGCTGCTGCCCTAGCTGCTGCGGTTGCGATGAACCGTGATGTCCACTGCCCTGCGACGATGGCGACTGCGCAGTGCTTGTGTTGTTGCTGTCCTTGCTGGCGGAGGCGGCGGCAACACAACCGGATGTCGTACAGCCCTGCCGTACAGCTGCCGAGTACTCCTGCAGTACGGCCTCCACCTGCCCTGCCCCCCGGGGCTCCGTGAAGAGGCTCTTGCGGGCCGCCAGCCGCCCCCACACGTCACTGCGCTGCCAGGCAGATACCAGCTGGGCGGGGGGAAGAGGAGAGCAGGGGAAGGAGGGAAGCCAGGCAGTGGGTGGCGGCTATAAACCCTACAAACTCCAAACCCTCGGCTAGCTGTTGCCCCTAGACCTCTACCCCTCCCACGCCTCCCCCATTACGCAGCTCCCTTGGCTATGTCTGGCAGCATCAGAGGGTGTGCGTGTACGTCGCGTGTACGGCATCGTACCTGATCCAGGTAGGCGAAGGAGGGCGCAAAGACCACGACGCCCGCCGGTACTGCCGTACAAATGTTGACGAGCAACCGACCGATCTGTACGGTGTACGGCACACATGGCATAGGGAAGGGATTCTAAAGGAAGCTACAGCTTCAGAAATGGCCGTCAGGTTTGGCTCACATATAAGAGGAATGCATAGAGAGCGGTTAGCTTGGTGACTACTCACAAGGCCCACTTAGCAGATTAGGGACGAATAACACAAGAATGCACGGCACCCATCACGCCTGCATTACGCAATGTAACCGTGATGACCCACCTCGTCAATGACCCGTGGGTCGGTTCTTCGCCCGTGTCGCAAATCCAGTGTCAGGCCCGTAGGGCCCCGTGCTGCCACCAGCGCCAGCAAGTTCTCCCGAGGTACGACATGACCGCAGCTAAAGTGCCGTACACGCTCCTGCGGTACGGCAGGTAACAGCTGCGCCATAAGGCCCTCCACGGGCGACAGGGTCCCACTCGCAAGTACGACAGACCTCGCGGATCGAAGTACGGATGCGAACTGGGATGCCGCATTGAGGACAGTATAGCGGAGACCGGCTTCCGCATCGGCGGGAGAGGAGGCGGCGGAGGCGGAGGGTGAGGAAGATGAAGCGGCGCGAGTGATGACAATGCGACCGTCAGCGTTGGGATGCGTGAGGGCGGTGAGGAAGGAGATGAAGGCGAACAACGCCGACCGTCGAGCGCCAAAGTTGCTGTTGCTGCTGCTGTTGCTCGCGTCTTTGGTGTTGCTGCCGCCCTTGGTGCCAGCCGTCCTTTGTCCCGATGATCGTTGACGGTTGGCAGTTGCCGCCGCGGCGTCGCCAAGGGCGCGCAACGGCTGCCGTACAGCTGCCGTGCTCGCCGCCCCAGTGTCGTACTCCGGGTCGTCATCGTACGGATCTGACTTCCCCGGTGCTTCAACCGCTGGTACGGCAGAGGTCGCCAAGTCGTATCCGGCGACCTGCCGAGTTCAATGGGAAGAACCGACCGTGACAAAACGTTATGAGACAATCGTGTTCACGGCGAAACGGTCACGGAGCCCGCCCCTTCCCTCATCCCATCTCCCTGCCCGGGCCCATCTCCCTCATGGTACCGACGTACTGTCGTGCTGCATTCCCCTAATATAGCACTGTTTACTCTCCTCCTATCGGCCTACCTACCTGCCGCCTCATTCCTCCCTTTTTTTGCCCTCATTCGTGGTTTCCTATGGTTTGGTCTATTTTCGTCCCCAGGGTAGCCCTGCCCCCCCCCGACCCCCCCGCCGCTCCCACCTTCATGACCAGCCTGCTCTCCCGCACCCAGCTGAGCAGCGGGAAGAGGTTGATGTGCTCCAGCCTGGACCCCACCAGGAACTCGTGACAGCACTGAACCGCCACACCTGCCGCTGCTCCTCCGCCTCCTCCTGGCCCTCCTTCCGCTACCCCTGATGCTGCTACTGCAGGCCCTGCAGGCCCTGCCGCAGCAGAATCTGAAGCAGGGTCAGCGTCAGCAGCAGCAGGTGGTGAGGGGGGGCTGCATGCGGCCTCCAGGGCGGTGGTGAGGCGCAGCAGCAGCTGCACGTTACGCGCGTTGGGCGCGGAGAGGCGCGTCTGGAAGCGGGCAAAGTAGGCGGAGAGCTGCCTGGAGGGTGGACGGATAGGGGTAGAGGTGCGGAGATAACACGTCAGCTGTGTCGTAACCATGCGTTTGTCATGTCCTGCTCCCTGCTCCGTCTCCTACTCCCGCAGCCCTCAGGGAGCACCTCCAAGCCCCAGCCCACCTCTTGGCGGTCTTCAGCTGCTCCAGGGTCACAGCCGACCCATGGGTCGCCGTCACCGCATCCACCAGGTTGTGCGCCTCGTCAAAGATCACCACGGAGCCCTCCAGCCGCAGCCCGAGTGACCCACGGGTCTCCTCGCTCAGCAACGCGCTGTACGGCAGGGCCACCACGTCAGCCTCTGGCAGCAGCGCTCGGCTGCCGTAGTAGGGACACAGCCCCTGCCGCCGACCCAGACGGCCTAGGTCCTGCGGGGACGCATGCGGTAGGGCCGAGCCGGGCGAGTGAGAGCTTTACTTGACAGCTTCAGACCGTTCGCTTCTACCCATACTACCGTTCATTTCTACCCATACACCCTCTCTCCACCCACGTCTCTGCACCCGATTTTGCCATGTCCCCGAAATACGCCTCCGTAGATGCATGCTACAGCTTTGAGACCACCACCACAACTACATAACCTAGCTCCTAGCACAATGCTCCAACAACAATCTCACCTTCGACTATCGCCAACAACTATTGCCTATAGCTTTTCCTACACCTTTTCTTTAATCATCACGGGCTGCCACTACCACCACCAACTGTATCTTCCCCTTACCTACCTCCTCCTCTTACCCGCCCAGCCACCCACCTCGACATCCATGGGCTCCGCAATCACAGCCTCCGCAAAGCCCTCCACCGCCTCCAGATCCGGAGCCAGGAACGGACATGCACCTCCTCCTCCTCCTCCCTTCCCTCGTCCCCCGCCTCCTCTCCCGCTACCAGCACGAGTAGCCCTGCCACTGCCACCGCAGCTCCCACCGCCTGCACAGGCCCCGTCGCTCGCCTTGCTCGCCGCTGCGGTTTTGCGGCTCTTACTGCTGCTGCTGCTGCTCTTGTTGCGTTCTTGGAGCTCCGTGCACTTCTCGGTAATGAGGCCGGCGGACCCGAGGCCGGCTACGGGCGGGTGTATGCACAGCCCGCGGCGGCTGGCCAGCGAGACCAGCCGCAGACGGGAGGCGAAACCTGTCTGCGGGAGAGTGGGGGGAGGGGTTGGAGGGGGTGAAGGAGGAAGGAAAAGTATGATACCTGGGTCTTCTAGTGCTCGTTGACCGACCCATGTCTCAGGCAGAGGGACGTGTATGCAAGCAGGCAAGCAGGCAGAGGAGCAGGCAGGCAGGCAGACAAGCAGGAGGGAGGATCGGTTGCTACCTATCCTGTGCCAACCTTGCTACCCTTGCTACCCCTCCTGTGCTAACCTACCTTTCTCAGCTCAGCCACGAACTGCGCGAGCTGGCTGTGGGTGCGACTGGCGAAGAAGATCTGGGGCGTGGCGGAGGCGGAGGGGGGCGCAGGCGGCGCGCGCAGCGTGCGGAGAGCTGCGGCAGAGGGAGGAGAAGGGGGTTGAAACTTGAAAGGGCTTGTGGCAGAGAAGGAATGAGGGGTTGGGTGTAGTTTGGTTGTAGGCCTGTGGCTACCAGAACTTAAACAGCGCCATACCTTCCCTCAACGCCTCCCTCTCCCCGTCTCCGCCGCCCTCTCCATCGTCGCTACTGCTGCTGTCCCCCAGCCCCGGTCGTCGGCGGCGGCGAAGCAGCCCAGCTGCTGTCGTACCACTGCCGTTGCCGCCGTCGCCGCCGCGGTCAGCCGCCGTCAGCAAGAATTCCTCATCATCTTCCTCAGCTCCAGCGCCGCCGGCTGACGTGGCGGCGGCGGCAGCATCAGCGGCGCGCTGCCGTTGCCGTACATCATCCGCTGACGCCCTGTACGACAGCAATGCAACATGTTTGGGATTGCAAGGCGTAAGGTGGTGCCTTTCATCCTTTTCCAAATCGCGCAGCTTTGTGCACAACTGCTTTAAATACAGGGATAAGCCGTATGGGAGTTGTAGTTAGCAGCCGACGGAAATTACCGTACCCGAGAGTTTGTGCTTGTACGACACGAGGGCCGCTGTTCGACTTGCTGCGTCGTCGCAGCCAGGGGTGCGGCTCCGGCGGAGGAGCGACTGCAGTGCTGCGGTGGACCTCCCGTAACCAATCTGGGTCATCATCGTCCCCAGCCGCTGTCCCAGAATGAGAAGGGAAAGAGGAAAAGGGAGGAGTTCAGCGTTTGGGCGAGGAGCTTGCCGAAGAACTGGCTTCCTGAGACTCGTTCTGTAGGCGCTTCCAATTGTTGCCTACTCGCATCACAACCTAGTTTTGTGCGCGTTGTGCGCCCCTGTACGTTCGACGTGCAGTTGCCAACTATTCCTTACCTGCGGCCGCGGCTGCTTGCGCTTCCTTTTCCCGCTGCCGGAAGTCCTCTAGCCAGTGCAGCGCCCCGCAGATAAGACTGATAGTTTTCCCAGTCCCTATAGCACAATATAAGGAAAGGAGATTAATCATACGTTTGTGGCTTTGGTATGCGCGACCTGATACAATAATGGATGATAGCCATGCGCATGCGCACCTGTCGGGCTTTCAAAGAGGCCGATAGATCCGTTATCCAAGGTTTTATATAGCGCCTCCATAAAGGCTTGTTGAATAGGATAAGGCGAGTAGGGATGTTCCGGGAACTCGGTGCGATGTGAAGCCATCTTGCATGCAGGACCTGGCGTTCGGCCCAGGGGCCCGCGCTCTTGTGTATGATTATATACGACCTTCTTTATCTTGCTATACGTATAGCACATGGGTTGAAAGCCGTTCCCCAATTCCCGCCTTCCGCTATCAACCGCAGGTACGGCAGTAACCGCCCATCACGTTGCCTTTTTCCTCCTGTACGCATAACTTTTCTCTTCTTTACTCATGGGACGTCTGTAAGGCGTTGATCGGTACTGTAAATCGGCTAAGCTGGTCACACGACTGCTTGCAGCATCGACATGCCAAGATCACATCGTGCGCTCTCACGTTGCTGCAAAGAACAGATGCAACAAATAGCCTTATAAGGCCCAAGCTTATAGTTATAACTATAACTCAAGTATGCTGTCTGAGAAGCCGCATCTACTTGGGCTTTGGCCCAAGGGTGTCCTGACGTGCAGGTCACCAAGCAACGCTTGCAGCAGGATACTCGGGAGCTCTTACATGGCTGATAGCGAGTAAAGGCACTTCGAAGACGTCGTCGAGGGTTGGGCCCTAAAGGGTAATATAACTACATAGCTCAACGCCGGACTTCGTAGCCTGCTGGCGCTTCGTTAGCCACATACACTCCACCACCAGCCCTCAATCTTCCCGCACAAACCCACGCCCACGGAAACCCAACAATGCTTTGTATACGGCAACAAAATGCATATACCAGATTCAGGCCCACCCACGTCGTAAACAGTCGTACGACACCGTAGTACGATGCCGCAGCTCTACCACTCTTCTGCGTGCTGAAAGGTGACCCTTGCTACCGCAGTGCATGTGTACAGCCCACGGTTCCAAGACGCAGCTGTTACGGTACCGGAATTAACTTACAGCCGCCTGCACGGGACCCTTACTGCATACCGGTACCCGAAGCACGGACAGGGCGTTCTGCCTGCAACGCATGTTATGTCCGCGCAAGCAGCCGCTGACGGATAAGCCCATGAGGCCTGCAGCAACATCAGTCTAGGGCTAGTCGCATGTGGGTTTCCCCAGACACGCAAGAAGTCAGTGTTCTAACAGACAAGCATGGCGGGTAATCCGCATGCGCACTGTCATAACCCCCCAGAATACGTACAAAACCTTTCCCACCACAACATGCAGCTGCCTTCACCCCACCCCTTCACAACCGGCCTTCCTGCGTGTCTTCATGACAGCACCGCTACGCATGCCGAAACATGGTAGGGGGGCACTATAGGGGTCTGCCGTAGCATCACAGCACGCCCAGGACTACCACAGGAAGGCAACAAACCCGGTACCCTGGATTGTGAAGGTCAAAGCACGGTCGTCCCGATAGAGATTCACAACTGTACCCACGATAGCTCAAGCCGTCCTGGATTCCCGACCAGAGATTGCACTTCCTGCTGTCTGGCCTTCCGCCGCACAGCCGCAAAAACGGGCGAACCCACGCAACTAGACACACACGACAGTCAAGGATAAAATGACAGCATGTATCATATCTCTAGACGGCCGCCACCGTACTTAGGAAACGAGCCTCGTTGTAAGTATTGTCGTGTACAAAAAGTGAGCCAGCCACGCGTTCGGCCTAGCACCACACATGCCCTCGTCAGCTGTCGTGGCCTGCAGCTGTTGCCGCGGCCCCGACGCACTATGCAACACCCGCGTTCCAAGAGGGTTAGCGTGTAACTGCAAAGCAACAGTGCAACGACCGGACAGCGAAGGCGACGGGCGCTAAGTGAGAAAGCGACTTAATAATTAGTACAGTCCGCCCAGGTCTACCCGCCAAAAGGCACACAATAAGCTTTGCCATGCACGATAGCAAAGCCCGGTACAAATGTGACGGTCTAACGTCGTAGCTGTTTTGCATATATCCGCCTTGCGCCGCCCCACCGTGTCATTGCGCCCGTGGCGCATATCCTCTTCACACCACCGTTTCCCGTAACATGAGTGTGCGGCAACACATCCAGACTGCGCCATGAGCCTAGAAGAAAACACATGACAGGCCATGCAGTGCCTACGGCCATTGCAGTCCTGTACATTAGCTAACGAAGCAACCACACAATGCCTTCTTAGTCAAACGTTTACGCAGCGTCCGCAAAGTGGAAGACCGCAGTCTGTCTAGTCGACCCGTAACCTACTATCAAACCGCCTAAACGACAACGCCCTTTGCTAAGCCCTGCTAGCCAGTCGGAGAGCGGCTCACCGGCACCCTCATGCTCATCGCTGGGGCCCGCCCGCCGCGGCAATACCGGCCATAGCCAGCACCTGTTGAGGCGCGGAGTGTTGAGCTATGTACATCTGAACCAGATCCTGAAGAATCTGCCCATGTTGTTGAGCTGGCGCGGCAGCCTGCTGCCATTGCACCGCAGATGCCGCTAAGGAACTAGGAAGTTGCTGCTGCTGCTGTTGCACAACCTGCGCCTGCCGGCTGGCTGCCGCCGCTGCAACAGCCGCTGCCGCTGCAGCCGCATGGCTCGCATGGTTGGGCATGGAATGTGCATGCGAGGCGTGGTGCCCCATGGCTGCTGCTGCCGCTGCTGCAGCCGCCGCAGCCGCGTGCTGCTGCTGCGCCTGAAGCAGGGCCGCCATGCTTGCAGCACTGCCGTCCATGCCGTGGTTGTTAAGGTACGACGAGGCGCCGTGAATTGCGGCGGCGTGCTGTGCATGCTGCGGCATAAGCTGCTGCTGCTGTTGGTGGTGGTGTTGCTGCATGTGCTGCTGGGCGGCGTGTTGCCAGGCGGAAAGCGCCAAGACCTCAGCCGCAGAAGCCGATGTGGCTGCTGCAGCAGCAGCTGGCTGCGCGTGATGTTGAAGCGTCGTGGACTGTTGCTGCTGTTGCTGCTGCGGGGCAGGGAGCTGCAGCAGCTGCTGCTGGGGCTGCTGCACTTGAGGCTGCTGCTGCTGCTGAGCTTGCTGGTAATGTTGTTGTTGGTGCTGCTGCTGGGCTTGCAGTTGGCTTTGCTGCTGCGCGTAAAGCCTCAACTGGTCAGCATGCGGGAGAAGCTCCGAAGACTCAAGCGCGCACAGGAGCTTTCTGTACGGATGCGTTGGCGCGATCCAACTGCCAACCCCACGCTCAGCACCCTTGCTACCAGGCGCCCCATTGCGCTGCTTCTCGCCCCCACCGGCAAACAGCGGAAGCAAGTCCTTGGGCTTCTCGATCCCAACCAACCGCCACAGCAAATCCTCACGGTTAATCCCACCATTAGCCGTCGTCGTGCCGGAGCCTGAGCCCAAGCCATTGACACCACGGCTCATGCCCGCACCGGTATCCACCTCGGCATGCTGGCGGCTCGACAGGACCCCAAAGCCCGCGTCCTCCTGCTGCGAATAATGCTGCTGCTGCCTTCCACCCGCATGGTACGACTGCACCCCAGCGCTACTGCTGCCTGCATGGTGGTTAGCAAAACCGTTGGGGCGGCTAAAGCTCCCGCCGCTGTGAGGCGGCAGGCCGTTAGGCGGTCCCGTCCGCTGCATGGAAGCCAGATGCCGCGGTGAGGCCACTTTTGTCGCCTGCATCATGGACAACGGCCCACCGCTGCCGCCACCGGACGCGCCATTCCGGATGTTCCGCGGTTGCAGCGGCATGACCCCTGGGTCATGCAATGACGCGGCGGGCCCTATGGGCGCCGTACGCAGCGCCGCCACCGCCTCCGCGGCTTCAAGCAGCGATGTGAGGTCCTCATTCGTGTCATCGTCCACGACGGCGCCGGAGCTGCGGCCGCTGCCGGCGCCGCTCACCTCATGACGACTGCTCCCGCCGCTTCTGCCGCCGTTCTCCGTTCCATGCCCGACCACATCCCCAGCTGCGCTATCCGCTGTGCCACTTGGCTGGTACCCGCGTCCTGTTGCCCCCAGCGCGGTGCCGCTACCGCCGCTGCCTTGGGGCTGCGGGGCGCCTGATGGCACCTCGCTGCCGCCTGCTGAGGACCCCAGGCGACCCTGGACTGAGGACGGCTGCTGCTGCTGCGCCATCATGCGCGGGCGTTTCTTCAGCGGCAAATGCAGCTCGCTGTCCGAGAGGCCATGCTTGGCGCCCGATTGTGCTCCCGCCGAGGCGCTTCCGTCCGCTGTTGCGATGCTCAGAGGCGGCAGCGAGCAGCGTTGTTCCGCCGTCACGACAGCACGCGGCGGTGGCTGGGTTACGACGGCGGGAAGGGCCATGCCGCTGGAGTAGCGGCCTGCCCGGTCGGCGGCTGCGGTGCCTGATGTGGCAAGGTCGGCTGATGCTGCTGTGGTCGGGGGCTGCAGCTGCTGGTGCAGCAGCTGCTGCGGGGGCTCGGAGGATGCGCGCTGCAGGCTCGGCTGCGCTTGTGGCTGCGAATCGGACTGCGGCTGGTGCGCTGCAGCGATTGCAGCAGCCGCGGCTGCTGCCGCCCCCGTCGGCTCAGCGACCGCTGCGTTGTCGCCGCGTGGGTTTGCGGGTTTGGCGGTGGGTGACCGGTCCTCATCCAACCACCTGCGGAAAAGGGAATCACGACACAGAGCTCGCTGATTGCATCGCATACCAATGTTTGCGACACCTGGGTCCATACTGTAAGCCGCAGGCGTACTCATTCAACGCTGGTGCATGCGAAGCATGCCGTATTCCCTTCCCGCATGCACGCACCTGTGGGGTACCTCATCCAGGCACAGCTTCTCCGTGCCGCCATCCTCATACATGATGGTGTGCTTGCGGCTGGTGGGGTGGTAGGCCACCACCACCGCGCGGTAAAACTGCCCGTCCGCATCCCAGAACACCTCCAGCCGCCGACCCAGATCGCGGCGCTTCTCGGGGTGAAGGTCCATGGTGCCCCTGTTGATGTGGGTCGAGGTGGGAATGCGGAGGTTTGGGAAGGCGGTTCACGGCAGGGCTCTAATAAGCGACAGTGAGGCGGGTCCCAGAGGGCGCATTTGCGCCCTGTATAGGGCTGGGACCTAAGCAGGAAGCTGTTTCGGTAGGCTCCTTGGCGAGCTCAAGAGAGGCGCTTCTTAAGAAAGCAGCAACCACCCCGCTACCCGTACCTGCAGTTCTTGGCGCCGCACATGCAGATGAAGGAGGCCGCGGAGGGCTTCAGCGAGCCGTACGTGGAGAAGAAGTAGTCGTACACCAGCTCCTCGCCCGGCATGATGTCACGGGTGGCGAAGATGCCCACCCGCACCTCCCCCGTGGAGGCGTCATGCCACTTTTGCGTCTCACAGTTGGGGTCGCAGCTGCTGTTGATGAGCCGCGCCGCGTTGCCCCTCCGCCGTGCGTCGATGTACAGACCTGGATCAAGCAGCCAGCCCGAAACATGTTGAGAAGGGATTAAGGAAACGAGCCGCTCGTAATCTGCATGATCACGCATTGCTGTAGACCGGTGTAGCTGATACGCTGTCAAGCAGACCGCTAAAGTTCTCTTAACCCGAACCGCCCTGAATATTCAGCCTGATTCAACCCGCCTACCCGCAGAGAGCTCCATGATGTAGAAGTGCGGCTCTCCGTTCATGCGCGCGTGCTCCATGCGGCGCCCCAGCTCCCGCTCGTCGATGATCTCGCCGGCGTACTCGATGATGAAGCCGCCCTGCAAGGAATGCGACGAGAACAAGCGTGTTGGTCACGTGCCAAAGCCTTCGGGCATCATTATGACGATGACTCGTGGAAAAGTACCCTACCTTGGGCACGGGCTCCATGGCACGCACGCCCCAGCCGCGGTTCTCCGTGAGGAACGTCTCCGTCTTGGGCTGCCGCAGCAGGTGCAGCGAGCGGTTGCTGCACAGCTCGCCGCAGGGGCAGAGCTGCGGACCAAGGGAGGGACAGTATGCGGCATATGGGTATACTTTTACCAAAAAGCTTAATGAGGGTCAGGAACTCAGGATACGGAAGGGTACGGTACCCAGATCAGGATGCATGCCAAGCAAGGTAAGGAGTTGACCAGGTTGGCCAGCAGTGATGAGTGAGAGAGGCAGGTTCATGCACACACAAGCGGCGTACCTTGGGGTCACAGAGGATGGACGACAGGCGGTTGAGGCAGTTCAGGCCACACCCTAGCCGCTGAAACTCCCCAGGAGCAACCACCGGTGGCGGCCGGCACGCACAAATGCTGATCTCGTCCTGCAGCAGAGAGAGGGCAGGAAACACAAGGTTTCGTCTGTTCGCAACCGCCTAGCCGCCTAGTCCCCTAGAAAACAACAGCAATAGCAGCATGCAAGAGTTAGAGTGAAGCCGTTAGGAGAAGTGCGTTTTCACCCCACCTTTGGAAGGCGTTTCGGCTTGTTGCGTGACATCCAGACGTTCCGCCGTACAGGCTCGTAGCGCGGCGGCCGCGTTATGAGCCAGTCGCGAGGCAGCGCAAAGGGCTGGTCCTGGGAGGGCAGCAGCGGCTCCGGCTGCAGGGATAGGGTGCGGGACAAGGCAGGGAGATAGGCTTCAGCGAATTGCAGCATCCAAGCAACGCAGCGGGCCGAGTTACAAAGGCATAGCTGTCGCGCATCACACAAGGAAGGTTAATAAGGACCCAGGAGCAAGACAGCGCGTTGTGAGTAGAGTCAGGGGTGCCGTTTCGACAGACGCTCACATCTGTCACGCAGCAGCACCCAACCCAGAACCCCATGTCAGCGGACCCACCTGTGGCCACCGGTAGGCCTGTGGCACTGCCGCCGCCGCCTGAGCAGCGACCGGCCCCGTCACAGCCTCCCTGCTACCGCCGCTAAGGTCCCGCTCCCGTCCAGAGCCCGCAGACCCCCGGGCCGAGCGACTGCGCGCCCGCTCCCCAGGCAACTCAACCACCACCCCCGCTGCCGCAGCAGCAACCGACATTGGAGCGCCCGCCGAAGACGCCTGCCGCAAAGGCGGCAGACGCGGTACCTCTGCCCGCTGCAGCCCCGCGAGCGCAGCGGCCACCTCCCCGAGCTCTTCTAGTTCACGTGCCTGAGCGCGCGCCGCTTCATCACGGTTGTACGACACAGCTACAGCTGTACTGCAGCTTGCGCCAGTGCCGTCGCCACCGCGCGTCGCGCCGCCGTCACCAACCGCCGCGCTGCTATCCACGCTGCCACCCTGCTGATGTTGCCGCGGATGCACAGCAGCAGCGCCCGAGATGGCCGACTCGCCGAGTGTCCGCCGGAGGGCTGCGTTGTCCAACACCATTCCTCCAAGCTCGCATGAGGCTTGCCGGACGCATGGGGGCTCTATGGTGGGGGCCGGTGGGGCACCTGCCGGCCCGCCAATGCTACAGCTTACGTGGTGGAAGTCCTGTCCTGGCGGTGGCTTGTCGTCTACATGGTCGGGTAGCTGCTCCTCTGCAAGCAGCGCGTCCTCGCGAACCGGGGAGGCCACCTGGCTGCAAGGCCGCTGCTGCTGCTGCACCTCCTGCTCCATTGCAGCTGGTTCCTGCTGCGGCAGCTGCCGCTGCTGCTGGGAGCATGCAGGGGAGCCCCGGGATCGCGCGGCTTCCGGTATCCCCACACAGGCCGGCTGCATTGAAACCAACGCCGCATGCTCGACATCCATACCGGTTGGGCGTAGTTCCTGCTGTGGGACCTCCGACCCGCCTTGCTGAGCAGCGTCATCCGCACTAATCCCTGGCCCTGGCTCCAAAGCCATGGGCCCATCTACATCCATGGGCTGTGCGGCCTCCGCCCTGGACTCCACCTGCTTCTCTGCCTCTGCTGTATCCTGCTGGGGATCATGCTGAGATGCAGCCTGCTGCTGTGGCGCAGGCCCAGCGTCAGGCCGAGTTTGCGTAGCCTCCTGCTCTTTGCCCTGTTGGCAACCCGGCTGCACCGAGGGCGGTGGTGGGAGCAACTCTATGAGCGCCTCCCCGCGTCTCTCATCCTGCGCGTCCGCTGCTGGCCCGTCCAAGCTCGCCCGTTGGGACTCCTCCGCAGGTGCTGCTTCCGGTGAACGCGGCATCTGCCCGTCGCCGACAGTGGCTGCAGCAACATCAGGGGACGAAGCGTGCTTGGCGTCTGCCTCACCGTCAACGGATGCCGAGTTAGGAATATCCGCTGACGACGCCGGCGCGTCCGCAATACGCTCCAAGAGGTGCCGCGTCGGCGGCCCGGAGGACGGTTTCCGAGGCACGCACACCGGCGGAGGCGCAACAGCACCCGCTGCGGATGTGCTGGGCCCCCCAGCAACGGGTGCAGCGGGCGGCGGAAGCATGTCATGCTTGGACGTCAGGCTGCGCAGGACAGGGCGTGCAGGCAAGATGGCAGGCAGCTGCCTACCGCCACTGGGGACTCCCAGAGACGGCGGCTTCTTCCGTACGGGCACGCCACCGGCTAGCGGCCCCGGTGGCGGGGAGGCTGAGCCGCCGCCGCCTCCAGCGCTGCTACTCGCTGGAGGAGCCTTGTTCCCATGCCCTTCCTGCGCTTGTGACCGCCCACACCTAAGCTCAGGCTTGGACTCCGACGCCGTACTGGCCTTCTGCGCATCGCGCCCATGATTGGAAGACCTTGTCTGGTCCGCAGCATCCGCATGTTCTACCATGGGCGATGTGCTCACGCCGCTGCCGTCATCAGAGGCGCGCTTGTCCGCGCGTTTGGCGCTGGCCGTTGCCGTGACGCCGGTCTGCGTCTGCGTGGGAGTGACGCCAGCCGAGCTAGCGAGCCTCCGTGCAGGCGAGGAGCCCCGCAAAATGCGGGGCTCGGTGGTATCCACCACTGGCGGCCCCTCCGAAGGGCTGTTCTGCAGGCGCCTTAGCTCCAGGGGCACAGCTTTGGCGACAGTAGCCGTCACTGTGGCACCCGATGCCGCCACAGAAGCGATGGCGCTACCCTCCGCACGACCACTCGGCTGCGGCTTCTTAGCGTCCTCCGCCACGTCCGCTGCCGTGCCCTCCGCGTCGGCGCCAGTGATCTGGGTCTTGCATGCCTGGTCCGCATGCTGACTCGTTTGCCGGCTTGGCACCTGCGAAGGGGGCCCTGCGGGCGGCCTGCGCGTGGTAGGCCGCGCTGCCTGCCGCTCGTGTCTTGGTTTCGGAGCTCCGGGGCTCCTGGTGGTAGACCGCGACCTGCGGCCTGCAGCGTCACCGCCACTCGACTTCTTGGTCTCAGCTGCCGCCTCGTTGTCACTGCCGCTGCTGCTTGCCGAGCTCTCAGTCGCCTCCGTCTCCTCCACCTCCATGCTAGCCGGCTCATCACTGCCATCCTCGCTGTCGTCGCTCGTCGCCTCCTCCTTCTTAGCTGCGGACGTCACCTTCTCCACAGCCTTCGTCACAAGCCGGGAGCTTGTCCGCCGGTCAGCTGGTTCCGGTGCCGACAGACGCGCCAAGCGCCGCTGCTTCTCCCCTCGCCGGTCACGCACGGGCTGCGCCTGCTGCTGTGGCCGCGCCGACCTTGTGCGTGCCTGAGCCGACCCAGATGCCTTGCCGCCTCTCCCTCGCTCCGCAACATCGATCGTCTCATCCTCACTGCTCTCCTCCGAGTCATCACTGCCCTCGCTGCTGCTGTCCGCCGCCTCTGAGTCCGCCTCCTCACCGCTGCTTTGCGCCTCCTCCTCCTCCTCCTCCTCCTCCACCTCCTCGTCATCATCGGAATCAGAAGCAGAGCTCGACGACGATCCGGCGTCACTGCCCCTACTGCGGCTGCGCTGCTTGCGCTTGCTCTGCCCAGCGCCGCTGCCCCTGTGTCCACCTGACTGCCCCGCCCCACGCGCGGTAGCGCGGGTAATGCGCCCGGCGCGGCCCCCCGTCTCAGCCTTAACCCGCTTCTCGACGTCAGGAGCAGCGGAGGTACCGGCCGCCGCAGCTGCAGCACTGGACGCCGCCGCAGGCTCAGCCTTAACAACTGGGTTTTGTCGCGGCGACTCGTCCACCTTTAAGCCAGGCTTCTTAGGCACAGCGGGCAGCCGAATGCCTGCTAGCCGCCTGATCTCAGCGGGTAGCTTGAAGACATCCATGTCGTCAGCAGCAGCACTGGCGGCGACAGCGGCGCCAGTCCTCTCAGCTGCAGCGGCTTTGGCTGCTGGCGGTGGCAGCTGTGGCGCGCTGCTAGCACCAGCAGGACTAGGCCCCGTCCGCACCGTTGCTGGCGGTGTCTCAACCTTCATGCGCTTGCGTGGCGGTAGCCCGGCGTCAGCGTCCTTAGTGGCCGTGGCTGCGGCTGTACCCGTGGCCTCCTTGGGCTTAGCCTGCTGGGAAGCATTGGAGGGCTCCTTGACCTCCTTCGCTGGTCCAGCGGAAGGGGCTGGAGGGCGGCTGGGTGCTGCAGGAGGGGCTGGAGGCGGCTTCCTAGCCAGCGCCTGCGCCGAGGCACTGGTCGATGCCGCAGTAGAGCCATTCTCACGTTGGCGGCCGTTCGAGCTGTCGCGTTGGCGACCGTTAGAACTGTCCCGCGGCTTCATAGCTGGTGGAGGGACCTCCTTCGCTTTGGCGGCAGGCGCAGCAGCCGACTCCTTCCCAGTTCCCGACGGCTTCCCTGTTCCCTTCTTTCCAGCTGCTGTCTGTGCTGCAGGCGCATCTTCCTCGTCACTGGACGAGGAGTCCGAGTCCGAGTCAGGCGTTGGGGCCCTCTGCCGAGAGCCCTTTGCGACATCCTGCTGCTGCCCCTTGCTCTTAGCCGCGGCACCACTGCCGGACACTGAAGCCGACTTCAGCGGTGGTCCCTCAGACTGGTCCTCTAGGCCTGTGGTGGGAGGCGCGATGAGGGCAGGGGTGCGTCAGCTGAGGCTGTGCAACACAGAAGAGTTGCGTTTGCAAGGTGTGGGTGGTTTGGGTTTGCCTTAGATGACTCACAGACAGCGCCACAGCAATACAACCCGCCCCCACGTCTTCGGATTGCTGAGCGACCTGAGATCTGACCCACAAGTGCCCTAGATTGTATCAACTACCAAACCCCCCTAGCCAAGTCTTGGGACGGAGCTTTGGCACGCGAGGCATATGAGCCGACCGTTGAAGTGGGCCTTCACTTGGATGGCTTGCCCGTGCCCCACACAATCAACTAGGTACTTCCTTTCAACCTTCAAGTGCTCACCGTTTGAGGGCGGCTTGCACCACCACTTAGGTGGAGCTTTTCGCTTCCGGTCCAGAGCAAGGTACTCGCACACCTGTACCAAGGCATAAAACGATATATGAAGTTGATATCTATCGATCCAAGCGCAAACGCGCCCCCAGCACAAATAGCTGGCACCAAGCGTCAACCGCTCAGCCTTTGCGCTTGCGGACCTTCCTCCGCAGCGCCCTGCGCAGAAAGTCATACTGCAACACCAATCTACACGATGACATAGCCCACCCCGGTGCTCGCCTGCTCAAGCGCTAGCTTAAATGGCTTAGTCTTCCGGTCGAAGAAGCCCTGGTGCAAGCCCTCCTTAAAGTCGACAATATCTGCGTCCTTCACCCAGGCCACCTCGACAGTGCCAAAGAACATGACAGGGACGCTATTCCCCTTGCTGTGACGCTCCTGGCCCAGATCCTTGCGGCGCATTGCCGCAGCTTCGGTGAGAATCTGCGCCTGCAAAGCAAAACAAAGCGTTTTCAGCGTGAATAAGGTCAAGATAGAAAAAGGAAGCCGCTTACGCAAGTGCTAAGGCACAAGTGCCCTGACTGCTAACGCCTTCCCCCCAAGCGGGCCCCTTCCTTCTTACTGGCCAGGCGGGATAGCCTTTCACACGCGCCCATACAACTTGAGCAGCCTTCGCATCTGCAAGAAGCTTGGGCGCCAGAAGTGGCCGGAACTCCTTCTCCAAGGTCGCAAATACTCCTTCTGCCATTTTGCCTCCTGCGCCCCTGGGCGCTTCTTGCTGCTATTGCTACCGCATGTTTAAGAATGCTTTGTTGCGCTTATTCCGCAACGCAAAGTTTGTCCGTCAACTTAGGTGTCTGTGTGAATTGACAAGAACCCTCTGCAAAGCCTTTCTGTAATAGTGCAAAGAGTAAGTATAACACGTTTCAACTACGTTTGTCTGAAACTAGGTGCTGGCAAGAGATGCTGATGTGGTGTATGAAACGAGTTTGCTCATTCCGCGGGATTGTCCGGCGGTATGGACCGGTCATCCGGACACAAGTTCCTAAATTTCACTCAAATCCTTTACATGCATGATTTCTTATACACTTTACAAAAGGCTTTAGCGATGCAATACTGATAGACGTGACGTGACACCGTGACTTTGTGAATTTACTGGTTTGGCATACTCTGTTTAGTTAAGGGGGAACCGTATTATACTATAATAGCATAAGCTGCGATGTTCTGCGCCTTGGGTAGCCTCATCGGCCACAGAGCCGTCAGTCACTATGCAGCGTCCTCCTCTTCACGGGCTTCCTCGTTGTTGGCATCTAAAACACAGCTTATGGACCAGCCACTTGCAGAGGCCCGGCGCGCCTTAAGTCAGCCCACAGCCGCATCAGCGGTCGCGGCAAATGCGCCAGCGGATGCAGCGGGCTCACCTTCAGCCTCAGCAACTGGGGCGGCTGTAGAGGACCTCCAGAACGCCACCATCCCTCCCGTCCTTCTGCAACAGCTGAGCATACCCCCAAGCGTCCTCCGGGACCTGCGACCTCCGGTCCAGCCCTACCAAGTCGTTCCCAAGCAAGCACAGCGCCCAACCTCCACGCCCGCACTCTACACCCCCTGGACGCCAACCCGCGCCCTACAGCGGCGGGGACACGTCTCCAAGCGCATGGGCTTTCTGATGCAAGTCCTGGAACGTGAGCAGATGAACCGCGTGCAGGAAGCCCGGCCGCTGCCCAACTTCCGTGCTGGGGACATTCTGGAGGTCCGCATGATGCTTCCGGAGGTAGAGCGCAAGGTGGCCGTGTACCGCGGTGTGTGCATCGCGCGCTACCACAAGGGGCTGCGCAGCACCTTCAAGATCTACAACGTGTTCCCGGAGTGCGGCGGCGTGGTGCAGCACATCCCGCTCTACATGCCGGACCTGCTGGGGATCAAGGTGGTGGGACGCATCCCCGCCTCGCAGGTGGGACGTGGCGCAGGGCTCGTGTCGGTTGTGCTCGGTGTTTGGGTTGTAGGGCAAAAGGCAAGCTGTGTGACCAAGGGCTTATGGGGAGTCGGAGACGGGGCCGATCCTTGGGCGGCAGGGTTGTCAGTATTTGTTGGGCTTGCCAAAAGGGGCGCTATGATGTGGGTTATGTGTTTTATGATGTCTCCGCTTCCTCTGAAAGCCCCACATCCTTAACTGCTGAACAAGAAGTGCTGGCTTCTTTGTACTGTACTACAACGCTGACGCCTTTCCTGTCGCATGCGGCTATAACCTGCGCTGCCCCTTCTTCCCACGCTGCCTCCCTTCCCTGCTTCAGGAGCGCCTGTACTACCTGTTGGACCGGGAGTCCAGCGAATACACCTTCCAAACAGGTGTGCCGCAAGCCAAGTAAGGCGCCCGACGGGGCGCCTCCAATGGAGCTGGGCCCTGTGGTGGAGCCTGAAAGTAGCGTACGCGCGGTATATGCTGGATGCGCGTTAGCTCAGCGGCGACGGTTGGCGCGGCATAGGCGGGAAGGACGTGGAGTTAGCTGCTTCTCTTGGGCGTGCTTGGTTGCCTTGCGAGGTGTTGGGGGGCGTGCGGCGCTCAGAATGCGGAACGATGGGCCCGGTCACTTGTCTGAGCGTTTCGGGCTAGGATGACGTGACAAGCTGCTTTTAAGAAAACTGGCGTGCAAGGGTCGGAAGTTGAAGTGCTTGGCGTCAGCTGGGTACTGTTATGGGAGGGGTGAGTTGCGTGACCCTTGGGTCACATGTATGCATGGACCTGAGGACGCGGGTAATGGCATTGCATGTCGTCTTGGAGGTTTTCACATGTGAGGTTTTAAGTGTTGTGAGCATATGCCTGCAGCTGGGGACAGTATTCGCAGAACAGAGTGTGGTAGGATTAGGTAAAGGGTGCGGTAAGTGGCACTTACAGGGTAGTCGAATAGTCGTAACACGTCGAATCTCGACGCGCCAAGCGTGCATAGGCGGGCACACGGCACAATGTAAGGCCTGCCCGGTCCTATGGAACCCCTCAAGACCCTGTTCAGAACGTGTACAAGCAAGCTAGTGACACCTTTTGTATATAGCCGCCACCCTCCTAGTCCTGCCATATGCAATCACCTATATGCACGGAATCATTCCTGCTCATTGCATCAGAAAGAACACAAACACGACAAGCTCGGTTTTCCGCATCCGTTGCCTGCACCCACGTGAACTTGCACCCCAGCAAAATCATTAACCAATGACGCTAGCCTAGACTTCGAATTCAACTTGCATGGAACCATCAACTTCGTCCGTTAGGCCCTCTGCGTTTCTTTCAGCGCGTAGAGACCCCCCTGCCTTTCCGTGTCACTTATTCAGTCATCAACCAGTCGGTACAAAGCAACAAACGACTCGGCTTCCCAGCAGGTTAGGTTCGCTTGTATCCCCAACGACCATGTTATAAGAGTCCTGGAAACAACTTTGGTCCGTGAGCTAACTGTCCGTCAATCGAGTCAAAGTCGAGTATCTCAGCCTGTACCTAGCCCGCCAAGCCTTGCTATGCCCAAGCAAAGCTCATTTGTGCCCCAGGCCGCCAAAGCTGCCCGAGATGAAGGACTGCACCAGCAGGTTCACGTTGAGGCCGGTGATGACCACAAACAACAGCCATGCAAGCACTGACACAGTCCAGCTGTTGGCGTTACGACCCAGATAGCGCCGAGAGGAGGTAAAGTGCACCAGCGGAAACACCGTGAACGGCAGCGTGAGTGACAGGATAACCTGCGACAGCACGAGCAGCTGAGCGACGCCATGACGCCCCATGATCGCAGCTACCGTTGCTGCTGGTATGATGGCAGCTCCGCGGGTAATCAACCGGCGAATCCACGGCCGCACCTTGATGCTAAGAAATCCCTCCATCACGATCTGCCCACTCAGCGTTCCTGTGATGGTGCTGTTCTGCCCTGAAGCCAGTAACGCCACGCCAAACAGCACCGACGCCGCCTTAGCTCCCAAAGACGACTCTAACAGCTGATAAGCATCGGAGAGATCTGCAATGTCCGTCCTAGGCGGCGAGCCGTAATGGAATGCTGCCGCCGCGACGATTAGGATAGCCGAGTTGACTACGAAGGCCACCAACAGCGACAGCGTGGAATCGAGGGCACCTAGCCTGATGGCGAGGGCGCGTCCGGCGGCGTTTCGAGGATAGGCGCGCGTCTGGATGACCGAGGAGTGCAGGAAGAGATTGTGCGGCATGACGGTTGCGCCCAGAATGCCGGTGGCGAGGTAGAGGGTCTTGCTGTTAGTCACAATCTGGCCGCTGGGCAGGTAGCCTCGCATCACCTTGACCATGTCAGGCTTGGATCGCACCATTTCGTAGATGAAACACCCCTGCGACGGTTAGGAGAGGGTAGGGGAAGAGGGGTCCTGAAGACAGACAAGAGGCATGAGGAAAGGGGCAGACGCGTGCATTGTCATTCATGTCCCTTTTGGCCTTTGCTGTTGGGCTCCAACAAGCCAAAGAGCCACCAGTCGCCGATCTAACGACGACCCACCGCAATAAGCGCCGTGAGGGCCGCAACCAGGATCTCTAGCGCTCGAAAGCTCTTAGCCTCCATTATAAACAGAATCACCACGTCGGCACCCGTCAGCAGCACGCCAGCCCACAGCGGCAGTCCGAACAGAAGGTTGAAGGCGACGGCGCAGCCCACCACCTCCGCCAGGTCGGTGGCTGCGATGGCCAGCTCATCCACTAGCCACAGCACGCGGTTCACGGCAGGATAGTAGGCGTCGCGGCAGGCCTAGGGAGGGGGATTTAAAGTAACCCAAGCTTATGCGCCCAGTAGGCGTATCATTGCCGATGGGCGTTGAGCCTCCCTGAGCGAGCCCCTGAAGTGTCTCCCTTGGCATGCACACATGGCGGAAGCGGTCCAACAGCCGGGAGAAATCAGCCTCTCCGGCGTCTGTGTAAACCCAGCCCATGATTCCTAGAATGCGTAAGCCACCTACGGGTAGACATATGATGCTTTGCAATATTAAGTACAGCCGACTTGGAAGGAAGCGTGGGAAGGACCGCAAAGCAACGTTGCTGTGAACGCTGGCTGGACTGGCGCAAGCTTCATACTTCAAAGGATTAAAGGATGACAGACCATGCTTTTACTGGTTTTACAGTTGCCCAGTTGGAACTATGTGCCGTACGTAATATTCAAATAGTACTCTTTATTACGCTCGGCATGCCCACGCAAACCTGCTGGCTTGCCTGGGACCCTACGAACTACACAGGTTATCACATTTGCTGCTACTTCTTGTTTACAACGAGTTTCTGTTCCGGACAGATGTTAGGTGGTGTGCTGCCCCAGTCAGACCCTGGCGGTACCTTCTACCTGATCCTATCAACAAGCATTAGCTCCAGAGACTTTAGGTTCTAGGAGCGGCGACAAAGTCTTAATGGGTGTGCACTACACCAAGCCTGCCGACTTCATTACATCCCCAAGCGAGGCCTACTCCAAGCTCCTAGCCCTGCGTTCTGCCCCCTCCCTCTCTTCTCCTTTGCCCTGTTGTTCCTTCATCATTACCTGCGCAAGGTCCCTGTCCGTCACAATGCCGAGCTTGAGCGCCAGGTACTGCAGGAACATGGCGAACAGCGAAGACAGCAGCACCACGAACAGCAGCGTGTAGCCGAAGGAAGAGCCGGCAGCCAAGTCGGTGGCCCAGTTGCCAGGGTCCTGAGCAGGGATGCAGGGCGGGGTAGGAGGGCGGGGGTCAGGTAGATCCAAAATGTCCTTGGGCCTTTATATAGATGCGTCCATGTTGGGGCCCAACCCCGCTCACCATGTAGCCCACGCTGACGAGGAAACCCAGTCCCGCAAACGCGAAGATCTTGCGGTACCAAGGTGCGTCCGCGCTGGGAAAGGCGACTGTTGAATGGCTTTCTGGTAGGGACACTGGCTTCCCTGTATCCCTGAAGCCCACAAGCAGCGGTTGATGACTGCCAGCACGTGAGTCACCCGGCTGTTGTTGTCGCTGACACTCAGCGCTGTGGTCACAAGACGCTGGAGCCGCGTCGACTGCTATGTAAAGGCTTTCCTGGCGCGATGCCGCTGATGTCGCTGTTTCGGGCGGATAGGCACCTCGCGTTGTAGCTAGGGGATTCTGCTGTACATCTATGGTTAGGGAATTGTCTTGAGCGTTGAAAGCCCCGTTCGGTAAGGCGTATTGTGCAGGCATTTCTGGAGGTGCCCAAGGACCTGCTGCTGCGCATGAGAGGTAGGCTTCGGCCCGAATAATTGGCTTCCTGGAGCTTATCCTTCTGGGTAGTATATGGAGCCTACTTTGTGCGTTGAAGTTGTCATCCCACAGCTTTGCAGATGGTTGACCCTTGGGTCGGTCGACAGCGAGGACCCTGTTCGGTTCGTTACGGAGGCGAAACAGAACACAGTAATAATCGATCCAAGGTGGAAGCCCATCGTGTACGCGTTATTGGGACCAACCGCTATTTGAAAGCCCGCTATCCGTCCATCATCATTGCCTAATTTGTACTGCTCTATGTCACCACTTGCCGCCTGCAGGGCAGCGGACGCTTACCGCCGGTACAACTTACATACCTGATGCGAAGAAGCCTACATAGGAATGTTTTAACAGGGGCCTGTAGGGCAAGATGACACGTCGAGCGTTGAGTATCCTATCAGGTTCTACCAGTAATGTTGCACCGCAACCCGATTTCCCATATTTGGAAGCCGATCCTTCAATGTCATGTTTATCGCAACCACAAGTCACGATTTGTCTATTCCTGTCAACGACGATAAGCTCATACACCTATCACCCACACGTCCTAATTACGATTGTCCACACGTTGCCCTCCTGTCACTGCAGATCGCTTCTAGGTCTACCCTATCCTATCTAGGCCTGCACTCCTAGTGAATCCATGGATACCACGCCATACTTCAAGCTAACCTAAGGATCTAAGATTACCAGGTCGCAAACTCAGAAGCTGCCACAGTCAACGCATCTACTTCGCCTACCCCACCGGTTCAATCCTGCACCGCAATATCTAAACCGTCGATACACGACGGCCCAGTTTCCTTGTAAGATCCAATCTTAAGCAGCATCGGCACTAGGTACGTGCGATAAGGGCTAGGCAGGCCACCATTCCAAAAGCTCCCTCGATCGCTGCGCATCCTGCCCCCAATCCGGCCCAGCGTCGCATGCAACATCCCCTGAAGCAATCACAGCCATCAATCTTGCACTCGTTCGCCGTGTTGAAAGACAGCGGTATCCCTTGTTCCCTAAACCAGCATCTCAGATGGTTTGCACCAGACCCCTCCCTCGTACTCATATAGCGCTCATCCTATATCGGCACTGAGGGTTCCTCATGCTCTCCCTGTACTAATATCGAGCAACAACACTTCCAAAATACACTCAGGTTGGTTCACATGACAAGGCACAATACCACGCAGGCGCAAGGCTCCGTACGCTATACCATCTTGCAGATCACGCCGAATACCGGTACCACACATACACAGTTCGGTCAGATTACCACGCAGCTCCATTGCAAAGTCCATCTGCCTGTAACCGTACCCTCAAGCCTCAAGCAGTGACTACAAAGCTGAGCCACCGCTCTACGTCCTTATGTCCGAGTGTTAGCTACGGAGGGAGGTCAGGCAAGCACCGGTCCGTCGTGACAGGATCACAGTTGGGAGAGCACAGGCCTCTGCCCAGACAGCCAGACAGTCCAGAGCCTAGTGCCCCAGGCCGCCAAAGCTGCCAGAGATGAAGGACTGCACCAGCAGGTTCACGTTGAGGCCGGTGATGACCACAAACAGCATCCATGCAATCACGGATACGCCCCAGTGGTTGGCGTTACGACCCAGATAGCGCCGAGAGGAGGTAAAGTGCACCAGCGGAAACACCGCAAAGGGCAGCGTGAGTGACAGGATAACCTGTGACAGCACGAGCAGCTGCGCAACTCCATGGCGTCCCATGATCGCAGCAACTATGACTGCAGGCACGATTGCAGTACCACGGGTAATTAAGCGGCGAAGCCACGGGCGCAGCTTGATGCTGAGGAATCCCTCCATCACAATCTGGCCGCTCAGCGTTCCCGTGATGGTGCTGTTTTGCCCTGCAGCCAGCAACGCCACGCCAAACAGCACCGACGCCGCCTTAGCTCCCAAAGATGATGCCAGCAGCTGGTACGCGTCCGCGATATCCGCAATGTCCGTCCTTGGCGGCGAGCCGTAATGGAATGCTGCCGCCGCGACGATTAGGATAGCCGAGTTAATTGTGAAGGCCAGCAACAGCGAGAGCGTGGAATCCAGGGCGCCCAGGCGAATCGCAAGGGCGCGTCCAGGCGCGGTTCGAGGATAGGCGCGCGTCTGGATGACCGAGGAGTGCAGGTAGAGGTTGTGTGGCATGACGGTTGCGCCCAGAATACCCGTGGCGATGTAGAGGGTCTTGCTGTCAGTCACGATCTGGGTACTGGGCAGGTAGCCTCGCATCACCTTAGCCATGTCGGGCTTGGATCGCACCATCTCGTAGATGAAGCACCCCTGCAGGGGGTGGCAGGGAGAGAGGTAGCGGGTCGCGGCAGAGAACGGTCAGCGAAAGAGAAACGCGGACATGCACCCGGGTGCATGTATGCACCTTCCATGTCGCCAGCGTCTGCGGTGTCCCCTTGGCTTCAACTCACTCCTCAACACCCCGTTCACCAACCACAGCCCATCCTTAGCACACCAGTCACACACAGCCCCACTCCAAACCCAGTCTCGTGGCTCCAGCACTCGCACGCACCAAACCCCAACCGAAACCCTAACACCCACCGCAATAATCGCCGTGAGCGCCGCAACCAGGGCTTCAAGCGCTCGAAAGCTCTTGGCCTCAATCACCATCATGATCAGCACGTCCGCGCCCGTCAGCAGCACGCCAGCCCACAGCGGCAGTCCAAACAGCAGGTTGAAGGCGATTGCACAGCCCACCACCTCCGCCAGGTCGGTGGCTGCGATGGCGAGTTCGGCCACCAGCCACAGCAGGCGGTTGAGAGCGGGCGGGTAGGCGTCGCGGCAGGCCTGGGGAGCGTAGGAAGAGGAGGGCGGGGTGAACGGGTAATGGCTAACATCCCAGAACATAAGATGGCAAGCAGCAGTTTGGCAGCTGGGATGGACAGCTGACTGGCGGCTGACTGTCAAGGCTACTACTTAAGGCTGTACAGCTGAGCTGAGGAGCAGATTGTGGGTGAGCACTCTCCTCTTCTGCCCACCTGCGCCAGGTCCCTATCTGACGCAATGCCGAGCTTGAGTGCCAGGTACTGCAGGAACATGGCGCACAGCGAGGACAGCAGCACCACAAACAGCAGCGTGTAGCCGAAGGAGGAGCCGGCAGCCAGGTCGGTGGCCCAGTTGCCAGGGTCCTGAGCAGGGATGCAGGACGGGATTGGGCAGCCAAGCTGAAAGGTTAGGAGGGGGAAGTGCATGATGGGAACACGTGCTGTATGGGTGGTTAGGGAGCTGTGGGTACAAAGCTGGGGGCAAGGAAAGCAAGGGTCAGTTACTGATGGGAAACCACGACTTTACTTACCATGTAGCCTACGCTAATGAGGAAGCCCAGTCCCGCAAATGCGAAGAGCTTGCGGTACCAAGGCGCGTTAGCGCTGGGAAAGGAGAGTGATGCATTGCTTTCTGGTAGGGAAACAGGCTCCCCTCCATCCCTGAAGCCCAGGAGCAACGGTTGACGAGTGTTTGCGTCCGTATCCTGGGTCTCCTCTCGCTCTAGGTCAGTGCTGCTGCGCCGTGAGGGTGGAGCGGCGTCGACTGCTATGCACAAACTTCCGCGGCGCTCTAATGGTGATGTGTCTGGTGACAAGTCGTATTGCACAGAAGCTAGAGGATTCTTGTGGATGTTTGTTGACATAGGATTCTCTTGAATAGCAGACGGCACGTCCACCGAAGCGTGTTGCGCAGGCATTTCTCGATGTCCAAGACACGCTGCTGTTGCGCGTTGGAGGCTTTCGGCCGCTTTGCTCCTCAGCTTCTTAGCAACTACGTCCTACCCCTTACTACCAGTTACTGCTCATCCTTGTGGTCTGCAAGTCCAGAGCTGACAACTTAAGTCTGGAACCGTTTGCGAATGTAAAAAAAAGCAGCGAGACTGTGTGATGTACTGGGATCGACAAGAACAATTGCTACAACGTACTACTCTGGCAACATACGTCCCTAAGCTGGCAAAGCTTACTCGTCCGTTAAGTCGGGCTGGCCGGTGTACGGCGCTACGTAGTTCGCCTGCTGTTCGCTATATACATGTGAAGTAAAGTACTAACTGAAATCTTGCCTCCCTGGCTATATGCTAGTCTCCTTCGCTTGACGCGGTTGTCTACACCTCTTGACCATGTTCGTTTGTGCGGTGGGGCCGGAGGGCCAAATTTAAACCAATGTAACTTACCTCGCTCCTGTGCTATGGTTAGTGGCACACCAGTTCTGTAATTGCCCCTGGCGGAGGCTGAAAGGACCTTTTCACTTGCATGTTTTCAGCTTGACCGTCGCCTCAACCCCATAGCTGCCTCCGCACCATCTCTGCATCCTTGTCAGACCCTATGGCAACTCAAGCTTGCGTCCCCAAATTGCTGCTGCGGCGATGCTGGCGCAGAATTAGCACGCTTGCATTCTGCTTCGTCGCCCGGCCCTGGCACTGCCCCCTTCGGAAAAGCAAGCAACTTGACTGACTGTTCTATCACATACCTTTGAGAACATGATTAACACGGAAAGCAGGCTGGACCGAATGTTGCAAGAGCCGTGTGCTCTGACAACTCACTGTTGCAATAGCGGAGGGTATCGATACTGCTAGCGGGTAAGGTGGATAAAACCCAGCGCATATCGGTAGTGCCGGCCCCGCACGTATAGGGATTGAAGACGGGCGCATGCGTGAGCGATGGAGAGGTGTAGATGGTGGCGCATGTGACGTCAGTGGGGAGGGGAACTTGACGGGGGACGGAGCCATCCCACGTGGAAGGATCTAAAGGCCTTTCCCAAAACACCTGCCATGGATCAGAGCTAGGACACTCGGCTTGACATATGGGCACGGTCGCACTGCCACCGAGGTAGCTGCAGCCGGGTGACATGGCAATGCAACACCCCGGCTCGCGGAAGAATGATACCCATCCGACAGCATCCATAAGTGTCTCACGCGCACTGCAAGCTACCGGTAGAGACTGTAGTTGGGCCACACAGGACCTGGGGTACTTGCTGCAGCATAGGAGCATACATGCAAGCCTCGAACCGGCAGGCCACTAAGAAGAAACACATAGGCCACAACCATGACCTAACGACCATGCAACTGCAGTTCTACTATATCTTATGACGCACGAAAGAAATGAGCTGACTTGCAGCGACTGACACATGCCGTACGACGGGTAACGTGGCAATCGAAGCGCGGCGAGCGATAGCCTTGCTTCAGTGATGGTCCTTAGTACATACGCAATGCGTTAAAGATGGCATTAACGGGCTTGGCTACGACGTTGCTTTCGGCACGCATAGTCCAAAGGGCGTCGCTGTCTGCTGGCTTTTATCGCGCCTCCTCCTCAACAACTGATAGAGATACAGCAGCTGCGGACGCTCCTGATCACGCCAGTGAGTTGCTCATACTCTGCGATGTGGCGTGACCCATGCTGGATGCCTATGTTGCCGCAATGAGCCTTAGATAGCCAGGCAGTATGATACAAGAACGCATTCAGCTGTATTGGATAATTACTGTCCATGACGGCTACAGCCACTCCTATCCTTGACACTTTCCCTTGGCCATTCGTACCAGTACCACACGGCCTATAGGCCTCAACGTCAGCCCTCCCTTTCACCTCCTATCTATTTCCCGTGCCCTTCCAGGCCCGGAACCTGTGCCTCAAGGCATCGCTGCCGTACTGCCCTTCATCGCCTGCCCCTTGACAAAGGCGCCCCTTAGGTAAGATATTTCCTTGCGCCGTGTTCCGTATTTGCGCTGTCCTCCTCAACACCGCCTTCGTGATGGCAGAGATATCTCTATTGCCGCACACGTACACGTTGCCGTACTTCACTTCTGCCGTGCAGGTACGACAAGCAACTCAACAAGCTAGTATGTGACGAGCTGGGCGTGGCCTACTCGGTTACGGCGGACGGTGTACCGCAGCTAGTGCCGCATCTCGGGGAGATTCTGGGCGACGTGGATCCGCAGGCGGCCCCAGGAGCGGCCTCACGGTGATAGACTGATAGTGACAGCAGCAGTAGTGCAGTAATAGAAGGAGTAGTAGCGATGATAGCGGCAGCCCAGGGCTTAGAGCGGCAGGTGTAGGGGTGGTAGCAATAACAGGCGTGTTTCAGTGCAAGGGTGGAAGGGGCAGTAGCGGTGAAGTGTTGTTTGGGCTCTGCTGTGGCCATGACGCACAAGTAAAGCTGGTAGCAGCAGCAGGAGTGGTGTTGGACTTTGGACGAATGTTGGCAGAAGGAAATGGGCAGTGGGCTTGGTACTGTACATACTAGCTGTAGGGGCGCGAGGAGGACACAACCATAGGGGTAGGGGTAGACGTTTGCCTTAAATTGGGTTACATACGTACCTGACAGTCCCAGGCACTTATCCGGAGCGTAGCAAAATGGGTCGGATAAGAGGCAACACGTGCGCAGCCGACAGCGCTGTTGGGAGCTGCTGATGCCGAGCCCTGGCTGCTGCAATGCTGGCCGCTAAGACGAACGTCATTCATTCAACTGTAAGCCTCCTACGGACGAGCCACGACGCCCCACAACGGCGACACCCAAACATGCTACCGCCCTTTCGCGCTCCTCGCACGCATTCCCTGCCGCTAAACAACACGCCCTTCATCAACCTCTCGTCAGCAGAAAGGCACTGGTCCTGCACGTTTCCAAGGCTCAATTCTTCCCTGCCCAGACCTCTATGTACACGTGGGACTTGCATAGCCCCCTAACGCCTCTTACGCGCAGCCACGCTTCCCCCTGCCAATGTCTATAAAGCAGGCTTCTGCAACCCAAATGGCCCTGATGACAGCCCTATACCCTCCCCTCGCAGCTGAAATCTCTAGTCTCAGGTCCACCTGACAGCCACTGCCAGCAGCCGCACATGCCTTCGCCCACCCACACGCTCACTGCTGTCCGTCAGCTGCCTCGTCTCCCTTGCCCTCCTTCCCAGCCTCCCGCTCCTTACCCTCCGCCTTCCCAACCTCCTTTCCCTCGTCCTCCTTCTCCTTCCCTGCCTCTTCCTCCTTACCCTCCTCGCTCTCTGCCCCCTCGCTGCTCTCCTCCTCGCTATCCTCACTGTCATCCTCATCCTCGCTCCCAAATGACTCCAGCGCTGCCAGCATGCGAGACCGCTTGGGAGCTGGCCCCGACCCGGCAACCGCCCCTGCCGTCCCCGCTGTTGCCGTACGCTTGCTGGGTACGGCAGCGCCCCGACCGTTGATGCCTCCGTTGGTGCCGCCGGCGGCAGCCGCCTTCTTGGCCTCTGCCAGGGCCGACTGTACGGCATCTTGGACGCCTGCTACAGCCGCCTTTTGTGCTGCCATGATTACGTCGACCTCAACCTGATCCAGGGTGGGAGGCGACCATGTGGGCGGGGGGAAGGGGGTTGAGACGAGAGCAAGGCCAGGGAGAATTGCAATCCTGGGGCTGACGGGGATGCTGTAAGACGTGACTGCGCTTTAGGTCGGGGACGGAGGCATTTCGAAAGCTGCTTACGAAACGGGAGTTGGTGATGTGGGTCACGGGACTAGTTTGAACCAGGGCGTAATAGGGTGTTCCGGGGGAGAGCGTACGACCCCTGACCCGCCCAAACCCACCTTTTGTTCCTGCTCACGCCGCGCCTGACGCTCCTGCTCCTTTATATGCTGCAGGGCTATCTTCTCTAGCTCTCGTTCCTTGGCTTTGGCCTCCCACTCCTTCAGCTTCTTTTCAGCGTTCGAATGCCGCACGCGCCGTCCCTGCAGGTCGCGCATGGCATCGTCGTTTGTAGTCTTTGAACCGTCTCGGCCGAGGCCGCGAAGCAGAGCTCCGAAGCCGCCCTTGCCGCCTCGAAGCCGCAGCACCAGGTGCACCGTGCTGTGAGGATGGATGCCATAGGATTGAAGGCTGCGCTCGTCTTCCAGCTGACGCCCGGCATACACCAGGCCCTGGGAGCAGCTGGGGACGCCTTCCACTGCCTATGCAAGATAAGGCATAAAGGTAAGCTTCCGTCCAATGCAGCGACGTCTAAGAAAGCCCCGTCAGCTGTAAGCGCACCTCAATTAGCTTTTTCAGCTCCGCGACGCTGCTAGATGGCTCAAGCTCACACGCCTGTGAGCGTGAATATAGATTCCTTACAAAGATTTGCATTGTCGCAAGTCTTTGCGCACTGGTTAGCCGTGAAAGACGGTTGCAAATGAGGTGCAGAGTAAAATATAAGCTCGTTATAGGAATAACACCACTTCTTTCGCAAAGTCTACTTCAACGGTCTGTTTCAAAGTGGCCAGTACCCAGGCTGGAGCGTCTACACCACTTCCGTACGGCAACGACTCAATAATCGCAACGCAGCTCTCAAGCTTGTGCAACGTTGAGTTGAAGGAGTGACGTCTTGAAGCAATTAGCACAGTACTTGTGCCCGTTATCCTTGTTTACAGTCATCACATTCGCGGCACTCCTGTGCATACTTTCATCAATATTTTAGGCTGACTGCTCGAAGTCACTTCTAGGGTATTATATGCATCGGTAAGCGCGAGCGGCGCCACGACGCCGCCGCCGCCAGAAATGGAGCCGGAGCCTGGTAACAGCCAGGGCCAAAAGAATGTTGATTCTAGGCAGGGACCCACGGATACAGAAGACCCTAGGTACCAAAGGCTTAAGCGGACTCAAGTAGAAGGTTTTGATGGCCCCGTGCCCGAGGAGTATGAGCGGCTTGTGGAGCCTCATGTGGCGTCCTTCAACTATTTCATCACAGAGGGCATCGAGCTCTTGGCTCAGAGCATGGAGCCCGTCGAGGTGCGCGGGCGAGCGACCTGGGGCTGTTGACTCCAACCGCAGCGTCGCCGCAACGGCGGCAGCTGAAATCCTGCACCCTAACACCTTTCCTGTGATGATGAAGCGCCCAGCTATGAAACGTATCACTCCATGACCGCATAACACTAGACTGCTGGTTGAGCAACAGCCATCCCCACCGCCACCGCACATCCCACCCATACCGAACTGGGTCGGGCTCAGAACCTCTCACCCCTCGCTACCCGGCCCTCCCACCCACCCACGTCCTCCGTAACCCCTCCCTTTCTCCTCCTCCCCTCCCCCTCCCCCTCCCCTCCTCCTCCCCTTCCCCTTCCCAGATCGAGATCCCCTCGACCGGCCGCACGCTGCGCATGTGGTGGACGGACCTGCGTGTGGAGCGGCCGGTGCGCGAGGAGGTGCTCAAGGGCGTGGGCATGCTGTCGGTGTCGGGCAGCCAGCTCGCCAACACGCGCATCATGCCGCGGGACTGCAGGGAGGCGGTGAGGGAGGGCCGGGGGGCCGGGGTGGCGGGGCCGGGGTGGGAGGTAGGAGTAAGGAAACTGGCGAACTGTATGACAAGGCTTCACCATGGGTTGCCAATTTCACCCGGCCCGGGGTCGGGTGGGAGGGAAAGTGAAGGAAGAGTGAAGCAATGGAGTTCCAGGGCGGGGGGAAGAGGGCTGGGGGCTGGGTGCGGGGCTGGGTTGGGAAGGGAGCGGCGGAAAGGAGGAAAAGGGGGAGTAAGAGGCTAGTTGTTGGGGTGCGGGAGGGAGGAGCGAGTTTCCATGGCCGAACCCAAATGGCGTAGCGACCGCCCGACCCAGATGGCGTGTTGACCCAGATGGCGGCATGGGGCGTAAACGATTGGGGGTGTAGGGCGACTACTATGGGAGCGAGGAGTGGGAGTGGGAGGTACGGGTTCGGCTTTCCAGCATGGGGCGGCGGGGGTTTGGCGGGGTCCTGCACCTGTCTGAGCCCCCGACGGACCCCGCCGCGAGCAGGTTGGCACCCGAGCATCATCCACACCTCCTTCCCCATGGCACCTGAGGCCCGCAAACCGGTACTTTATTGCCTTGTGTCGCCTGCAGCTCCTCCGCTACCTGCCTTGACGCCCTGCTCCCGTGCCCTGCGGCCCCCCCCTCCCTGCACCCCCCAGGGCACCACCTACAAGGGCAGCCTGGTGGCCACGCTGAACTACCAGGAGGGGGATGGGCAGCCGTACACGATTGAGAAGAAGTAAGCAAGCAGGGGGAAGGGCTCGGAAGGAGGGCTGGGAAAGGTCGAGAAGAGGGAGTTGGGTCACCCCGACTTGATCCTAGACTGCTTCTTGAATCTTGATCCCAACCTCACACGCTTCACACCCCATGCCCCTCCCTCATCCCTCCTCCCTCCCCTCCTCCCTCCCCTCCTCCCCTCCCTCCTCCTCCTCGGGATATGGGATTGGGATTCGTTGCTTCACTTATTTAATTTTTTCCCTCCTCCCACCCTCCCTCCCCCTCCCCAGGCTGGGCGGCATGCCCATCATGGTCCGCTCGCGCGCCTGCTGGCTGGCCGACATGAGCCGCTCGGAGCTGGTGGCGGCGCGCGAGGAGGCCAACGAGATGGGCGGCTACTTTGTGTGCAACGGCATTGAGCGCATCATCCGGTGCCTGGTGGTGCAGCGGCGGCACTACATCATGGGGCTGCGGCGGGGGGCCTACCACAAGAGAGGAGCAAACTACACGGATGCGGCCACACTCGTGCGGTGAGGAGGAGGGAAGGGCTGGAGGGGTAGGAAATGGAAACTGACGGGCTGTATGACGTGGCTTCAGGAGGGTGGGGGGTGTTACTTCATCGTATTATGGGTTGCCGCTGTCGTTCCCAACTGGGTCTCTTAACTCTTTATTCGCCTGCCTTCCTTCCCTCCCACCTCCTCCCCTCCACCCCCCCCCAGCTGCGTGCGCCCCGACCAGTCCTCAGCCACCGTGCGCTGCCACTACCTCACGGACGGCACCGTCAACTTCGCATTCACCATGCGGAGGGCGGAGTACTTCATACCCGCGGGAGTGCTGCTCAAGTGCTTCCTGGAGGTGTGGGGGTGGGGGCTTGGAGGGGAGGGCTTGGGTGGGGGGCGGGAAGGCGCGGGAGGCCGGAAAGAAACAAAGATGGAAACAACTATGAACCCGATCATGCCTCCAGGTGCCTTCATGCGCCGAATCCACACAACGACACAAGCCATACCTCTCATGCGTCATGCCACAATCAACCTTAACCCCATGCATGGCTCCTCACACACGCACCAAAACCCAAATCCCTACCTTTACCCCCCCCCTCCCCCTCCAAAGGTCAGCGATCGGGAGCTGTACGGCAAGCTGGTGGCGGGAGCGGCCCCCGGCAGCGGCGCGGCCGCCTTCCTGGCTGAGCGCGCGGAGCTGCTGCTGCGTCAGGCGGACCGTCCCGACCTGCGCACCCGCACGCAGTGTGTGGAGTACCTGGGGAAGCACTTCCGGGTGGTGCTGGGGCAGCCGCCCTCGGCATCGGACTACCAGGTAGGGGAGGAGGGTTAAAAATAAGGAAAACTGACGAACTAGGGGAGGAGGGGGGGAGGGGGCAAATAATGAATGAAGAGTGAGGCAACGGAGTCCCAAACCCATATCCCGACTCATGGCGCGAGCGCACACGGAGACACTATAGGGGAGGGGTGGGTGGGTGGGGGAGAGGAACCGGTCCGGGAGGGCAGGAGGAGGGGAGAAGAAAGGCTGTACTACGCGAGTACGTGCTCAAACACCTGCCTCCCTTTGGATCATCTTTGACCCCCCCCACCACCAACATGGTTCTTCCCAACACAGTGGGCTCTCTTCTTTTCCCTCCCTCCCCCTCCCTCCCCCTCCCTCCCACTCCTCAGGTTGGCCAGGCGCTCCTGCGCGAGTACGTGTTCATCCATCTGGCCCCCGACCGCCCCGCCGACAAGCTGGCCCTGCTGCTGGCCATGCTGCACAAGCTGTACGCGCTGGTGTCGGGGGCGGCGGTGGAGGATAACCCGGATGCGCTCACGCACCACGAGATCCTGCTGCCGGGTAGGGGGGAAGAGCGGAAGAGGGGAAGAAGAGGAATACCCAATAGGGAAGCGAGGGGAAGGTGTATGTGAAGATGTACCGGAACCATCTGGAAGGATGGGAGGGGAAAGTAAGTGAGGATTAAAGCAAAGGAGTCCCAATTACATATGCGGTGAGCGCACACGGAGACACAAGAGGGGGGAGGAAGGAAGACTAGTACGGTGGGTTAAGGTAGCCGGGTTTACTTTCCCCTCCTCCCTCCCCCTTCCCCCTGCCCCCTCGCCCCTGCCCCCTGCATGAGTCGGGATTCGGGATCGGGACTCCGTTGATGCACTTATCTATATTTTTTCGCCCCTGCCCCACCTCAGGCCACCTGCTGCTCAAGTTCCTGAAGGAGAAGATGCAGGACTCGCTGGAGGTGCTGAAGGCGTTCATTCGCAAGGACGTGGTCAGCAAGCCCTCCTCGGTCAACTTTGACGTGAGTGGGGCAGCGGGGCAGCAGGACGGTGGGGCGGGGCTGACGCAGAGGGCAGGGCAGAGCTGATGTCCGCCCTCCTCCCCCCTTGGGCACTAACCCTACCTCCCCTCTCCCCCCCCCCCGCCCCCCTTTCTCTCCCCCCCCAGGACCAAAAGTACATCACCACCGTGGCCGCCAAGCTGCCCGACGTGGGTGCGCGCTTCGAGTACCTGCTCAACACGGGCAACCTGGTGTCCAAGAGCGGACTGGACCTCAGCCAGGCAACAGGCTTCACGGTGAGGAGGGGAGGGGAGGGGGACGGGGAGGGGAGAGGGACGGGGAGGGGAGAGGGACGGGGAGGAACGGGGCGGGGGGATAAAGAGGAAACAACTGACTGACTGAGGGATAAGGCGTCAACATGGGTTGCAACATGTGAGGGGCAAGGAGGGGGGCTTGGAAGGGATGTGGGGAGGTGCGGAGGTGTGGAACATACCGGGTGAGTGGAACGGGGCAGTGCTATCGTCCAGGGGAAGGGGAAAAACGAAATATCCAAATCCCTCCATTGTTCTCCACCCCGCCCCCACCCCCCACGCTCACCCGGCCCCCTTCAGGTGGTGGCTGAGAAGCTCAACTTCTTCCGCTACCTCTCCCACTTCCGCTCCGTGCACCGCGGCGCCTACTTTGCGGAGATGCGCACCACCACCGTGCGCAAGCTGCTGCCCGAGTCCTGGGGCTTCATGTGCCCCGTGCACACCCCCGACGGGGCGCCCTGCGGGCTGCTGAACCACTTCACCACCCAGTGCGGTATTGTGACGTACGAGGACCCGGAGCGGACCAAGACGGAGATCAGCATCATGACGGTGGGTGAGGGTGGTGGAGGTGGAGGAGGGGGAGGGGTGGAGAGGCGGGGAAAAGGGGGTTGGATGTTGGAAGGGCTTTTGTCAGAAGCAGGTGCAGAAGGAGGACACGAGAAGGTCTTCACTGCCGGTGTCACACCAGCAACCCTCACCCAACCTCCTCCCTTCTAGCACGTGTAGCACCCTGCCCCCTCATTCCCCCACTGTTCCGCCCTAATTCCTGGTTTCCTATAGTTCGGTCTGTCCTGACCCCCATTCCCCTCTTCCTCACCCCCCTCACCCTCCCCGCCCCCCAGGTCCTCACCGGCCTGGGCATGCTCCCCTCCGCGCCCGCCCTCACCCCCCCGCCCCCGCCCGACTACCTCTCCGTCATGCTCGACGGCCGAGTGGTGGGTTACGTGCGCAGCGGCGCCCCCGCTGCAGCCCTGGTGGGGAGGCTGCGGGAGATCAAGGCGGCGGCGCTTCTGGCGTACGACACGGGTGCCGTACCGGGGGAGCTGGGGCTGGATCTGCATGAACAGTCGGTGCCGTACCATCTGGAGATCGTACACATCCCGCCGCTGGTGGGCGGCCCCTTCCCCGGCATTTTCCTGTTCACGCAGTCGGCCCGCGTGACACGGCCGGTGCTGCAGGTGGGGTGGGGGGTGGGAAAAGAATGATACCCAATATGTGGGGTGCGGTTGTGGTAAGAAAACTGGCCGCGAGTAGGAACAAACGGGGTGGGGGTGTGTAAAGAGGGAACAAGCGAAACTACCTGACCGGGTGATAAAAGGACCGTGTCATCAGGGGGTGCAACGCGATGAGGCATTATGATGGGTGGGCGGGTGGGGGTGTGACAGGAGCAAGAGGATTCAGCTGCCACCTGATCTTACTCCTCTTCTCCCGCTCGACCCTCCAACCCTCCTAACCCCGCCCTCCGCGTCCCTCCCCCCTCCCGCAGATGAGCAGTGGTCGCCGCGAGCTGCTGGGCTCCTTGGAGCAGTGCTTCATGGCCATCCAGTGCCCGGACGGGGGACACGGGGGCTCGCCGGGGCTTGCGTTCACGCACCGGGAGCTGGGAGCAGGTGAGAGGGGAGGGGAAGGAGGGAAGAGGGAGGGGGAGGACTCGGGACGGCAACTGCTTGTGTCCGGGCAGGGTGCGTTGCTGATGCGCCCCCCTCCTTCCATCACTGCGTGTTAACACTGTTGTTTTGAACACCAAGGCTTCACTTTATCACCATCCCCCCCTCCTCGTCATACAGTTCGTTCCTTAATTTTACCCCCCTCCTCCTTTCCCTCCCTCCCTCCCCCGCCCGCAGGCAGCATGCTCAGTGTGGTTGCCTCCATGACCCCCTACTCCGACTTCAATCAGTCGCCCCGCAACATGTACCAATGCCAGATGGCCAAGCAAACCATGGGCACCCCGGGGCAGGCGCTGCCGCACCGCACGGACACCAAGATGTACCGACTGCAGACGCCGCAGGTGGGGCGGGGGTTGAGGGGGTAACGTTAAGGAAAACTGGCGAGCTGTATGACCACGGGGGGGTTTCAGTGGCACAGGAGGCGTGTCGTACTGACCCAATGAGGCTCGCGCGCTTGCCCTGTCGTACACAGGCGCCCATCTGCCGTACCATTCGTTACGCGGACTACAAGATGGACGAGTTCCCCAACGGCACCAACGCCATCGTGGCTGTGCTGGCATACACAGGTTGGCCCGGGGGGAGGGGGCGGGGGCGGAGAGAGTCGAGCCACGGACTCAACGGACAGCGTTCCGTCGCGTGACCCCACTTTATCCTTACCCGCTTGTCTTTTTGTTCCCCCACTTAACCCGCACGTAACCCCCATGTAGCCCCCATGTCACCTCCCGCCCCATTATTTTTACCCCTGCTGTGCCCCCCAGGCTACGACATGGAGGACGCCATGATCCTCAACAAGTCATCCATGGAGCGCGGCCTGTGCCACGCCTCGCTCTACAAGACGGAGACGGTGAACCTGCGCGAGGAGCGGGGCCCCAAGAGCGTGTTCGCCGCTGAGCCGCATGACAACCACTCCAAGGTGGGTTGGGTTGGGTGATTATCGTAGTATTTGGTTTTGTTAGATTCAGCTGATTAGATGCGTGTTTGGATTCATGTTTTTAAGGTATGTTAAGGTTCAGGGGACTATAGAAGTTGGCCGGTGGCTGGCCGGTAACTTTATAGCGGCTTGGGGTATGGAAATGGAACTCCTTTACCCTACCACCCTCACCACCATTATCCTTACCCATTCCAAACCTTCCCACACAGATGGCGCTGTCCCGCCGTACCAAACCCGTGGGCGCGTTCGGCCAGCGCTACCCGCAAAACGTCCCCGCCGCCTCCTCCAGCCCCGCCGTAGCCCCACGCAAACCCGATGAAGGGGACCGGCCGGTGCTGGTCCCGGAGCCCTTCAACAAGGACGGGGACCGCATCGAACCCGACGGCCTTCCCGCGGTTGGGTCCATTATCTGGCCCGGGCAAACGTTTTACTGCACGCGTGACGAGACCACCGGGAAATACAAGACGCATAAGCTCAAGGGAGAGGAGGTGGCGGTGGTGGATCAGATTACGCTGATCGGTGGAGGGTCGACGAGGGCGGGGGCTCGAGGGAGGGGCGGCGCGACGATGACAGGCGGAGGAGAGGCGCCGCAGCAGGCGAATATTCGGTTGCGGTTTAACCGTAACCCCATGATTGGTGACAAGTTCGCGTCGCGTCACGGTCAGAAGGGTGTGCTGTCGATCTTGTGGCCGGATGTGGACATGCCCTTCGCCGAGTCGACGGGTGAGTGCTGGGTTGGGATTGCTCGGGTGAGGCTCGGGAATGGTATAGGATTGGCCAAAGCCTTATCTGTCGTCTTACACCTTGCACCGCCCTCCCACCTTCTACAGCCCAATGCAAGGAAAGTATTAACCCCATACACTTTACATTCTACTCCCCGCAGGCATACGCCCGGATCTCATCATCAACCCGCACGCCTTCCCCTCGCGTATGACCATTGGCATGTTGGTGGAGAGCCTGGTGTCCAAGGGAGGCGCGCTGGCGGGGCAGTTCGTGGACGCGTCGCCCTTCCAGCGGTCAGACGGGGTGGAGAAAGGTAAGCAGCGCTGGGCTGGGCTGACTGGGTGTGTGTTGAGAAGGCTGGCCGCGAGTGGTTGGATGTGCGAGTGGTTGGGTGTGCGAGTGGTCGGGTGTGCGAGTGGTTGTGGTTGTGTGGGGGAAGGCGGGTAGCGGGCATCACCAACACATTGGACAAGGGGGCGAGTGATCTGACAGTGGGTTAGGGTGGGGGTGGGGGTGGGGTGGGGTGGAAACTCGGGCTGGATTTGGCTGCAGTGTGTGTGTGTGAACGAGTAACACACACATACCGTACACGAGGAAAGCACACCCACTCTCCCTCCCCTTCCTTCCACCTCCGCTGCAGGCAACCCCGTGGAGCGGTGGGGCGCCTACCTGGAGCGCCAGGGCTTCTCACGCTACGGCCAGGAAACCATGGTCAGCGGCGTGACCGGGCAGCAAATGCCCTGCGACATCTACATCGGGCCCGTCTACTACCAGCGCCTGCGTCACATGGTGTCCGACAAGTTCCAGGTTCGATCCACGGGCCCCATCAACAACCTCACGCGCCAGCCCATCAAGGGACGCAAGTTTGGCGGCGGCATCCGCTTCGGCGAGATGGAGCGCGACTCGCTGCTGGCGCACGGTGCGGCCTACCTGCTGCATGACCGACTGCACGCCTGCTCGGATTACCATGTGGCGGATGTGTGCACGTGCTGCGGGTCGCTGCTGGCGCCGCTGAGGAAGCCGGTGGCGGTGGCGGATGTGACCTCGGTGAGGCGGTTGAGGGTGGCGGTGTTGGTTGGGGTGGGGGTTGCGGTTGGGGAATGTTGGGTTGGGTACCGGTATGGCTGCGGAGTTCAGGTGCGCTCTGTCCTTCGTAAGTCTAGGACTGAAATTTTGTCCTGGAGTTAACGTGTTCACTGCTAGCTGATCCAGCCGTAACTGACTTGGCCATCAGCTCCAATCCCAAGGCAAGCACTCACCCGGCCCCCACCCCCTACCCGCCCTCCACCACAGAACCTGCTGCTGGCTGGCGGCTCCGACAACGGCGGCAAGACCGTGTGCCCTCAGTGCTCGCCCACCTCCTCCGCCACCATCGAGCGGGTGGCGCTGCCGTACGTGTTCCGCTACCTGGCCACCGAGCTGGCGGCCATGAACATCAAGATGGAGCTGGAGCTCAAGTGAGGAGGGAGCTGGGATGAGGGGGCTGGGAGCTAGGGCTGGGAGGAGGAGGCACTGGGCTGGGCTGATGAGGGGGCAACGGGCTGCGGAAGTGCGGTGGAAGTGGCTATTCAGGAAGGGCCTGAGGGGGCTGAATTGTTGGGGAAGGAGCCATAAGGAGCGTGGAGGTGGAGCAGTTGTTGCGCAGCTGCCATCACCGCAGCGGTAGAAACGGCGCCATGCAAACGGCGTCAGCATCTGGTGTTTTACGGGTTGAGCTGGATTGGAAACGTTAGCTTGCGGCTGCGGAGGTATTTGTAGAATTGTGTTGGAAGCGCACAGCCGCACGCACGTAGTGGATGAAAGGCACGCAGGACCCGCAAGAGGGAGCTTGGAGGAGGGGAGGAGGGGCGGCGGTGGGCGTGTTCCCTGCGCTGATGTGGCAGTAGTTGTGAACAGTGAGCGCTGCGCTATCCGGAGTGATGTGTGTCCAGGTAGGCTTAAGTTGATGTGATACCGTATGCTTTTTTGGGATTGTGGTAAGGGCGGGACTGTAACCGGGGGGTTTATGCGTCTAGGGGTAGAAGGTCTATGTCAACGAGCCGCGATAGGGGATTGAGGGGGTGCAGGTGTACCGTAAGCACGCCGGTTTCGGCGGTGTAGCAACACGGCTGGGTAGGTTGTTCTTGTTCACGGCTGGGTAGGTTCTTGTGGGCCTTTGGGAATTGGGAGTACGGGCTGGGTTAGAACGTGAAGGACTTGCGGCAGGGAGGGCTGCGATTATTAACCTGTGGTGTTGGCTGATGTCCCTTACACCATGCCACGGAAGGAGAAACGCCGGCGGAGTTTTGTTCGTCGGCTTTGGGGTATGAGCTGCTTTAGGGCATTGGAGTTGCTCTCGGGTCGGTGGGTTTGGTCTTCCAAGTACCGGCAAAGTTGGTAGCGAAGATGTCACGATCGCTGCCAGACCGCCAGCAGCTTCTTTTCGCCAGCAAGCTGGGTCGCCTGGCTGCTGTACGGGTGCTGGCTGTGGGTTCGGCCGTGCCTTGCCGTACAGCAATTGTACGGACATTGGATTGTGTGGACAGAGGAGGAAACAGGACGCAAATGCAATGCTTCGCGCAGAAGCGGCTTTGACTGTAATCAAGAGTAAGACGCCTGCTGCCCTATTTTTATGAAGAGGCTTGGACAGTTTAGATGCAGCGAGTGGTTCAGGACCCCACGCCTCACACTTCCTGAACAGTAAGTCTTGGAAAGGGATGAATCCACCATTCGTTGGCCATGAATGCCGTCATCCATGTTCCTTTGCACATGCAACAAAACCCATGCCACACAATTACTCATCCCACAATTCACATTGCATCATACATGCCGTCTCACTAATCCGCACTGTAACACGCCTGCTACCCTGCACACTCCCCCCGTGTCGCTGTACTGCTCACAGCTGCCTCGTTGCCTCTCAGCTCTCCGCCTAAGACTTGGCCTTTGGCTTAGCCTTTGGCTTCGCAGCAGCAGCAGCCGGCTTCTTCTTCGCGGCCGCCGCTCCACCGGCACCCTTCCCTGCTGCCGTCTTCTTCGCTACTCCGCCTCCCTTTACACCCAGGTTCGGCTTCCCTGCACCTCCTCCTGCCGCCTTTGTCCCCGCCTTAGCAGCCGGTTTCTTTGCAGCCGCCTTCCCTGCCTTTGCACCCGCACCCGCACCCGCTGCCTTCGAGGTTCCTGCAGCAGATGAGGCTGCCGCCTTCTTCCTGGGCTTGGCTGCGGCCTTGGCGGCGGCCTTGGAGCCCTTCGCTCCGCTGCCAGCTGCCGCCGCCCCAGGCGCCGCCTCCTCTTCGTCGCCTATTTGGTAGTTCTCATCATCTCCGTCACCGTCAAGCAAATACGCAAGGCCCGCGCTGTCGTCACCATCGTTGCCGTACTGATCTTGCGCTTCCCGCAGCCGTACAAAATCGTTAAACAGCGCCTCGACCTGGCGGAGAGAACCGGACCAGTGCGGAAACCCACAAGACATATAACGAAGGGCGAGAGCTCCTAACTTGGTTACATTATCCCAAGACAGGCGAGCCATGACCCAAATCAGCCTGCAGCCCTCTAGCAAGCAACCAACAAGCCCAGTTCATGGCTTCAGTACTGCATCACAACCCCGTACTGCCCCAGCCCTACCTTGGCCTCCGTGGGACCTATGTTGAGCACCATTGCGGTCGCGGCCAGCGGCAGCACCCAGGCGTTGTATACCACCCCCTTGAGGTCGACCTGCAGCAGCTGCTGACTGCCCTCCAGTAGACCCCCAAGGTGAGGACACACGCCGCCGCTTGCTGCCGCTGCTGCTGTGTATGTTGTGCAGGGTTGAGGGGTGAAGCAAACGGTAAGATACGAATCAAGAGCACAAGACGAGAAAGTACTCTGACGACCGAATTTCCGGTCAAACGTACAAGCATGCCCGCCAGCCAGCCAGCCAGCCAATTCATCAGCTCACCCTTGTTGCCCGCGGCCCCGGCCCCCTGCATCACGATGATCCGCCCCACTGCACCCGCATCCCCGCTCAGGTCCGCTGCGCCGTGAGGCTCCCCGGAGGCAGGCAGCTCCACCAGCACCTGTTATAAAGACAAGTTAAGTGGCATACGTACAGTCGGCACGACCTGTCGGATCTTTTTATCATTTTTTATATCCGCGGTCCGCCGTTCCCCCGGTGTTTCTCCTTGTGTGTTGTTTCTCTTCAACGTAGCGCACGGCACCGCACCTTGTTGCGGTTGAGCTTCTCCGGCAGCATGATGGGCACCCTTCCAACTTCGCCTACACCCAGATGCGCGGCAATAGATGGACCAACGCCACCAGCTTGTTTTTGTGCTGGTCGCTTGGCTGGTGTTGGGGCTTGGCTGGCGGTCAGCTGGGATCCCAAGGGCTGTTCGTCCTTCCGTTCATCGTCCCTGCTAGCGGGGTCGCTTGGCTTGGTCGCATCCTTATGGGTCGTGTCCTCCTGCTGCTGCTGGTTAGCTGGTTGAGTCGTTGGGCGTGCTTGGCTGGTTCCGGCACCTGGATTGGCTGGAGGTGCACGCAAGATGAGTGGCATTGGGCATGGGGAACGCGAATGCTGGTACCAACCTTACCTGTTCCTGCCGCCGTGCCACGCCGAATTAGCGGCAGGTCATCATCGTCATCGCTGCTGCTGGCTAAGAAGATCTTGTTAGGGGTCTGTGCACACAACCAGAACGTGAGTCAGGGGCCTGAGGAGGAACTAATCGGTACGCATTAGGATTTGGTAGGTAATCTACGGTATTTTCACAGGTTGCACCAACCTCTTTATGTTGCCGTAACCAGTCAGGAGTGTCACCGCTGCTATCAGACATGGCTTAGGCATGGGCAGGGTGCCCGAAACGACACCTTTACATGTGGTCAATAAATAGTCAATTATGCTGATAAATTACTGTTCTCCGGGTATCTTTGCTATCTGCCCGCACCAACGGCTTGAAAAGGGCTCCGTACGCTTTCGCGCGTTTTTGTACGGCAGAGTGCAAGCCCTGCATCGCGACTATATCATGATTTGCTAAAGACATCGTCCATAGCTAGCTTTATGGCAGGCAGTCCCACTCGGACAGCGCTATCTTTGACCCCGAAGCCCGACGGAACCCAACTGAAGCTAGTAAGCGTCATGTCTGGTCCCGTCCTGTTCGTGTGTAGCATGAATGCTGGCACATCGCATGTGAGAAGCCGATCCGAAGAAGCCTTGCACAACTATGCAGCACAGCGAGTTGGGCGCTGGTGACATGGTGACATGGGTTTCACGTGTTGGTGGGCAATAAGCACATATAAGCTAGGATATTTCCGCACGGCCTTCATCGCCGCAATCTGCACTGTCTGATCACAACGTCTGGGCCCAGGGCCCCAGGCCGCCCAGATCACCCTACACCTCTGGTTTCGCCGTACACCAGTTACTGACGGAACGAACAACGAAGCAAGCCTGCAAGACTGCATCCTGTCTGGGATACTAACACATTAATAAAAAAGCGCTGCTGCTTTTATATTTACGTCTTCCCGTCAACAAACCAACGCACCTTGATACTTATTCCTTGGCACTGATCTGCGTCATGAGCCAGCCTGCGATCGCAGACGCTGCTAAAGCTGCACTTAAAGATGCATCGAAATACTTGTTTTTCGACGGGCAAGGGACAGTATTAGCGTCCAACTTCACGGTAAGCTAGTGACTGCAAGCGGGCACTTCAGAACACGGAAATGAGTACTCATTTAACTGTAGGCTGAACCAAATGAGCTTAAACCGCTTGAGGCGCTCTTTACTGACCGCGACGAGGCGGTTAAGAATGGCATGGTAGTGCTTGGGACACGCTACGAGGTGAGCGGTAGCCAATACTTTACTCGTGCCTTAACCCCGCTGGGGGTGGCATAGGTACATATGATATCATGCCCAGACCTGTTAATCGGCGCCAACATCTTCGACCCATTTAGCTCCCCTCCGTTACAATTGTGCTGGCTCCGGCGAGCAGGTACACCGCCACCACCCGCCCCTAGTCTACGGTCGCACCATGGGCGGTGTGCCCGAGCAGAGCGAGGGGTGCGCCGTGTGCAAGGTGGAGAAGGGACTCGGAGGGCAAGCCTGCTATGGGCTCATCATATACCAGTAAGTGCGGCCAACGGCGTGGGCCCCTGTGCACCCGCTTACACCTGTCGAAGGGATGTGTAATCTGTTAACCACGTCCTGACGGCTGTCTAAGAGGCCGGAGCCACGGTTAGCCTAACGTCATCCCGCTCCGCCTCCCTGCCGCCCCGGTTCCCCTCCCATCAGGATGCCCAACATCTCAGCTCGCATGGTTCCCATGCTGCAGAAGTTCTGCCAGGAGCAGCTAGAAGCAAAGTAGCGGGCCTAACAGGGATAGCAGGGATATGGGAATAGGCGGAATGTATTTGTGTTGAGCGAGAGGGCCAGGGAATCCGGGGCAGAGAGCTTGTTGTGTGGGGGCTAAGCCCTGCACACAACGGTGCATAGTAACAGACGATGGCGTTGGGCGTGGATCAGCGGCGGCACCTCACAGAACAACGCGCTCATTCGCAGCCGGTCCAATTAGCGATGGCCGTGTTACTCGGGACGTGGCCTACCATGGCGAGTCTGGGTGTTTCACAGGGCGTGTGAACTTTGCATGTCTTTCTTCCTTGAAGTGCTAAGTGCGAATGAGAGCCTGGCGGACTAGACGGGTAATGCAGAAGTGATCACCGAGAGCTGCTGGTTGCTGTGCATCAGCGGCTGTGCAATGGTGCAGTACACAATCCGTACGGCAGTCGCATCCTGAACCGCGAGTTGGGCTCCTTGCCGTCTCGTGTACCGCTTTTCGCGGTGCTACATGATGGGGCAAGAGCCATGCCGCCACCACCATCATAGATACCGACATCGGTGCAAGTACAGTAACATTGCCAGGTCGCATAATTGCCGTACCCTTGAAGTACATGCGGTGTTCACACATCATTATGACATTGAGCACAGGCATGTCCAGATCAGTCGCCGGGCGTATGAAGCAGATTCCTCCGCACACTCCTTTTCAAAGTGGACATGCGACCAGCAAATTATCAGCGCCCCCAGCAGATTGGGATAAGAAAAACCCCATGCCGGTATACCAGTAATGCTTTGGGCGCACCGGGACACGCCTAAGAGTCTGACGCCATTTGGACACGCCGGGGAATGAACTGTCTTGGAAACAATGGCTTGGCAAATTTGGATGTAATTGCATGTCACCGACCCAGCATCCTTCACAAACAGTCGACACGTAAACACAGCGGCCACAATATGTATAGCAACCACCACAGCTGCCTCACAAGGCACGTAACAACCCCAGACTCCTCCCAAAGCACCCACCCCAGCGCGGGCGTTGTTGGTATACGTGTACGTCCAGTCATCAGCCACGTAACGACGCTCAGCATTCCCTACACGCGTTACTGCCCAAAAGTATGTCACCAGTACTAGAATACAAGAGTTCCATCCTTACGCACACCCCATACGACGACAACCGCAAGCCAGGAAGGAAAGGTCCTTGGCGTGGAAATGCGCCAACGACACCCACCACCACCACCACCGCAGGGCTGCTGCACCCGAGGCCTAAGCTCAGACGAAAGGTCTTTGCGCCAAGCTGGTGCACCCCAGCTTCGTGGCCTCTTCAAGCACGGGAGTCTTTTACGCCTGGCTTTGCGCTGCTCCACAGCTGCTCACGGGCTCCAAGCTCCGAGCCCTGCAGTGCCACGCCAGCAGTGCGACTGCTCCTCCATGGCTGCTGCGACTCCCCTCCCATACTGCTGCTGTCAACTCGCATCCAACCAGTCCTGCCAGGACAGCAGCATTCCCTAATGCAGCCGCTGAAACCACGCCTCTGCTGCCGCTGCTGCTACCGCTGCGGCAGACATGCGCTAGTAGGCCTCCGCTGCCATGTTTTTATCAAACATGGGCACACGTTTGAGGTAGCGGCTAAACGCGTTTTTGCTGATGGCCTGCTGATCGGGCGTGAATCGCGGCCCACGCAGCCCGACAGTTGGGTCGTACGGGTCGCCGTACGGCAGCAGGTTGCGGTTGGATTGCAGGTCGAAGAAGGGCGCTTTGACAGCACCCAGAGCAGTGGTGAAGGCCTGCGGGTGGTGCGAGAGCATCTGCGAGGGAGGCAAGGGAGGTCCAGGGAGAAAGGAGGAAGCGGCGTGTGGGTAGGGTTACCATGGAGTAATGCACTGATGCTACACCTGCTCCCACCGCAACCGCACCCCGAGACTCTCTGGTCCAAATTTCAGGACCCAGATGAATTCAAGAGCCCATGCTCGTACCCTGGCATCCTCCCTGCTCGCATCCTCACCAGCGCCAAACATCCCAGCGCCCTTGCCTAGTGCCTGTGCCAAGCGGCCACATCACACCGCCATTCCTTCACCCACCTCCCCACGGTGCACTTTCTCCTCCAGCAGCGCTTCCCGGTGCACTGCCTCATAGTCCGCAGCCTGACGCAGCGTGTGCCGTGCAGGCACTGTACGACCCGCCACCTCCGCCGTCGCCGCATACACAGGCGTCGGGCCGCTGCCGTCGCCACCCGCGCCGCTTCGTCTTCCCGAACCCGAGCGACTGCGGCTACCGCCGCCAGCCGACTGCGGTAACCTGCCACTACCGCCCATGAGCGGCGGCAGCCTGCCACTGCCGGCGAGGCTGCCGCCGCCGCCGCTGGCAGCACCAGCGCTGTTGCCGCCGCCGTGCGGCTGCCCTAGCGCCGCTAGCTGCGCCTTGACGGCGGATTTGAGGTGGTCCTCGACTGGGAGGCCCATGATGACAGGTAGCGTGCCGGTCGCGATGCTGTACGGCGAGTTGAAGATGCCCGGCTGTACGGACGTGGAAACCAGGTGGTGCAGCTTGCTGAGCTTGTCTGCGAAGAGTTTGCGGGCGCGTTCCTCCGCTTCCTGTGGGTTAGGGAGTGGGGAAGATGGGAAGGGGTAAGGGGCAGTGAGAGGTGCGGAAAGCCGGGTAAAGGTTATGAGGGTTCTGAGGGTGTGGAAGGGGTTCAGGTTCAGGTGATGGGTTGGTCTTGCACGGGAGCACGGCCCTAACCGTGGTCTGTCCGTGAGAGGTGTGAACCACACCACAATTGAAGGCATAGGGCTGGCACATCATACAGGGGTATAACATTGTTCCAGAGGTTGCGTATCACCTCTTGAGGATGTATACCACGGTCCCCAAAAAGGCAGCAGTTCACCCACCTGCCGCTGCATGATGATGGCCCGCTCCGCCTCGAGGCTGAGCTCCGCGCGGACCTGGTGGTTGCGCTCCCTGACCTGCTGCAGGTACCGCTTGCGTGCATAGAAGTCGTGTATGTGTTTCCGGCTGTAGAAGCCGCGCCACCAGCGTTGAATGATGGTGGCCATGGCGTTGAAGTACGCCTTGCGCAGCGTCCGGTTGTACGCTTCCAACGCTAGTTTACTCCGCAGTCGGCCTAAATACCCCCTCCAGTACCGCTGTATTGTCAGCACCGTGCCTCTGCGCATCGACAAGGAAAGTGTTCGCCCAACTGCCCCATGAGCAACCCAGAAACGAACGTGCTATGGACTCACTCTAACCGCTGCAGCCGTCTGCGCACTAGGAAGCCGCGTGCATACGCTTGAATTTTCACAACTGCCTTGCCCTCCACCTCTCTCCGTTCCTCCGCAAGCCTGTCAGCAAGGCGAGGTGTTTTAGACTCCGTATTCGCCGTATGATGTATACAAGTGGTATGTCTATATTCCCTATCGAGAAACAGCAGAACTTGCATCGCAGGCGACTTCACCGAGCACCTGCACTTCGAGAAGTACTCCTTGATAAGCTCCGGCGCGTGTACTCGCTGAAGGTTTGCTATAGTCGCCATGTTTATTGACTTTCAATAATGCGGGCCAGTGGGGCAGCTACAAGAGCGGGCGCCCTCTCCCCGGCCCCAGAATTAGCCTGTCATAATTAAACGCAGAAGGCGTGTACGTATCAGTGTATATGTATTGTAGAGTTTTCGGTCACAGAAGTTTTTAGCTGAATAATAAGGTTTTCCGCGGCCTCGATGGTGTAGTGTACGACCAATAGGGAAGGCAAGTCCTTTCATCCTCCCCACCATTCCAAAGCACTCTCTTGCAACCTACATAATGTCTTTGGGGGCACCTACTCCTTTCTTACAAAGCAAAAGGATTTCCCACGTATGCAGGAGTACATGTCATGGAAAGGTGCCATTGGTCTGTTTCCCTCTTCGGTATGCCTCGAGCTGCTTAGGCAACGCCTGCCGATTTGCCTGAAAGAAAATGCTTGGACTTCCAACTAGTCTAGTCCATAGGTGGACTAGGCTTACAATACATCCATCCAGCAACGCATGACGCTAACAAGCAACGTAGCCGCAACATATGCCAGGCACGGGAAAGGCCAAAGGCGACAACCACCAACGCAGGTTTGACGTAGCCAGGAACGTGCCCGTGCAGGTGTCCAACTCGCCTAGTCCAACTATGGCAATTGAGATTGCTGTCCTTGCAAGCCCTCCACAGATGCGCCAACCAGACAAAATCTTCGCCCCAGAAGCCCTGACAACATGCCTGAAGTACGGCATCACAACATGCACACATGTGACATGTCACACACTCATCATGCGCCGTCACACCCTAATGCAATCCATGTTCTCTGAACGGGAAAGTGCTGTGACGTGGAAGCACAAAGGACATGTACAGGCAGTATTGACCATAAGGCCTATCACGACAACCACAAACCCATATACACGGCCAATTCTGTATGCATAAAGACATAGGAACTTAATTCGCAAGTCACTGCAACCCACAGACCTAAGCCAGCTATGTACAAGACCCCGCTACCCTCCTCAAGCAGCCTGGTTTACTGCCACCGCTGTCTCCGCCGCCGCCGCTGCAGCGGGCGCTTCTGCTGCTGTGTCACCCGCCCGCTTGCCTGCCGAGCCCTGCTTGCCTGCCGCCTGCTTGCCTGCCGCCTGCTTGCCTGCCGCCTGCTTGCCTGCCGCCTGCTTGCCTGCCGAGCCCTGCAGGCGTATCCGCAAGCCGGGTTGCGCGACCCGCATGCCCAGCCCTTCCACCACCTCCCTCCCCGGCGCCTCGTCCTGCCTGCCGTAGCCCGTGATGTACACGGTCTTGCCGGACATGTACGGCAGCGCAGCTACGGCGGCAGCAGCGAAAGAGAGGGTTTGGAGGACAACCCACATGCCCAAGAGTAAACGCTTGTGTACCGACGATATCGCAAGGTAACCCTCCATGGTGAACCCATCTCCAGTGGGGCGCCACAACGTACAATCCCAAGGACCTTATCACAGGGTAGCATGTAATAAAAGGCATGCCAACTAAAGCCCAAATGTTCCGTCCATACCGATAATGCAAGGGGATGCCCAACTGCCAAGCAGGGGTATGCCCTTTGCATGCCAAAAGGGCGCTTACCAATGCGCGGGAGCTCGTGGAAACCTGTGCGGAAAGGGGAAGCGATGCGGGGAAGACACAAGCGGTTAGCATGCAATACCTGCAGCGGGCATATGAGAATATGATACACGGCTTCGTGCGATGCCATCTCTTCATTTCTAATTCACCACGCAACCATCCCCGGTTTTCCCACCGAGCCCAACCTGCGTGTTCCTGGCTGCCCTCCGCCCGCGCATCAAGCAGTAGTACGGCAGCCTCAGCCACGTCGCCGTACAACTCTTCGTCGTACCCGCTGTCAGCCTGCAGGCGGGTTTCGGACATGTTTGCTTTATTAGAAGAAAGGTCAGGTTGTAGGACCCAAGCAGTTGCCACCTCTGCCAGCTACAAACCCCCGGTTCATGGAGTTGCCACTTGTATCCGCCTTTGAATCCTGTATACGCCTCCATTCCAACCCGCTACCCACCGTCCAGCCCAGCACCGGTTCTCCCTCCTCGTCGTACAGCACGAAGCCGTAGCAGGTCTCCGAGTGCCGTGACAGGCATGGTCGTACGGCAAGTCCGGTATCGCCGATGAATGTCGTACAGCCGGGGAGCGTCTCACGGAAGGTCGAAAAGAGCTCCTGGGGCTCACCTGGGGGCGATGAGGGGCGGTTGTGTATGCTTAGTAAAGTGTATCAGGGACTGCAACCTATTATGTATGTGGATAATTAAGCGTGTAAGGACTACAGCCTAACTACGAGCTTACGTTTGCTGTAAATCGGGTGTCCGTACGGTATAACTCAGTAACCAGTACGGCAGCCAGCACTTGATAGGCCATTAGGCCGTATTCTCACCGGTGGACCTCAGCTCCCGCAGCCGGTGCTGCCGAACTTCCGCCATGACGTCAGGGTGGCAGTACAAGTAAGGCGGATCGAGACCGGCCGCCGCCGCCGCCTTCTTCTCCACAGCCAACACCACAGGCAGCTCACCTGCGGGGCGGGTAGACAAAGTAGTGACGGTAGGCAGAGTGCAAACGCATTCCTAGTATCTTTGCTTTTCCTTCAGCCGCTCCTAGAAGCGACCGTGGGTGTCGTGTAGGGCATGTCCTATCCCCGCAAGTGGTTCCGGCTGCTGCTGCAGGTGATGCTGCCGTACACACACATGTGCTGCCGTACAAACACATGTGTGCCGTACCTGCATGGTCTCCGTGGTTGTGGCTGACGTAGATGTGCTTGGGGAGCTCCCCCACGTGCTGCATGCAGGCGTAAGTTGTGCCGTAACCCTGCGTACGACAGTGTGTTTGATGGAATTGGGTCACTCTTGGTGGAATTGTTTTATATTCTAAATGAATTCGAGTGAGTGCTATGCAACCCAGTGGCCAGATAGATTTAGGAGAGGTGCTCGCTTTCTCCTGACACTTCGCTTCTTGAGATCCCTCCCAGCAGCTCCCAGCTAGGAAGTTTAATGGACATCCCCTGCCACCACTCTGCATGTGAATTCTGGACAGCAGCATGCCGTACGGTTCCTACCAGCTTTTGACCCTGAACATCCCGAAGGCATAGTCACTCTTACCACGTCGCACCACAGCACAGGCTTCCCGCCCTTCAGCACTACGAACGAGGAACTGGGCTCGCCTGAGAAGGCATGAGTCGTGCCAGCACCTGTACCAAGCACAACTATTTCGAGAGATGCGTCTTGTAATTCCTCTTTGTCATCTGGCGCTGCGGATGTCCCACGGGCGCTAGTCGTTTCGGTGCCGGGGCCAGCAACTGCCGCCCTCGACCAAAGTGTGTTACCCATTGAACAAGTGACAAATAGAGTGCTACATATTTGACGTTCTAATAGCCAGATCGGCGTTACAGAAGGTATAGATTGCAGAAGCTTCTACGACAGGGCGTTCTCTAACCGTTTTTATTTTACCCTTGCACACCTGGTAGTATAATAGGTTTGGCGCACACCTACTCGTGCGTCATGTTTAACTCGATTGCCTTCATACTGCGCTCGCTAGTTAGTCCATTACTGAACATCGTGCGCCCTCTCTTCCGCGGAGGCGCTCGTTCAGAACCCCCACCATCCGCTCGAGCAAGAGCGAGAGCGCAGTTACAAAAGACCACTGCAGCTTCAACCCCCAAACAGTCGCAATCGAAGCAGCAGCCGCGCAATCCCAAACAGCCCATGGAGCCAGCGACCGCCTCCCCAGCTGTTGAGGAGAAGTCGAAACTAGCGGAGCAAGCGACGGCAAAGGTATTGCATCAAGCTTACAACTTTTCACTCGTCTTGCTAAGGGCCCATTCAGTCGCGAATCGGTTATTTAGCCGCTCTTCCCTGCCGCAGGGCGAGCTCTCTTACTCTTACTGGGCTGGCAAAGGGGGCGGAGGCGTGCCTCTGCCTGAGCCTCGGGTGAGGCGACACGCAGCACGCGGCGCAGCACATGTCCCGACCCGTTACATGTTGCCGCCAGGGCATTGGGTGAATGCTTGGGAGAGTGTCGCCTTACATACGCTTACATCGCATTATCAGCGACCAAGTGGACGCCACGCCGCAGATTATTTATTTTCCCGCATGTCTGGTCGTTCGTCCTACAACTGAATGCGTAAAGCGCCAGCAGCAGCAGGAGCCGGAGCAGGTTCCTGAGCAGGTTCCTGATTTACCCGCATGACAAGTGACACCCGCCTAACTACTCAACCCATTCCACTCTCCCAACGCCCACCCCAATTCCATAGAAACTCACGGACCAGGAGAAGGAGGAGCTGGAGCGCCAAGCCAGTGCCAATGGCGCATCTGCATGGAACGCGGTGGGTTCACACGTACGGCAGCTGTGCTGGATGCTGACGTCATGATGCCCCCATGACACAGCAACTGATTGTTGTGTAGCTGCTGCTGCTGCTGCTGCTGCTCCTGCTGAAATGTTGTGTCAGTTGCTGCCGCCAAGCTGCCATGCTGCCATGCAACCTCAACCACCAGTACGAATACGTTACCCTCATCTCCAGCCTCTTCCGTAGGCGCCACGTCCACATCCCCACGTCTCCCTGATTGCTGTCCGGTCCCTGTCCCCCTGTCTCCCGCCCCCACCGCACCCTCCTCCAGGCGGGTACCTTTGAGGAGCGTAACGCCAGCGCCTGGGCCAAGGCCCGGCTGAAGGAGCTGCTGGTGGGGCTGCGGCTGGCGGGCGGGGAGGTGGAGGTGCTGGACGTGAACAGCTGCGAGGGGGAGGCCAACATATTCCTGGTCCGGGGGAAGAAGAGGTGAGCGGGGCCGAGTGTGGGGCCGGGGCTGGGAAGCGGGGTCTGGGAAAGTGGGACTGGGCAGTGGGGGCTACGGAGGTGCGGCCCGCTGGGACCTGGGAGCCAGGGTGTGCGTGTGAGACCCTGAGCTGGATACGCGCATACCGGTGCGCTTGACCGTGCTTACTTGCCGCAACGGCGCGTCTCACCTGCCCTGCCAGGTGCGGCTTCGACTTTGAGCTGCAGCTTGCTTGGAAGGCGGTGCCGCGACCTGGGGCTGTGGAGATACGGGGACACTGCAAGTGAGTGGGGGCTAAAGGAGAGAAAAGAAAGCAACACATGATGTGAGGGAGGCCTTGGGTAGGTGCGGGGTCCTTGCTTGCCAAGCGGTGCGCAACAGGGAGGTCGCGATGTGGGGTCACGTGCGTATGCCGTACGGCAGCTGTTATGTCCCGTCGTCCGTACTCCCCCTCCCGTACACCCCCAGGGTCCTCAACTTCTCCTCCGACGACCCGGACGACCTGGAGGTGCGACCCGAGGTGGGTGCCCGGCAGCCGGAGCGGGCAGCTGACGAGGCGGCTGCGATGGCGCGGGTGAAGGCGGTGTTGCAACCCGAGTTGGTGCGGGTGTTGGGGCAGCTGCTGGAGGAGCTGAAGCAGAAGTAGGGGAGCAGGGAGGGGGCCAGGGGGAGAGGTGGGGGAGCAGTAGGGGAGAAGGGCGGGTAGGGGAGCAAGGAGAGGTGGAGGAGCATTAGGGGTGGAGCAAGCGCAGTCGGGATGGGTGACTTAGGGGCCGGGAGCGGGAGCAAGCGTTGTTAGGTGAGATTGAGCAGGAGAAGGCAGGGATCAGGGCGGTTGCGGTGGGGGGGTTTTGACAGGGAGGTGAAGCAGCAGGAGGAGGGGCGTGAGCGGAGGACCTCGTGTCGTCGTGTGCTGAAGCAGGTGCAGGAGGTGAGGGGAAGGCAGACAAGCTGGAAAGAGCACCTCTCATGCGATCTTGTCACCATAGCTCATAGCGTGGGTTGACCGCTTATAGCGTGGGTACCTGTAGCCTAGGTTGGGCTTGTCGGGAACACGAGCACTTCACGACGCCGAACGGTGGTTTGGTGCGAGCTGCGGACCCTAGGAGCACCGCGACTGCGGATGATTCATATGCGAGAGGATAAGCGAGCAGAAGGCTGTGGTGGTTGGGGGAGGGCTGCGTTCTGGGGAAGAGGTAGGCCTCCAGTAGTGAAGCGAGGAAGGGGATGCATTGCCGGTATTGGCAGGCCTTGGACCCTTAAATACACTTGGAAGCAGTAGGGGCGTGCAGGTAGGGACGTGACGTGCAGCAGCGGTATGCATCGGGAGAAGCAAAGGGATGGAGGGAGCAGGTGACGAGCTTGTGTGCGTGCGTGGTGAGGCGAGCTATAGGGCAGGGTCGATGCGGCACGTGCGTGTGCCGTACATGCCAGTACGGTGAGTGATACGTGATCGAGCCGTCCATATTTCCTTAAATGGGATGTTAGACCAGACCCAGCTGTCCTTACTCCCAAACTCCTTGTTGTGCTTGTTGCCTCCTCGCCGCCCCCACGCATCGTTAGCCTGGCAGCCCGCCCCACCTTGCAGCACCTTCCCCATGGGCCTTCGGGAGCTCCTGTTTCAACTCCTGTTCCAGCCTCTACACAGCCCAACAACTCCGTTGCCTTGGGATCGGTAGGATTCCCTTAGGATTCCCACCTGTCCTCGGAAGACCCGTCTGCGCGCTTCATAGGTGCTATCCTACCCAGGCGCTGTACCCTACAACTCCCTGACGTGTACGACACTCCCATCAACAGTCCCATCACCACCTACAACCCCATCACGATGGCAACTGCTGCCGCAGCACCTCCCGGCGCCGCCGCCACTTCGCCCCGTCCCGGTACTTCCGTACTCCACCCCCCGCGCCCGCAGACAGCACAACCGCCCCCGCCTCCCCATCACCATCCTCATACACCCCCGCCCCCATGTCATCAACTTGCAGCAAACCGCCTAGGCTGCTGCTGCTACTACTGCTACTGCTACCCCCATCTCTGTCGTACTTATTGTCCAGTACGACACCTTGCCGTACGGCAGGAGGCCGCCGGGGCCGCCGCCGTACGTTTCGGCCTCCTCGGCCCCGTCCTTCCGTGTCGTCGTATCCGGCAGACTCGTCAAGCGCGGCATCGAGACCCTCCTCGTCCTCTTCTTCCAGCGCCAGTAGCTCGACGTCAGCGGCTTCGTCCTCCTGCTCTTCTTCTTCCTCATCTGGACGCCGAGTATCCCTGCTCCCCAGCTCCGCACCCTTCTTCTTCCTGCCTTTCTTCTTCTCTTTCTTTGTCAGCCTGACGCCGCTGTCACTGCTGCTGCTGCTGGCGGTGGCTCCCCCATCTCGTTCCGAAGACGCTGAGTACCGCTCAGACGCTCCTGCGCTGCTGCCACTCCTCCCGCTACCGCTTTCCTTTGCATCCGCATCCAAATCTCCGGATGGGGTTTCGGAGCCTCCATCATCTGCACCTGCCGTACCCGCCATGACCTCTTCGCTGCTGGGCCCTGCGAACACTTGCTCCAGGTCCTGGGGGCTGAGCTGCCGCCACTCGCCCTCGGGGAGCGACCCAAGGGTCAGTCCGCCCACACTGACTCGCCGCAGCGACACCACGGCGTTGCCAACCGCCGTAAACATGCGCCGAACCTGTATTCAGTATGTTAGGTAAACAGAGCCGTGGTCAAACACTAACCGTGATCATCGCATACCGGTATTTCGCTTTGTCAAACCAAGTTACCGGTACAATTCAGGTGGACTCCCCAAGCCCCAGCCCCAGCCTATCCACCTGCTCCCGACCCCACCCTATCCACCTGCTCCCGACCCCACCTGGTGATACCGCCCCTCGCAAATGGCCACCCGAGCGGACCGCTCGCCCGTCATATCCAGCTTGGCGGGCAGCAGCGGGGCGTGGTCACCCTGGCAGCCGGGGGGAGGGAGTGGAGCATGGCGAGGCGGCATGGGGTTTCGGAGACGACAGGGTTGGGTTTGCAGGGTACCGAAGAGGGCCGGGCGTTTAGCGGGGAAGGGGTTGAGCCAGGTGCACAGAGAGGGCGAAAGGAAGGGGAACTGGCACCGGTATGTAGCCCCGGAGCCGTATAGGAGGGGAAGGTAGCCTGGCAGAGGTGCCACGGTGACGTACGGCAGGTCTTCCCCATCTGCCTTACCTCGAGAACGATGGAACCGCTTGCAAACTTGCGTGCTGCCGCCTCCGCCTGCTTCGGCGTCATGGGGTCTGCTAGCGTCGCTTCGTACACCTGGGTTCGGATTTCGGTTTGTTACCGGGTTCAATGCTTTATTTACGCAAGGGTTCGTGGAAAAACATATAGGGGTACGCCTGCTGCGCGTGGTTACTTGTGGCTCACGAACATTTTGTTTCTCCGCGAACAAGTTCCTTGTTCCCACCTTCCAGATGCCCCGCTTGGGCGAATTGATGCGGTGCAGCAAGGTGCCATCGTCCGTCAGCAGCAGCAGTCCCGAGGTCTCCTTGTCTAGCCGACCCACGCAAGACAGGAAGGGACGCCGCCGACCAAACCTGTGGCGGCGGATGAACAGCAGCGGCGCGAAGTTCACTTCTGGAACGATGGAACGACCCGTGGGTCGACATTCCTTTGAATACGACATTCCTTATGAGTACGACAGCAAAAACTGCGCATTCTCTCCAAGATCAACGGGACAAGTCAGACATGTCGTAACCTAACCCGTATCTCTACCTGTACGGCAAGAGGTCGTACACGACTGGATCCGTGATTTTTTCGTCATCCGGTGCCGTGACCACGTAGCCGGTGGGCTTGTGCAGCGCCAGCAGCAGCGGGGATGGTGGGTCCAACTGCTCACCCTCGAGCACCACTTCGCCCCACATGACCTTTTCGCCCACCTGGAACCAGATCCGAGGAGAGGTACGAATTTTGCAAGCTGTTGGGTTGCTGAAATTGATGAAGGCAAGTAGCTTCCGTAAAGGGAAAAGAAAGCAACGGGACAAGTCATGCAAGCCACACATGCAAGGTAAGTACGGCATTCCATCGTTTTCTCACCTTGAGTTTAGATCCGTCTTGCCTCGTCACGCGTCCCTTCTTGACCAGCTGCTGGCATTCCCGCCGCTTGCCGTACCCAAGATTCGCCAACAACCGCTCCACGCGGTACGGCTTTCCAGCAACTGCCAACCAACGGTCAACATAAAGCAAACCGTTCAATGCGAGCAATAATGCAGCTGAAGGATATGACGCCAAGTGTGTGTTTGCACAATGGGTTTGTAACATCAACGGCTCCTGGGAGCAATTGCACTTGGAGAAAACAAATTCGAGATGATTGAAATGATATAGAGATCCATAACCCAGAAGTGCAGTCGCCGAAGCTGTGCCGCCTACCGTCATGCCAACCCCACCTCCCTCCCTACCCGCCTCCCCAAGCGCAACACAGAACCAACCACGGCTCGGGGCCTCGGACCTCCCAACCACACCATACATGAACCCAACCACCGCTCACCGGATGCTTCTTCGTCGCCCTCATCATCGTCCTCCGCCTCGACATCCCCACCCCGCTTCGCGGCGACCCTAGTGACGGTAACAGGAGGAGGAGGCACACCTGCGGAGGCTCGGGGGCGTGGAGTGGGGGCCGCCAGCATGCGTTACGGCCATGGAACCGTCGGAGGAGAGGGTAAGGATGGGGCCTGGCCCGGCGGGATGAGGGGAGACGTTTGCAGGGACACGACGGCAGAGGGAATGAGGTGCTGTCTTGTGTTTTAGAGGGCGGGGATTCAAGAGTAAGTCGGTGTGCAGTTGTGAGCTGCACAGGAACGGCACTTTACGATTGCAAGGCAGGTGGGCGGGTGGGCGTGCTGCGTAGTGGGCTCCATGGGGCACCAAAGACCAACCAAAACGACATCCGCTCTTTTTAATCGCAATACCGTAATGTGCTGAAATGGTTATATCTTTCTCAAAATCGCAAGCCTTTGAATAATTGGCCCACCTAGGCCGTATCGAACTTGTCGGCTCCCTACGCTCGCATGCCGCAATGAAACGAAAGTGCACCAGGCATGAGAATTGCGATAATTGTATCGAATGTGTCGGTCGTCCAGCTGGTTTGTAACCAAATGTGAGCTAGGAGAAAGTCTATTTGCAAGCAGCATTGTTACTGGGTGCAGTTAAACGTGAGCAAACATCAGTGTTATGTAGAATTAGCACTTGCGCGACTTGCCTCGGCAAGTTCCCTTAAGCAAAGCTCGGTGCAAGGGCAACCACCCAACTGCCTTAGCTTCCGAAACCGGATCCTTCGCCCTTCAGAAAGCAAGCTAGCTACTCGCCCAACCTGCTAAGTTGCTCACAAGCCTTAGCTTTCTAAAAAAAATGGTCCTCTCAATGCGATCGTCGCTGCGCGTTGCGTCCAAGACTTGCACAACAGGGACTTGCTGCCCGCTGCTTCGCCCACAATTGCATAGGTCGCCCTTTGTAGCTCAAGCGGTTAGTAGCTTGCTGGAAGGTTTGGATAACTCGGGCTTAGCAAAAGGCAGTGAGCGGGTTAGCCATTCTTGCGAATGTTGGTATCGCAGGTGTTCGGTAAGGCCAAGGCGAAGACAGCAAAGACAACTAAGCGCGCTACGGTGGCCCCAGAGCCGTCGTTCAACCTGCAGCTAGGCCTTCTCGGACTCTCGGGCTTGTCATTCTATGAGAACAACTATGGACTAGGCGGCTTTCTGGGTTTCCTAGGCATCTTCCTTATTTACCAGGCAACGCGTATCCGGTAAGCTGCGTCTGCAGGATTACTGCCTTGCTTGCTTGCATCAACGACGGCCCTATCCTAAACTCTGACCCCATATCCAACCCCGGCGCTTACATGCCGACCACGCCTTTTCCCCATGAACTGCACACAGGTTCTCTTTTGATGATGAGGTGAGGACCAGAATGGCGAGAACTAGCCGGGCAACGCGATGGGAGGGTTGGAGAAAGCACGCTGGGTTGGATCTGGGGTTTGCACGACAACTCAACAGCTGAACCCCTAGAGAACATGGGTCGACATATGTTAGCATTGTTAGGGCACCTCATCGTATCTCAAGGTCTCCCTACTTCTCTACCGCCTCCCAGGGCCTGGAGGTGCTGCGTGCCGGCAAGGAAAGTGAGAACGTGATAGTGGGCGGCCGCAACCGCTGGGAATACTCCAGCTTTATCAACTGGGAGTTCTTCTGGCCTGGTTTCCCCGTCCTCGTCTACTTCAAGGTAACACTGCCTCCTTGACACCTTTGCGTGTTGTTGGTACCAGTGCATGCTTTGCTGCTGGCCCGTGCTTTCTTGGGTCCTCATGCCGTTAATGCGTCAGTTGCTTTATTGCAATTGTACGGCAGTCTCCATCCGCCGTGCCCTGCTGTACTGCACCCTATCGTACCGCAGGAGAACAAGACCCGGCCAGAGGGTCAGGTGCACTTCTTCCCCATCATCTTCAACGGCAAGCAGCTGTACGATGTTATGGTGGAGCGCTGCGGACCCTCTAAGAACAGCGGACCTAAGAAGTGAGCAACCGGGAAGAGAGAGGAGGGAGCAACTGAGAGCTGGAATCAGCAGGGATCCCATACTTTTTGCAAGGAACTAATGGATACGAGGTGCTTTCTTCCAGCCGGAGAGGTCATCCCAGGTGAAGCATGGACAAGGGACTCTGCGGCATGTTTCCTGTGGACGTTGTGAGGGTTCTGTAAGTGGTGCGTGCGTGTCACATGCTTGTTAAGCGAGCTTGGCATGCAGAGGGTTGGTATGGGTTTTTTCGCTGATGTAAGACTGTTGGGCTCGTCTGTCACAGGTTGACTTACCTGAAGCAGATCTACGACACTGTACTATAAAGTTGTAACTGAAGATTTGTCGTTTAAGTGCACGTGGTCTAGAATTAAGGAGCAAGTCGTGTGGTGTTCAGGAAGAGGTTGGCGCACTGATGGGGACATGTGGTTCACATGGGGGAATGAGGTTGACAAGCGGCATGCAGTGACAGTCATACTGTGTTGTCCGTAGTAAACAAACATTTGACGAACTTAAATCCACGCTATTTAACGGCTTGATCAATGGGACGCCCGCTCACTACCTTGCGTTTTCGGAGCTGTTGTCGCGTCGACCGCTATGGGAGCAAACTCAGCAGTTAACATCAGATCCGTATGCCAACGTCAATAGTATTGCTAAGTTTCACATCAATTGCACGATGCTCAACTGGCGCCGCTTCTGTTGATTGTAATGCATGGGCGAGTCGAGCACGATTACTCTACAGTGATAATCACTATCGTTCCGGGACATAAGAATACGGTGATAAAAAACTTCTTTTGTTACACACTCTATGGAGCCAAACCGGAAAGCGGCTAGAACAATCGATGGTTCACGACGTCGGTAGCCGTGCCTTCTCCTATTAGGTTTGCGAGGAATCTATTCCTTATTAGGTAACTACTCGATCCTCAGCGGCACACTACTGGTCTGGCACCCACCCGGTAGACCAAAGATGGACCCGAACTTCCAGCAATGCCTGGACCTCCTGCGTGGGCCTGGAGACGAACGCAGGTGGGCAGATGTGCACAGCCATTACATGCAGTGCATAGAACACTACAGATACAATACGTAAACACAATCCACAGATGTTCATGCTCTAACCGCAGCAACGGTAGGCTTTATCATGCATCTCCTCCTGTGTTCCCACGTGCGCTACAGGTTTGTCGGACTGCTTCTGGTCACGCGGCTGCTGCCCAAAGGCAGCGATGACGCAATACGACAGGTGATTCAAGCCCTTGGCATGCAATTCCTGCAGCGGCTGCTGCTTCCGATTCGGAGGCCTCGGGCGCCGCCACATGCAGCATCTGCGGATCAGGCGGCACAGCAGCAACAGCAACAGGAGGCGATGGGATGTGGACTGGCACTTGCTATCCTTGCCGCTGCATGCCGCCTGCCGGACATAGCGGCAGGGCCCGATGTACGGGAGATGCTGCCGCTGATGCTGCGGGTATGTACGGGAGTATGGGGATACGAAAAGCACGGTAGGCAAGGTATTGGTTGGTAAGCCCATTTGGGCGGGCAAGCTGGTTTGCACGATTCACAAGACCAGGAAAGGCTTAGTCAACCAGATAGTTGCAATTATGGGAGGAGTGCAGTTGACGCCGGCAGCACGGCGCCTATGCTAATGCTTTAATGTTACAACACTATATTAACGCAGGTCGTACGGCAAGGTGGTATTACAGCGACGGAACCCCATCCAAGCGACGCCGCCAGTACGGCAGACGTGGCGGCCGTATCCGACGCCCTGGAGTGCCTTCTGGCTGCCGCCGCCGCCTCGCCGCACCCCACGTCCGCCGTACTGTCACAGGCAAACGCGCTAGACGCCCTCGCCGCATGGCTGCCGACTGCCGCTGCTGTCCTAACCGCCGCCCCACCAACCGCCGCAACCGCCGCGACGGAGGTTGACGCCCAGTGTCACCACAGCGTGCTGCTGGCGATGTCGCTCCTGGAGCACCTTTTAGTCGTCTCCGACGTCGGTGGCGGCGGTACGGCAGCAGCGCCTCCGCCGCGGCGGCGGGGACCTGCCGTACTGGCGCTGCTGGCGGAGCACCCGACGGCGGCGGCGCGTGTCATGGCGGCACTCGCAGCCTTTGTGGGCAACCCCCGACTGCTCTTGCCACAGCCGCAGCAGCAGCCGCAAACTCCAGATGCAGCCGGCGGGGATGCTACAGCCGCCTCGACTGTACGGCAGGAGGCCGCTAGCAGTAGCAGCGCTAGCCGCGCGAGTACCAGCAGTAGCACCCCTCCCAGTGGCGGTCCTGCTCAGCTACAGCTGGAGGCTCTTCGCCTGCTGCTGCTACTGCTGCCTGCATGCAGCCAGGATCCCGTTGCAGCCGCGGCGGCGGCGGAGCTCGTACGACTGGACGAGCAGTTGTCATGGTCAACTGCCGTACGACGCGGCTTGGGTTGGCTGCTGCGAAGTCGAGTGCCGGGAGCGCTGAAGCACTCTGGACTGCAGCTGGCAGCGCAGGTGGTGGAGTTGGCGGGCGAGGGATGGCTGCTGGGGCGGCGTGCGGGGGGGCTACCGCCACCGCCGCCGCCTCCTTCGCTTCCCTCGAAGCAACCGGACCAACACCAGGAGGAGCGTCCAGAGGCGTTCTTGCTGCTCCTGGCGGAGACTCTCAAGGTGGGATAACCTTTTGTTACAGCCTGTTATACGCGGCGGCGTGCATGCACGTAGGGAATCGTCCTTCCCATGCAGCCTCACATGCAGCACGCTCCTGACCACCTTCCCCACCTTTCCATCCCCTCTCAGATCGAAACGGGTCTGCTGCTCCACGACGCCCTGCACCCGGAGCGGAGGGTGCCGGCAGCCGGCTCCCTCCTCCGCACCGGTGCGCTCGGGGCCGCCGGAGCTGCCCACGCGCCGCCGCCGCAGCCCTCACAGCGTCTGCTGGATGAGCTGGCAGCGAAGGCGGCGCAACGTAAGGCGGCGGAGGAGGCCGCCGTCAAGGCAGCGATGGATGCCGGGAGCGGCGGTGGCGGCGGCGGTGGCGGAGGTGGTGGTGCGTCCGCAGGTAGCGGCGGTAGCGGAGGCGGCGTCGCTGCGATTGCCGGGGGAGAAGGAGGTAGTTCCGAGGAGGATAAGGCCGCTGATGCAGCTGCTGCGATGGATGTGGATGGCACGGCAGCGACAACTGCGGTTCCAGTGGTTGGCGGATCTGCTGCTGCAGCTACAGCATCTACAGCTGCGGCTCCGGAGGCAGGACCAGGGCAGGGATGGGCGGGGGATCGAGCGCTGGCGTTGCTGCCAGCTTGCTTCCGACTGATCGAGGGCTGTGTGGAGGCGCTGGCGGCCGACGCGGCGGCAGCAGACGGGGCCATGGAGGTGGATGTGGGGCCGGCGGGGCGTGGGAGGTCGGCTACACCGCCTCCCCAGCCGGTGCTGTCGGATTCCGCACTGCAGGTGGGTTAGGGCCAGTGGGGTGCATGCTTGGCTGGGAACCATCCCGTCGCTTACCTCCGCCTCCCTCCCACCCCCCAGAAGCTCATGTCCTGCCTAGACTCCCTGGTAGACACGCTGCTGCAGTTCTTCGAAGCAGCCGCCGCAGCAGCCGCTGAACAACAGCAACCCGACCAGCAACAGCAACAACCTTCCCCAGGGGAAGTCCCCCATGCTCCTGCAGCCCCTGCTGCCTCAGCCCCTGCAGCCTCAGCCTCAGCGGCAGTGTCCCCCGCGCTGCTGCTCGGTGCAGCCAGGGCGCTGGGGCGCTACCTGGCGGAGGCCCCCGGGGCACTGCGCAGCGAGACGCTGCTGCGGGTGCTGCCGGGGGTCATGGGGCTGCGATGCGGCGGGGGCAGTGGAGGTGGAGGCAGCGGAGGTGCCGGCGTGAAGGAGGAGGTGGCAGAGGAGGAGGAGGGCGGCTTTGCGTTGGCGTTCCTGCTGCCAGGGCTGTTGCAGGTGGGGTGCGGGTGGCGTGGTGAACAGGGAAGCATACATGTGGCGTACGGGCTCTTCTTGAGCATCCTCCCGCAACCTCCCAGCCGCTGTGCTGGGTCCTCCAGCTCATTCGTTACACACATCCGGCACCGACCTGTTACGGTAACTGTTTCCATCTCGCATCCCCTCCCGCCACCCCGCACCAGGCTACGGGTCCCGGAGCTGAGGGGCGCCAACAGCTCTGCAAGACCCTGCGCGAATCCCACGCCGCACTGGACGCCTGCGTCGTCTACCTAGCCCACTGCGTTCGCTGTGCAGCCTCCGCCGCCCCCCACCTGGAACGACTGCTTGCAACCGTTAACTCCCGCAGTAACTCCCGTAGTAGCAGTAGCAACACGGACGCTAGCAGTAGCCGGGGTGCTACAGCTGCCGGTGCTGCAGCTGTTGCTGTCGTGCAATCTGATGTCGTACGAGCAGAGCAGGGCATTGCTGACGTCAGCATGCTACTGCTGAACCTACTCGAGCCGGCGGCGCTTGCACGGCTGACGGCGACGGCGACGAAGACAACGAAGCGAACGCAATCGCCTGAATTGGCAACGTCAGCATCGGGTACCGTACGGACAGCACCCGCGGCAGTAACCGCAGCAGCAGCAGGCTGGGCAGCCCTGATAAACGACCCCAGCCTGTCCGCCGCCGCCTCCGCTCGAGCAGCAAGCGCGTCCTCGGTTCGATCCCAGGTTGAAGCCGCGGCGGCGGCTGCAGCTCAGCACCTGCCGCCGCTCCTAGCAGGTGTTGTACCCTGCTGCTGGCTGATTCACCGGTGGGCAACAGCGCGATCTAGTACTCTGCAAGCCTTGTCCTCCTCTCCCTCCTCCACCTCTTCCACCGCCGCTGCTGCTGCTGCTGCCGGCGCCCCTGCGGGACTTCCCACCGACCTGCTCCGCAGCCCTGCAGCGGTTCCGGAGCTGCTCGCGGGAGCTCAGCTGGCGGCCCGGCCCCTGTTGTGCGCTGCATGCCTGGCTGCAGTGGTGCTGTCGAGCTGCATGCGCGTGCTGGCGGATGCGGCCATGCACGAGCAGCAACAACAGCAGCAACAGCAGGCGGGTGGCAAGGGGGCAGCAACCCCGGCAGCAGCAGCAGGGGCAGCCCTGTCCCCGTCGGAGGGAACCATGACGGGTTCAGCGTCTGCGGCCGGCAGCGTCATCCTGCCTCCTGCGCTGGTGGAGGGCTTGTGCGCGCTGTCCCTTGCTGCGGCCGCAGCTGGAACTGCTCTGGAGCTGCAACAGCTGCAACGGCAGCTCCAAGTGGGCGAGGATGTGGGCATGGAAGAGGTCGAGGTCGACGATGGTTCCATGCGTTTCCATGCATCGGCATCGACATCGGGAGCAGCGGGCGCAGCAGCAGCAGCAGCGTCAGGGTCGCCTGCGAGGTGGATGACCGCCGCAGGTGTGGCTGAGGACTACCCGGGTGATGGAGAGGTGTGTTGGGAGCGGCTGCTGGCTGCGTGCGTGCAGCTGGTGGAAATGTGCGGCGTGATGCGGGGACTGACCCGTGGGTCGCTGTGGCTGCGGCAGCTGGCTGCTGCTGCGGCGAGCCGGGAGGGACAGGGCATGATGGGCGCGGGTGAGGCGGTACGGGAGCTGCTGTTGGATGTGAATCTAGGGCTTCTGTTGCATGTAGTGGCGGCGAATGCGTAGTACCGGTAACGCCATTTGGGGCTGTCCTCCTATACGTTGTTGCTGCGAAGAAACACCTACTGGTAATAGCAATACGAGCGGTACAGAGCAGTAGAAGGAGAGAGAAAGAGGGGTATCTAGGTGGCATGGAGAATGCGGTGGCACCGAGGGGGTTTGTTGGGATGTTGCGGAACGTGTTGCCAATGGTACTTATTGGTAAGCTCCTAGCAGAGGAAGTGCGACAGTCTGCAGGGTGTTCGGTGGTGCTGCTGCTGCGCTGGGGCGCTGGGGCGCTGGGATTCGCCATATCTGTGCATGCTGGGGGCTTGGGACACTGCATTGTTATCGGTTGCAGGCGGTTGCTGCTGTTATCAGGCACCGCGGGCTTGTCACATGGTCGTCACATGTTAACTCCAGGAGAAACGTACAAACAAATTCGCATGCAGTTAATGCATGCGTCACAAGCAGGCACGCACGCGGCATTGCGGCCGCCGAAGGAGTTAGAGCGTCTCTGTAATGGCAATGGCGGGGATTGGGTCCTGTGGACACCTGTCTCACAACAACCAAGCAACGCAGCAGCCAACCAATCCAGTCAAGCCAACGCAGCAGCCAACCAATCCAGTCAAGCCAACGCAGCAGCCAACTGTCAACTGTCTATCGGGGGTACTAAGGGACGCGCGGAGGCGTAAAAAAGCATAAAATGCATATGTCTTCAAAGAAAACATCTCACGAAAGCGCCGATGTAGGTATACGAGACAGTGTATTGGGTATGGGTACGGCATACGAGACACGCCAGCAAGTGTACGTACTACATTGATCGGAAAACGCCACGAAGTAAGCAATTCACGACCCATGGGTCAGTTTCTCCAATTCCCCAGCAGTCAGAGGCTCACAACACGTTCGAAAGGTGTGCTCCCAGCAACGCCTTACCGCGCGTTACCGCTCTAACCTACTGCTCACACTCCTACGCCCGCCCAAGCACCTACTGATCTTTCTACCTCACCTTTAACAACCAATTTTGAGCAACTACAACGCTTTCGCCTCGCTGTAAGACGAGCAATCGAAGCTGCAAGGATTGCGAAGCCAACTCTGCGTGCAACCCCTTACTCCAGGCCAAGCAACGCCCGTACGGCCAGGTAAGCCACCATCGCCCAGCAGCCCGCATGCACGAAGGCAATCCGAGCACACCCGATCTCCCACTTCATCCCCGCCCCGCCCCCCTTCTGCTTCCTCTCCTCCTCTTCCTGCTGCTGCACCAACCTCATGCTCGCAGTGATCGGATCCGGCACCTGCAGGAATTTGGTGAGGGTGCCGGTTGCCACCAAGCGCCCGGTGGCCTTGCGCCTGAGCTCCGCTGTTAGGGTAGCCATCAGGCGGCCCACGCGAGCCACCCGCGCGTCCACCACCACCACTTCTCCCGGCCTGCCCGGCATGGGTGCGAGGTAGGTGACGGCCAGGTTGACACTGACGCCGGTGTGGGGGCTGGCAGTGAGGAGGGCGGCGGTGGAGACGGTGTCTACGATGGTGGCTGAGGGGGAGAGGGGTGTGGGTGGAGGTGGAGGTGGGTCGGGGTGTGGGAGGGAGAGGTAGAGAGGAGCGGGAGGCGGGAACAGCGGTGGGCGAAAGGTTGAGGAGGACTTGGCGAGGTTGCAGTTAGGAGGATGGATGCAAACAGGTGGTCTAGGCTGTACGGCAAGAGATCTGGGAGCTGATGATGAGGATGAGGACAGGAGCAAGGTTTCGGAGCAGTGGTAAAGCAAGCCAAAAAGCCCAAACTGGCTGGTTAAACTGGACGAGGGCTGTGCATGCGCGCACACACGTTCCTACTCGCGGCCAGTTTTCCTAACACACGCGAGGGTTCGTACCTAGCACGACTGTCGCATTGTGCGGGGATTCCCCACCTGTTGCGCCGCCGTGTAGTGTGCCGTATCGGTTTTGAACACGCTCCGTAACCGGCAGCTCGCAGACAATGCGGCCCTCGGAGACCTCGATCACGCTCATGCCTTGCAGTGCTGTGTGGTCAAAGATGGCTGTGCGACGAGGCACGGCTGTGCCCTGAACCAGGGTGTCAACGAACCGCCGTGCTAGGTCATTACGGCTAATGTTGTTGCTGCTGCTGCTGCTGATAACGTCACAGGTGCTGAGCTCACGAGCGTCAAAGGGCGCTATGACGCTTGCGACTGATGAAGTTCTGGACATTGGGAACGGTAGGAGGGTATCTGGGGAAGGGTTGGCTTCAGCAGGACGGCTGACACTGCAACGACGGTTTTAATTCTACGCGGCCGCAACCCCGATGCGTTGCTAATTAGGAATCCAAATTGTCGATGTCAAGTAGGCAGCAGTCGGAGGATTTGGGGTTGGGAAGGATGGACCAGGGAGAGAGGACTCAGGAAGAAGAAATGGACACACTTCATTTACGCCGAGACGAGTCGGGATAGTTTGGTTTGGAGAACAGCAACAAAGTTGATGTAGATCCAACGAGTATGCCTTCTCGCAACGTACGCGACAGATGCAACAATGTGTTTGCGAGTCAGACTTGGTAGTACCTAGCCTGCGGGGTTACCGGTACCTTCCATCAAGAACTCGCAAAAATGATGATCATGCACCATTTTTCCCACTAACATATCCGTCGTTACATGTAATTCCTCAAAAAGGCTTTTAAGGGCCCCTTCTTAGGGTGTCCGGCGGAGTTCTGGCAATGTTGGGGTCTGGTTTTTGAACCCAGTTCGCCACGATCCATGTCACCGTGGACGAAGCCGTTCACGCGGTAGCGCACGGAGCCCATACGTTTGCTTGACGTTTTGGCTCACTTACTTTTACTTAGGACTCGCTAGCAATCCCGCCTAACAATCTTCTTGATTGCAACCAACAGCGCACCTTACAGGACTCGCCAAGTGATCCAGGTCAATGGGAACCATTGGCACGAGAAATGACGCATTACTGAACTTAAATCGTACATGACAATGCCGACACTACGCTTACTAGACATACTAGCAGCCCATGAGGATTGACCAATGGGCCACTCCACAGCGTTGTACTAGACATACGGTACCACAGCGTTGAGGAGGGGGAATGACCCATGGGTCACTCCACAGCATACCCTGCAGGAGAAGACCCCTTTACAAGCCCGCTGCCAGCAAGGAGTGCCTGTGATAAAAGAGTTACACACATTGACACCCCTGCCCACTCCCACGCTACTACCGCTGTCATTCAACCCCAGCTAACACAGCCCCTTCTTCTCCTCTTTCAGCAGCTCACAGCTTGCTTGGTGCAACAACCACTGCGTTTTCGTCCCGCCGGACTTCCCTCCACTCCTCCTCCTTCTCCTTCCCCTCCTGCTGCCTCCTTGCCCACTTCATCCTAGCCGCGGCCGGATCCGGCACCTGCAGGAACTTGGTATGCGTGCCCGTGGCTACCACTTGCCCCGTCGCCTTGCGTTTGAGCTCCGCTGTAAGAGTGGCGAGCTGCCGTCCCACGCGAGCCACCCGCGCGTCCACTATCACCACCTCTCCCGGCCCGCCCGGCATGGGTGCGAGGTAGGTGACGGCCAGGTTGACACTGACGCCGGTGTGGGGGCTGGCAGTGAGGAGGGCGGCGGTGGAGACGGTGTCTACGATGGTGGCTGAGGGGGAGGTGGGGGAGTCGGGGTGTGGGAGGGAGTTCAACGGGCACTGGAAGTACAATGGAGGAATGGGATACGGAGGATAACGACTCGAGGAAGGGGAGGTGTACGTCAATGAGACGCTTTGTGCGATTAAGCTCATGCTGCGCGACCCTTTCCATGAGCCGTGAAGAAGTGACTCACCTGCTGCGCCGCCGTGTAGGGTCCCGTATCTGTTCTGCACACGTTCCGTAACCGGCAGCTCGCAGACGATGCGGCCGTCTGAAACGTCAGTTACAGTCAGGCCTTGCAAGGCTGTGTGATCGAAGGTGGCTCGGTCTGGCACGGCCTTGCCCTGAACTAGCGATTCAACAAACCGCCGTGCTATCTCGTATAGGCTGACATCGCTGGAGTTGGCCTCGCGTCCTTCGTCGGCTGGTGTTGTGATGCCATAGGCTGCTCCAGCGCTGGACATTATGACCAGGCGGGCGCAAACAGGAAGAGGCCGGGCCCGCTGTCTCTATCTGTGGCGACGGTTAACCGCTGGTGGGTTCCAAACAGTCCTTCAGCGCGCCTGCAACCGTAAACACGTCGAATGTTGTCGTCTTAATTTGTGCGAAGTCTGTCAGTTGAGGGCGCACGGGAGTAGATGGAGAGTGACGTGGAGCCTGTGAAGTTGATTGACAAAAAGCAGGATTAGCTTACAATTGACGCGCATACAATTAACCGTAGTGTCGCAAGACCTGATGTCGCAGTACGTGTGCTGGCACATTGGATCGAAGCCAACTTAATCGTACATGGCGATTGTCCCCGTAGTCGCCGTAGAGCAGTCCGCCGTTCTTCCTCCTATTGCCTCCGCGCTTATATTTAAAGGCAGTTGAAGGCCTGCATTGCTGTGTGTTATGCAACGTTGTCAGTCAATGTAACATATTAGCACTTAGGTGGACCAAACGGTCTGGTTGCCAGCGTTCAAGCGATAGCATGCACAGAGATGCATAAACTCTACGGATAACGCGTGTAGGATCGTGCGAAGAGCGGCGGCTTAGCACTTGGGATTTGGTCATGATGGGCCTGGACAGCGTTGTAAGTATTTTTTCTTACTCTGTTTGTTTTGTTTGTGTGTGCGGTCCATGAGCCTCCTGGCTCGTCTGGGCCTTACGAGCCTTACAGCTTGTAACAACTCACTCACTCACTCTAGTAAGCTGATGTGCTGGTAAGAGGAAGGAAAAGATGGATCAGCGCCTCTTACAACCTACGAGTGGCTGGTCGTTATGCAACACTTTGCGCCTCGGGACTCTTGCGTTCAAAATGACAGCCAAGACTTGGTTAAGCCATTTGCCCAGAGCTTTCATATGTCGTTGACGTATTGGCAAACGCCGACCGTCGGATGATTGCGGCACGTTCTAGCGTTCTTTCTACCGTATGTGGAGAGCGGTTGAGCGCATATGCTTTCCGCGCTGCCGACATGCATTCCCACATGTGAAGGAGGTTCAGCATGTGGATCGAGCCGTGATGCGTGATCATCCCTAGCACGAGCACCCCCATGAGGTTCATCACATTTGGCGCCCTTTTTCGGGTCGTTTCATCCACGGGTGCCTTACCTTAAGCATCAGGCCCTCAGCCCACGCGACTGTCTGGACCGTCTATGTCTGGCGCGCCGTGGCTGCATTCGGTTCGCCCTGTTGAATATGCATGCCACCTTGCGCTCGCAGCGGCGGCATCTGGCTACATAGCAACAACAATGAATGTCTATACTGCTTGGAAGGGTCCCGTACGTTCGGTGATGCCACTGCCGTCGCAGCAGGACCCGCTCTGCTCGCCGTGGTACCCTCAGCCGCGAGGATGGCTGGCTGGTAGGAATCATGCGTTATGCGCACACGGCTTCCAAGGCTTGCTACCTCCCGCTATAATGTGCTGTCTCCATGCCCATGTGAACCCACGTGCACATGGTAAGAATGCCACGTGCTGTGTAGGCGAGACATTCTCCCCTCATCCGTGTCTCAACCTTACCGCTTCCGCATCAGGCCACGGGCCCCGGGGCAGAGGTCCGCCAGCAGATTTGCAAGGCGCTGCGGGATGCACACGCCGCTGGTTACAGTTTGAATGCAAGTTAACTCATTTGTTACATTTGTCACATTCGTACGCATGAGGGGCAGCGCGCGGCATGCCGTACTAAGGCTGAAGTAATGACAATGTGAAGTGGAACGGACACTGGCACAACACCTGTAGTAAGCTAGATGAACGCAACTATCCTGCTAACTGCAAATGGGGACAAATGCAACGTCCACATTCATAGCGTTTAGATCCATTGAAGCCTTGTACTGGAACGCCAACGCAAGTACATACGCAAATGAGGGATTGAACGACCCATGGGTCACTCCATCCTTTTCCCTGTAGTTCTTTTCACTTGAACAAGCTTGATGCCAACTAGCGCATGCATAAAGTCCTCGACTTGTGCTTCACTCCTTACTTCTATTTATGCAGGACCAGTACTTCCTATTCTTAAGCTCACTTCGTGCACAACTACAACATTCCCGCAATGCCTGCCTCTGCCTAAGGCGCATTTGAGTTTCCCTAAAACCCTCCGAACGACCGCCTACGCACCGCCGAGCAGCACGCGGAGGAGCAGGTAGCAAACCACCATCCAGCTGAACGCATGCATGCACGCACGCGGAGCACTCTTCACCGCCCGCTTCCACTCCTCCTTCCCCTTCTGCTGCCGCTCCTCCACCTCCTCCTGCTCCCTAGCTAACTTCATCCTGGCAGTGGCAAGGTCCTGGACCTGCAGGAACTTGGTGAGCGTCCCCGCGGCGACGACCTTTCCGGTGGCCTTGCGCCTGAGCTCCGCTGTTAGGGTAGCCATCTGGCGGCCCACGCGCGCCACCCGCGCGTCCACCACCACCACCTCTCCCGGGCCGCCCGGCATGGGTGCGAGGTAGGTGACGGCCAGGTTGACACTGACGCCGGTGTGGGGGCTGGCAGTGAGGAGGGCGGCGGTGGAGACGGTGTCTACGATGGTGGCTGAGGGGGAGGTGGGGGTGGTTGCAAATGGAGATTGGGATGAGAAAGAGGGATGGAAATTGGGTGAATGGACGAAGAGGTGAGAAAATGGAAGTGGAAGGGTACGAGAGGTGTCGTAAAGGATGCAGGAGTGGCAACAAGCTGTGCAGGTGGGGAAAAGCAGCCTATTCCCCACTTGCAAGGTCAGTATCAGTAATGCGGCCAGTTTCTAACTATCGGTAACACGGTGTCAAAACAAAAGTTTGTTGGGCAACTGTTGTCTGATCCTGAGCCGCGCAACCCCAAGGTCTTTAGCCCACCTGTTGCGCCGCCATGAAGTGTGCTGTACCGGTTCTGCACACGCTCCATAACCGGCAGCTCGCAGACAACGCGGCCCTCTGAAACATCAGTTACAGTCATGCCATGCAGGGCAGTGTGGTCAAAGGTGATCCGATCGGGGAGGGCGGTGCCCTGCACCAGGGCTTCAACGAACCGCCGAGCTAGCCCATATCGGCTGCTGCTAGTGCTGGCATCGCTGAAACTTGCCTCCCGGTACTCAAAAGGTGCTATGGTGCTAGAGACCGACGATTCTCTGGACATTGTGGATAAAACAGACGTGCGCTGGACGAGGCCGGGGTTGTAAGCCCTAGCTCCTATCTGTAACGACGGGTGTACATACGCTTTCGTTGATGGCCGCCGACACAGCTCCAATTGCTATTATAGTTTAGGCGTATTAGCTACAAGCACCATTGTAGGCAAGGCAGTAACGCCGGTAACGCTCGGCCTTTAGGAATCACGAGAGTGCAGGAGGTTGGCGAGGTGGTACGCAGCGGTTGGTCCAGTAATACCTTGGGAAGCCAGCAGGATTCGAATAAAAGCAAACGGCTCTGTAAGGACAGAAACCCAGAATTGCCTGACCTCTTTCACGCAAGTTTGGCATTGTTCTTCTGACGATTCTACTTGCCGGCAATACGCAATTACGCATGCTTGAGCACTTCCTGAAGCCCACGCATCAAACTACGAATGCGCTTTATGTTACATAAGCTGGACCCAGTCACTTTTGCTGCGCACTATGGGGTAACGCGGAAAGCAGAGCTTCTTGCTGATTGGATGCATCGTGAACGCTGGGTCGCACTCTTTGACGGGAAAGCCAAACGTATGTAATCACAGCTTTCCAAGCATGCTGTCTTACAAGCAATTCACATGGCACCCTAGCCAGCAAGAAGAAGCCCTAGCTTGTGTTTGCACCGAACAACGGAACCCTTTCAATTTTACGTTAAACTTTAACATTAATGGGCTTGCTGTTCCGGTAGATGTTATGTTGCGGGAACGCGTACCCCGGACATTGGATCAAGGCGTATTCCCCGCCAACCCAACCGTACATCATGACTGCCCCGTAGGAATGCCCCGTTGCAATACTTCACTATCGCTTCGCTAAGTTTTTGTTACCGGCGTCAGAGCTGATCCATTGGGATTTTTTAGCAAGGGCAACGATGGTGAAGTAGTCCGTCTCGTTTGCCTTTTAGGCTATCCAGACGGCCTGACGGCCAGCGGCGCCTACAGTCCCACAGCAAGATGAAGAAGCTTTTTGACAAAGTCGGCAAAAAGCGGGAGAAGGAGGGCAGCCTCGTTGGTAAAGTGGTTATGGTGGGTCAGTACAGCGTTAAAGTGGAGGCGCTGATTGGTGAAGGTAAGCACTCGCCTATACTGTGAGGGGGATGGGTAAGTTGCGTGATCGGTGAGCCCTGTGCTTTGTGTGGCGACGCTTGCATCCAGCTTCAGCCATGTCCATATGCCCAGAGGCGCTGCAGGCTGGTGGTGACAGATACGTATTGCCTGCAGGTGGCTTTGCAACTATTTACCGTTGTACTGATGTGAAGAGCGGCTTGGCTTTTGCCCTAAAGCACATGCGCCTTGCTGCCGACACGGATGCGATTAAAGAGGTGCAGCAAGAGGCTAAGACGATGGCTCGACTCAAGGTGCGCCGGCGGGGTGTGCCTGCATACGGGAAGAGCTCCCGCCTGAAAGCCCTCGGCGTTTCCCTGGCGTTCAGCCCTTGCACACCCATTGCTGACATAACACCGTAACGTGATCCCCATTTCTCCCTATCCCCGCAACCCGCTTCCCAGGGTCATCCCAACATCCTGAAACTCCATGCTGTAGCCTTTGCCGGTCCGCCTGGCGCCGAAACCGATGGCTTTATGCTGCTTGACTTTTGCCCGGTCACGTTGCTTGAAGTCATGCAACGGAGCAACTTCGTCTTGGACGACTTCTTAGTTTATGAGGTCTTCCAAGACGTGGCCTGGGCGGTGGCGCACATGCACAAGTGCACGCCGCCCCTTGCGCACCGGTACGTCATGACCATTACGTACGACATAGTCTGTTATAGAGTACGATCTGGTTCTTGGTTGGATCGTGGATCGTGAATTCTGAGGCCCTGTAGCTTGCCAGGCAGCGGACACAGCCGTACTCAGACCCAACTGTTATCGCCCTGAGCGTTTTCCGTCCTTCTTAGACGCATCTTTTTGGTCCCTTCTCCCGGGGAATGTCCTCTCCCGCAGTGACCTAAAGGCTGAGAACGTGCTCAAGAACAGCGAGGGACGCTGGGTCATTTGCGACTTCGGATCCAGTACGGCACGGGCACAGGTGTACGACACGCCGGCGGAGATTGCGGCGGAGGAAGACAACATCCGCCGCACCACGACGCCAGCCTACCGAGCGCCCGAGGTAAGGATGCGGGTTGGATCTAGCCGGCCACATGCAGCATGGTCTCGAATGCACCTCCCTTCCCGTCGCTGTTCTTCGAATCTTCTGCGCTCCCGAACGCCTCGTTGTCACCCCGTCCTGCCCGTGTCCCTGTCAGATGTGGGACCTGTACAGTCGACAGCGGATCGACACGGCAGTGGACGTCTGGGTGAGTCCTGGGCCTACCGCCTGGCCCTTAGGGCTCGGGAGGGAAGAATGAGGTCCCTTACGCGGCCTTGGTGTGTCCCCAGAACGGTTTGGACTGGCCTGGCACATCGCCATCCATGTTCCACGCGCCTCCAGCAACGTCCGCCAACCAAAGGTTGCAACATCATGCTCCTATACAAACATCCCTAACATGCTTCCCACCCATCGCCCGCAACCGCCCACCCAACCAACCAACCAGGCTCTCGGCGTGCTGCTCTACGTCCTCGCGTTCGGCAAGCTGCCCTTCCAGGGCGACTCCAAGCTCAGCATCTTGTACGGCAAGTACGACATGCCCTCCGGCCGGCCGCCCGCCATGCGCGCCCTCATCCAGGACATGCTGCAGATCAACCCGGCAGACCGTCCGGACATCTTCCAGGTCATCTCCAAGCTGGACCTCCTGCGGACTGCCCTCTGCAGCGAGGGCAGCGGGGAGCTCCTTCCCCCGCCACCACCGCCACCTGCAGTGGTGCTGCATCCTCAGCCGCTGCAGCAGCAACAGCAGCAGTCGCAGCAGCAGCCAGCGGCGTACTTGCAGCCTTCCCGGCCGGTCGATGCACCGCCTGCGGGGCCGCAGTACCACCCGCCTCATCCGCACCTTCACGCGCAGCAGCAGCAGCAGCAGTCGCAGCATCCCTATCCACACCACCCGCATGCCAGCGGGTACCCGCAGGGCCAGCAGCCGGCGCCGCCTCCGCCGCCGTATCACATGCAGCATCAGCATCCCCACCCGCACCCACACCCACAGCAGTCCCCGGGACCTCAACCGCATGTTCCGCATTTACAACTAGGAGGTTCAGGCGGTAGTGGGGGCGTTGTTGCTGCTGGTGCTGGTGCGCCGCCGCCCTACCCAGGGGCGCAGCCCTCGCCACGGCCCGGACCCCCAGGGGCTGCTCTGCCGCCGCAACAGCACGCTGTGATGAACGGGGGACAGGGAGTCCCGCCCCATGGGACCGCACCGCCACCGCCACAGCAGCAGACACCTCTTCCCGCCCCGTACGGCCACTCCCAGCAACCGCAACTGCAGCAGCAGCAGCTCTATCCGCAGGTGGGACCGGCTCGTTCCGGCCCGCCACCGCAGCATGCCTACCCGCCGCCACCGCAACAAGGCCAGCAGGGGCCGCAAGCGCAGCTGCAGGGCTCCGGCGGCTCCTTCCGTGGGATGCCCAGACCTGCCGGTGCGATGGTGGGTAATGCAGGAGCAGGGGCAGGAGAAGCGGCAGCTGCACTCATGCATCAGCAGCAGCATCCGCCCTCTCGCACCACCAGCAACAACAGCATGTTCATTCCCAGCTGGCCGGCTGCCGGTACCGCTGCTGCTGCATCTGGGTCGCCCTCGCAGCAGCAGCCGGCACCGCCGCCACAGCCACCGGCACAGCTACCAAATTTGCTCGACGATGACCCATATCCCCAGCCTACTCCGTCTCCTTCTGCCGCCAACGCCGCTACTGCAGGCGCCGGCTCAGCAGCAGCTGCGGCGGCACCGTACGCCGGGTTGGACGGTGGGCGTCGAGAGCCGTCTGGGCCGCTGTCCGCATGTGTCCCGGGTCCTTCTTATGAGGGCTCGCGTTACCCCAGCCAGCAACAGCAGCAGCAGTTTGTCAAGTAAGTGATGCGGTGCGAAGGTGGAGGGGCTAACGGTACCCCTTACTACGTTCATATGGGGATGTCATGGTGCGATGCCGCACCGTGCTAACCACCTGTGCTCCCTTGGCTCCCTGACGAAGGGGTGTCTCCCATGTGCTGGCATCTGTGGACAACAACTACCCTTCCCTCTACAGCTGCCTTCTATTTATGTCCTAAGTCCCGGGAATGGACGGCCCTTTCTACCTCCCCCACAGACGCACGAGCTCCCAAGGCACCAGCACCCTCAGCGCCCTCCTGGGCACCTCCGCACCGACAGCAGCAGCAGCTGGTGGCGGCGGTGGTGGTGGCACGTCGTTGGTCGGGTTTGGCGATGATGAGGCGGACTGGGGCGAGCAGCCCGCCTTCAATGCGGCTGCTGCTGCGTCGGCATCTGCAACGTCCCCGGCGCCACCACCGTCCGCGAACGCCAGCAGAAGCAACCTCGCTCTGCAGCAGGCTGCTCCTCCTCAGCAGCAGCAGCAACAACAGCAACAACGTCAGCAGGTGGGATGATGGGTTGGCGGTTGCTTGACCTCGTTCTCGAAAGGGACCTGTGCGATCAGTTCGGGGAGGTGTGCTGTTTACGTACGCTAGGCTTCGATAATGGACGAGCACCAACTGCTTATAAACACCAACACCATGACATCAACGCTTGCGTTGTCCCTTCTGTACCGTACCTGACACCTGACACCTGAAACAGGACGACAAGCAGCCCTCGCTGATGTCGATGGAGGAGCTGCCTCGCCCCGCTGCCCTACCCGCCACCTGCAACGGCCCTGTCAACCGCAGCAGCAGTGCAGCTGCAGCACCCGCTGCACCGCACTCCACCGCCAACCTCGCACGCAACAGCAGCAGCAACGCCAACGCCTGCACTAGCCAGGCCGCGCCAGCGGCCGCACAGGCGCCGTCGGCAGCTCCCGCTGTCTCGGCGGTTACAGCGGCGGCCCCCCCTCCGCTGCCGTCGTCTTCAGGTACGGCGGCGCTGCCGCCGGCAGCGGCGCCAGCGGTGGCAGCTTCTTCGTACACAGGGGCGGCGGCTCCGGAGGCGCGGGAAGCGTCTGCGTCGTCCGGTGCTGCCGCTGGCGGTTTGGATGCGGTGGTGGCCAGTAACGTGGCGGGGAGCAGCTGCACGGCAGAGGGCGCAGACCTAAGGTATGCAGACACGATTAAAGGGTAGATAAGGATGGGGTGGGAAGGAGTGCCGGGAAGTCATAAAAAGGATGGAATGGACCGAGCGACAAATCGGGCGGCAACGTACCCCATTCCATGCATTGGTTGCCGGATTGTGCCCTAAACACCAGATATTGACTGAGCACTCCTCGGTCCGGTACCGCTTGCACTGCAGGGCCCAGCTGGCTCGCCTCTCCATCGTGAACACCCAGTTGGAGGGCCGGGTACGGCAGCTGGAAGACCTGACTGCGACCCAGGCGTCACTCTTGCAACGACTAGCCGCACAAGTGCAAGTCCTGCAACAACAGCAGCAACAAGGGCAGCAGCTACCGCCGCCGCAAGCCCAGTCGCGCCAGCACTCGCAAAACCAGCTCCTTCCACAAGAGCACGAACCGTTGATGTCGCAGCAACAGCAGCCGCAGTCTCAGCAGCCGCAGGCTTCGCAGGGTCAAGCTGGCTCGCGACCGCTGGGCTTCAGCGATGCGCCGGCCTGGCCGGAAGAGCCCCCCTGCCCTCCTGCTGCCGCCGGGGAAAGCTCTGGGACGCTGCCAGCAGCGGCGTTGTCACCGCCACTATCGGCGGCCCCCGATGCAGCAGGCGGCAATGGCAGTAGTGGCGAGGCGGCAGTGGCTGTGGGCGACGAGACGGGGGCAGCCGCGGAAGACGGCGAGGGTAACGACGGGGAGAGGGCCTCCGGCCCTCTTTCGCGATCTTCGGGAGGGGCGGCTGCGACTGCCTTCGCCAGTGAACCCTGGGTGAGTCCCATGGGGCATTGTGACGCTGCCTTTGAAAGCCCGTCGCCCTGGCCCATGATGGTACGCCGACGTATGTTGGTTTAGGTCAAGATAGCTGTTCTCGTTCTACAGAGACAGATCTGTGCTCTACATGGTTAATACATGGGGCGGGTTCCTCGCAATGCTTTTGCCGTCCCTTGCCATCTTTTGTTCCCGCTCAACGCAGGTGGCCTCTGGGCTCAGCGAGAGGTCCTCCTCCAGCACCGCCATCTACCCGGCCATTCGCTATGAGGACCTGGCTTGAAACGGGAACAGGGCTGCGGCCCAGAACTTATGAAACTTACATATTCTTCAGCAACACGGCGACGTGACATGTGCTCCGCAATATTGGTTGGGTTGGGTGGTAAGCGTCCGTTGGCAACTGAGAGCTGGTTACCGGTAATGGTCTTTGTTTGCGTTGTAGTGGCGAGGCAAGTCGAGGGCTCCGGCATGGACCTCATGGTCATGGGTGGAGCTCTTTACATGGGTTGGCCGCCCCTGTGCACCTGCTGTGTCGTGTAGACGCGCTGAGTGCAAGGGTGATCGAGCAAGGCGGTCGGGAGGAGCCACATGCATCAGATGCATGGCTTGGCGTGATGTTTAGGGTAGGACGCGACTTGGTGGGAGTGGAGAGGTTGGGAAACGTGCTTTACCGGCATTGGAGGTTGGGAAGGTTGAGGGGCAGCTGGCATGTTTTTTCTATACACGCTGTGCACCACCGTGTTGTTGGCGCCGTTAGCAATAGCCATGTGCATGTGCAGCCTAGGTCCATGAGGATGGTCGATAGCGTGCGATGGCATAAGGAGCCACTGTCGGCGGACCACACATCTGAAGTTCTGAACGCTTTTAGGCGCGCAAGCACCTGGCATAGGCAGGATGGTAGCGAAAGCGTAATGCTCATGATAGTCATGAGCGGAGGGAAGTAGGACAGCTCTGTTTGGTTTTTACAGTAAGCGTACATGACATGACGTGAACCCCGTCATGATACCTTCTGGTAGCCCACCCAATACACCCACGTGGGGGTACAATCCATTGTACCACAGATACACCGGGATGTCATAGTGTCATTAACTCATTATATAGGAAGTAGCCGCAATGACGACGCGCATGTATGTACATAATCCCTAACCATAGGCAAGTCACTATACTGTCGGTGCTAACGCATTTACCTGCAAAAGACACCTTCGTTAAAATAGGTGGAACGAGGCACCCAGCACACATCCCGCTGGGTCTAGGTTGGGTGTCTCCATGCCGGGTAACACCAAGGCCTTCCGTTGCACATAGAGATTTAATGAAAAGGGCAAACAAATACCTCGCAACGGATGGAGGCAACTGTCTTGTCTTGGTTCCCAAAGGAAGCCGTGCAGGCAACGACCCACGGTCACCTTCACGCATTTGTACAGTTTTGTCCTTTTTCTTGTTACCGATCCACTATGGATCTATAATGCCTAAGCCATACTTCGACAAATCCAGCCGGTTAGCGTCGAGAGCCTTGTACACCTTCTCGGACAAAACGTGTTGCCCAGCGATGGCATACAGCAACAGCCATGGCAGGAAAGCCGTAGTCGCAACGACAAAACATATCGCAGAGTACTTCGTGTCTGCAAGGGTTAAACGAGGCGGTCAGTGTACTAAAAGGTGAATGGTTCCCACGAGCGGGTCACCTACAGCGTTTGAGGACCGGGTCCCCGCGTTGCGCTCGGAAGTCCGGCCAGAAAAGCCATACGTTCGCGCCCCACATTATCGGCAGGAACAGGAACCCCGCAAGAAACACTGCAGCATTTTTGTATTAGCGTCGACATAAGCAAGCGTGAATTGCTGCACTTCCTTTGCTGATAACAATACTTACATCGCTTGCTCAGAGTCCTGGCCTTTGTGACAGGCATGGCCTCATAGTCGACGCTCTCAATGACCTGCTCGCTTTCGTTGGCTTCGCCATCGCGATCCATGCTGCAAAGAGAAGGTTACTCTATACTATGTTTCTACATATGCGTAAATATGTCCTGGAAGGTGCCCTTCAGCGTGTTCAACGGCAAACACAAACAAAGGATTGCAACAGTTGCTAGCAGCCGATGCTCATGAGAGCTTGGAGGGCACATATAAGTGATACTTGGCAATTGAAGAGGCGCATAGCAACAAATCGATAATCAAAGCTGTCAAGAGCTGTACACGTGCCGTATTGCGCCGTCCAACCACCCAAGCACACCCGCCACCAGCGCATTAAAAATACGCCACACCCTAACCCTGTCCCACCTTTTTACTTACGCCCTTTCATCCCGCCTAGCAAAGCAAAGCACACGTGGCGCACACACAACCATTCTATTGTCGTTCCCATACCCCAATACGAGCGGGCAATAGTACAATACCAATAGCATCCAAGAGCCGGCAAGCGTCATCCATCGTCTTGTTATCTACCAAGGAATGAGCACAAGTCACTCGATTAAGGTCTATCTAGGTCAGTAGTACAATTGTGTAGGCTACCGCTAAGATGCCATGCGTGCGTGCATCGTATACCGTCGAAGTTAACAGCCACGAATTCCTCCTGATGCTTGGACTATCTCCTAACTGTCAATGTCCTACAACGTAAGGATAGCAATGAAAGCAAAGCGCCGGCAAAGCGGCCCTACGTTCCCGAGTATCCAACTATACATGGGAAGCAAGACGTGTACCATGGCTCCACGGGTCATCTCTTGCAGTCGCTCTTGCGTAAAACACGCCCAGAAGCCAATAACCGACAGTCTCCCGCGCATCGCAACAAATTCCAAACAAAAGCGAAACACCCAAACATTGCGTATCCAACCCAGATTACACACTCCCTAGTCCAGGCCGTATGCCCAAGAGCCCAGCCAACACCGCATTGCGCCTACCGCACAACATCTAAATGTGCACACAAAAGCATGTCGTACAATCAACACCTCCTACTCACAAGCCTACCTAAGCTCAACGCACCATCTAGCCTTAGCATCACACCATCTACGCGACAAGCGGAAACGCCGCCGCAGGCGCCGGCGCCCCCAACGACGGTAGCGGCATCCCAAGCGGCTGCGCTCCCGCCTGGGACTGTTGCGGCGGCAGCCCGGCTGCTGGGCCTCCCGTTGTCGCCCCTGCCGCCGCCGCTGAAGAGCCGCCCGCACCTTGCGGCACGCATGGCGCTTGTGACGACTGCTGCGAGGGCACCGTCGCGGCCATCGTGGCAGCTTGACCTAGATGCGCCGGCGGCGGCTGAGCTAGCATGGCTGCCAGGTTAGTCGGCAACGGCGGCAGCGGCAGCGGCAACGGCGGCAGCGGCAACAGCGCCCCAAGCTGCTGCGACGTGGATAGACCCAGATGCTGCTGCGACCCGGGCGGCGGCGGGGGTAACAACGACCCTCCCGACGCTCCAAGAACTGAGGCAGCCGCTGCAGCAGCCGCAGCAGCAGCGGACGCCGACCCAGGCGGCGGCTGCAACGACGTCGCCAGCTTACCCGCCATCTGCGACGCTTGGTGGAGGTGCTGATGTGCCCCCCCGGACAAGGACGGTGACAGACCGAAACCGGCGTGACCGGCAACCCCCGCCGGTTGGCCCAACGTCGGCGGCGGCAAGGGAGGCAGGCTTAACCCGCCGGGCAAGCAGGCTCGTGCTTGCTGCTGCAGGGCCTGCAGTTGCTGGTGCTGGGCTTGGATTACCTGAACTTGGAGGGCCTGAATGGCCTGCAGTTGGAGGTTCGGGTGACCGGGCAGCTGGGAAACGGGGAACGGACCCAACAGCTGAGGCATGGCAGGCGGTGTCTGCTGCTGCCCCGCCTTCTGTGACTGCTGCCCCTGCTGTTGTCCTTGCTGGCTCCCCGACTGCCCCTGCTGCGGTTGCCCCGGTTGTTGCGACCCTTGCTGCTGCCCCTGCTGCTGCGCTTGCTGCCCCTGCTGTTGCTGCTGCTGTCCCTGCTGCTGGCCTGACTGCGTAGACTGACCCTGCGGCGCTTGCTGCTGCCCCTGCTGCTGCTGCTGTTGGTGTTGTTGCAGCAACTGCAGCTGTTGCTGCTGCTGCTGGTAGAATGCGGCTGCAGCCGCGGCGGCAGCGGGCGGGTAGCTGTACGCCAGGGGGTTGCTTTGCGCCTGCGCTTGTGCCTGCGCATGCGCCGCTGCAAGATGTGCCAAGGCGGGATCTGACATGGGGGAGAGAGCCGCTCCCAGCAGACCGCCTGCAGTGTGGAGGAAAGAGAAGGGGCATTGCGGGGCCCCACCTTTAAGCATACATTTATATGACCCCAAGTGGGCCATGTCCTTTCCTCCCATGTCATTTTTCAGTGAATCCTTTCTTATACCGGTAAACCCCCAGCGCTCCCAAACCGGACCTCAGCTACAACAAGACAACTAGCCCAGGTTAGAGGGCTTCAGAGCTCAAGGCGCCCGCTCGCATGACACGTCCCCAGCCCCTTCCTCACCACTTGGCGGCTGCCAAGGCAGCGTCAGGCCGCCCGCCATGGGATTCCCGAACGCCTGTTGTTGCTGCTGCTGTTGTTGCTGCTGTTGCTGGCGCACCAGGTGCTCTGCCATCTTCTTTAGCACGTGACTGTCGTCGTGAATCTGGAAGGGCGAGCTGCAGAACGGGGCGGAGATCACGGCCTTTGGTGAGACACGAAGCCATTGCACGTGACGTCGTGGGCATCAGGACAGGCAACAGGGTATGACGCCGCGGGCAGGCACGTCGGTGACCCCTTTACCCCACCGCAAACGGCTTCCAAGCATACTGCCCCCCATGTATGCCCATACGGGCCCCAAACACATGCAGCTTCCCCCCATCACATACATAAACAAGCATGCATGCACACACTCACTGGTAAAAGTCAAACTGTACGTCCATCATGTCCTCCGAGATCTTCACCTCAACTGTGGCGTCAGGCTTGGCCTGTGGGCGGTTGGGGAGTGAGCGGGCGCGGGAGCAGCAGCAGGTTAGCGCCAGCAGCAACAGGGGTCGGCGCCGCACGCCACCAAGCCCATAAGCAACGCCCCCAAGGGACAAGGGACCTTCAGAAAAGTCCCAAACCGGATTCGCAAATCCAGCATGCCAACATGAAGTATTAAGCCACATCAAAACAAAACACATCACCTACGCACTTGCACGAGGATGAAGGGCAAGAAGAGCTGGGTGCCACTGGGGTTGGGGCCGCGGGCAGCGCTGCGCTCCAGCAACCGCCTCAGCGCCGTTTGCTGCTCAATCATGTCCTGTGGGGGGCACAAGAGAGGGGGGAAAAGGGGGGGAGTTACGGCGGGAGTGGGGTCGAGTAACCAGAAGCCATGTCCCCCAGGTTTCTGGTTGCCCCCCGAAACCTTCACACCAGCGCCCCGCCCCCATATCGTCCTTTACTTCACCCACAAACCCGCACCTGCAGATACAGCTGCTTCTGCTCCACCTCCTTTATCCGAGCCAGCCGCTCGGCCTTGAGCTTCTCCAGAGAGTGGTTTCCAAGCCGGGGGAAGCCCTTCCACGTGATCTCCTTCTTCTCTTTTTGGATGATCTCCATAGCCATCAACACGTTGATCGCGTCGTACACTCGTCGTCGAATGTTCTTCTCGTCAAATTGACCGCTCTTGTTCGCTGCTTCCGCCTGACTCATTTCCCGAACCAAGTCATCTGCGACTTCGTTGTATGTGGTCCGGCCCTTGGCCTCGACCTTCTCGCAAACCTTCATGCTAAAGTGTCTGAGGCCTTTGCTGCCGGACCGGCTGCCGGAAGCATCGGCGCCGCGAGAGGTCTTACGCCGTTTGGAGCTGCCATCGGTTCCCCCCGACCCCCCACCGCGGGGATTGTAGGAGTTAACGAGCTGGTGCAGGCTGACTTTTGCGAGGTGCAACACGTGGATTGCACGAGCTGTTGCGACGTCGGAGACGTGGTTCTGGTACTGGCACTGCTGGATGTCGTACGCCTGCGTGGGCTGAGGTGGCGGGATGTTGTGGGCGACAGGGCCGGTGCTGCTGGGTTGCCGGGCCGGCGGCAGCGCGGCTCCGCCTGTGAGGGGGAAGAGTTGTGGACTTGTTCTTGCTTGCCGCTTAGGGACTTCTGAAGCTTAGTAGTTGAGGGTAAAGCATTACCTGGTGCATCTGTGAGACGGCTAAAGTTGACCTCGTTGGCAAATTCCAGCAATCCCTGCCGCAAACGCGTGCAGCGCACCGCAACGTCAGCTGAATGTAATTGTGCTTATCGAATGTATGTTTCATTTGAACGCTTGCGGCCTACCAGCTCCTGCAGCTCTTGCGCGAAGTGCTCACGGTCGAGCACAAGGGGATCCTGTCCCGAACCGGCCTCCTCTCTTGGCTGCTGCTCCTCCATTGACCTTTTTGCTGATGCTGGCTGCGGGCAGCTCAATGGTAAAACAGCTACGTGAAGGACAATATGCTGCTAGGCAAGCTGCTAAGATGTTTCAGCTTTCCGACTCGCAAGTGACCCGGGCCAAAGCAGGCCGCTGCCAGGAAATCAGTGCATTGAAGTTACAGTCTATATAGAAGAGAGTCAAGCTCAGGTGCAAGGGGGGCGAAGCAACCTTGCAGCGCCCCCAGCAATGGATTCACCGCACTTGCGGCGGGGCAGCCCCAGCCAGCAGTGTCGGGTGTGTCTGACCGTTCCGTGCAACACCTAAGGGCCTACGAGCAGGTTAGTGTCTATGGCGAGCGAAGCGTGGATGTTCCCGCCATCAGGCCTTCCCGCCCATGCGATGGCCCTGGAGCCGACCATGGCACCCAGGCGGAGAACCATATAGCAAAAAGAAAAATATTACTATACTATATAATTAGGAATTGTCCAATAGGCAGTATGAAGAGTGTGCAAAGATGGTCTGTCCGTGGGTCGCAAACGTCGCTTCAGTGACGCTATGCTATATAGTGCTTGAGAATACCGGTATTAAGTCCATATAATCACAGTCCTACCTGGGGGATCCTTCTACGGGGCTGGGTTCGCGACAAACTAGTGCAACGAGTTGCTGCAAAATTAGGAAATACAGGGCACCGGTGTTCCTGCATCACATGACAACATGGAAGAGGACGAGCTGAATGCCTTGCAGTAAAAGCAGCAGGGCATTTCGCATCTGGGGTTATAGCTGCTCGGAGAGAGGTTAGTTGCCCCAGGGACAAGCCTTGCCGCTGGGAATGGAGTAGGTCAAAAGGCATGTTGCAAAGGCTTACAAAATCCTAAGGATCTCGGACATGCGCGGTTCGAAACGCGTGTACCGGTATCCTCCCTGATTGGATGGGCGTCTGGTCAGATGCAAGTCGTCTCCGGTAAGATGCAGTGTAGCCACAAGGGGGGGGCTTGGGACGCATCTATGGTACGAGGGGGGACTCCGGTGGCATGTTTGCAGAGGACGTTCGGGGAGTCTACTTGTACGGTGTCGTCAGAGCGCCCAACACACGTGCTGTGATTCGAGCAAACAACGCTCGGGAGAGTGAATAAAACGCATAGATAGAGCCTTCTTGTACAAGCTGTTAGAATATTGTACAGCGCCGTTCGGCTTGTTTTACAGGATGTACGGCAGTCTGCGGCGGTAGGAACACGAATCGCCCATGCAGAACTCGGCAGGCTGATGTTCGAATGGCTCTTCATCTTGCCTAGGTCTAGCTGAAGCGTGAAGCCCGATTCAATGAAGCAACTTGCCGACGTCCCCTTTGCAGAGGCCCTGAGGAGTTGCACGGATTTTGCACGGATCTGAAACGAACGACCCAAAGTACAAACACAACCTTACGACAACAACCGTACAACAAACCCAAGGGCCATCGCGGCGCCTGAGACAGTTGCCAAAGGTATTGTGTCCTTAGATCCATGCGTTGTGTAGGGCCCTGTTGCATGGCCCGAGGACGTGACACCTGGGGCAACTAATGAACAGGAAAGGGCTACCAACCTGGATCTACGGCAAGTATAGTAAGTCAAGTAAAATGTCATGAAAGCCATACGCTAACTTTGTAAAGTTTGTTGAGCAATGCACTGGACATACTCGTCACCAAAACCCCCGTGCTTCCAAGCCACTACGTTAGAAGGGCCACCTCAAAGCAGTTGCCAAGCCAGCTCCATATCAGGCAAAACGATGCTTGCAATACCCCTAAGAAACGCTCTTTTAACTCCACTCAATTCACCTGAGTCCAACAGAACATAGCTAGCGGCAATAAAGCGAACAGCAATCAAGCAAACGGCTTTCAAGCCCTCCACTTGTTTTATTTCCACGCACAACGCCTCGCCAGTACCACGCCCGTACGCCGCTTCTCAAGCTGCTTGCAGGGCGGCACGACAACTGGACTGCAAGCCAGGATCCAGGACCTCCTCCGTCGCACAAGCCGCCTGCAGCAGCCTAGCTTGTTGCCCTCATCTCGCGCACCTCCCTGCCCTTCTCCTGCCCATGCTCTCCCTCTCTGAGGCCCGCTTCTCTATCTCCTCCTGAGCCCTTTCCCTTCTTCACTGCGCCCACTCAAAATCATCTTCTCCAGCTAGACCCGGGGCCTTCACGTGCCCGTCTTGACTCACGTTAAGCCCATTCTCACGTCAGAACAGCATTGCTTGCCAGCCGACTGCAGCAGTATACCACTCTCACATTCAACACTACCGGCCCTGCACTGATAGGCCCCGTGCCCTCTCTCATAAAGTACAATATCGCACGTCACCACCCTTCTCTCCTCTCTTTTCCTGTTACCTTTATTTCTTAAATTGTACACAGCGACACCGCATCCCCTTACTGGCATCCCTCTCATCCTCTCCAACCCCATCCTCCATGCCGCCCCCTTCCCAGGGCATGTCCCTTCGCTAGGGCGCCGCCATCAAGCTCCGCTGCCGTTGTTGTTGCTGCTGCTGCCGTGCACGCCGCCGCTGCTGCTACCGCCGTTGATGCTGCTATCGCCGCTGCTGCTACCGAAGTCCTTGCCAATGTTGCCATCCATCCAAAAGGACGAGTCCATGCCTCCTATCGACACCGCCGCCGCCGCCCCCATCATCATACCCGCCGTCGTCGCCGACGTCGGCCCCGACGAAGATTCGTACATCATCGTGGTCACCATGGCGGTTTCGGAGCTGCTGCCGTACGGCAACGGTTTCTGTACTGTACGGTCCGACCAGCGGAAGCAGCGCTCCAGGGAATCGAACCAGTCGCCGGTTAGGTCGGTTCGGTTGATGGTTGGCACGGGGTTCTCCGACATGCGTACCTTGACGCTGTCGCCTCGGCCCAGCTCCTGTGTGAAAGGCGAATCGCGGACGTCCGGGACTTGGTGGGTGCAAACCATCATTAATCATCAGATGTAGCACACTCCTGCGGCTGCAGCCCCCGTCCGCCCAGCCCCCCGCTCCCTCCTGCGATTCCGTCTTCAGGGTGGTTTGTCAACATACCTCTTACGTCCCTCCTACCCCTCCACCCGGCACGCTTTTTCGGACCCTTACACGTCCCTCTACACCCCGCCACGCCTTTCCTAGGCCTTACACGTCCCTTTACACCCCGCCCGCCCCCCCCCCCAACACGAAGCAACGATTCGGTAAGTAATTTGAGATGCGTGCTTCTAGGATAGTGGCTCCGAATGCGCTCACTGCATGAGTCGGGATATGGGATTGGGACTCGTTGTTTCACTTATATAATCCCCCCCCCCCACACACACGCACCTGCCGCGAGCGCCCGTCGAAGCACACCCACGCAGTGCAGCGCGCGTTGTCCGGGATGCGCAGCTCCAGCTCCGCATAGTCCGGCAGGATGATGGGTCGGAAGCTGAGCGAGTGCGGGCAGACGGGGGTGAGCAGGATGGCGGGCACGTTGGGGTGAACCATGCTGCCTCCCGCCGCCACGGAGTAGGCGGTGCTGCCTGCAGGGGGGGGAAATTATACCGGTATAAGTGAAACAACGAGTCCCAATTCCATATCCCGACTCATGCAGTGGGGAGGGGAGGGGAGGGAAAGGGCAGGGCAAACAAGATGGAGAAGAGCAGTTTGACAAGGAAAGGCGAAGAGAAAGGGAAGAATACAAGCACATGGAGGCAGCCACATGGAGACGACGGTCCGCCCGCAAAAACGCAGGTACATAGAGTACAGAGCTCGTGTGCTATCGCGCGTGCCATCCGCCCCACTCACCAGTGGGTGTCGCCAGCATGATCCCGTCCGCCTGCACCCGCGCAATGAACCGCCCCTTCTCGTAGCACTCAATGTTGGTGAGGAAGGCGGAGGAGCCGCGGTCCACCACCATCTCGTTGAGCACCTCCACGCACTGCTCGGGGCGGCTGCCGCCCTTGCGCCACACCTCGCAGGCCAGCCGCATGCGCAGCGTCACCATCACACCTGCAGGGAGCCAGGGGGCCAGGGTCACTATCACGTCTGCTGCTTCTCACCCTCTCCCTCTCCAAACCGTTCGGAAACAACACATCGGAAACAACATGGTGTTCTCCATGTTCCCCCACCTCGCCTCCCTGCCTCCTCCCTCACCCAGGCTGTTCCCCGGCTCCCCACCCCAACCCCCCTCACCCAGGCTGTTCCCCGGCTCCCCACCCCAACCCCCCCCCCTCACCCAGGCTGTTCCCCGGCTCATCCAGGCTGTTCAGCGTGTCCAGCGACAGCAGCGCGCAGCTGTCCAGCTTCTGCGCGCCGAAGATGACGGCGTGCAGGTCGCGTTTGAAGTTGGAGAAGTCGTGGTTGGTGAGGAAACCCATGGAGCCCATGGCGAAGGAGATGACCTGGGCGGGTGGGGGATGGGAGGGAGGGGGGCCCGTGGGGGTCAGAACTAGAGGGGGCGTGGGGGTCAGGACTAGAGGGGGCGTGGGGGTCAGGACTAGAGGGGGCGTGGGAGTCAGAAGTAGACCAAATCATAAGGAACCGAGGGCAGAGATTGGGCGGGGCAGACGGGGCCGGTATAGGTTGGAGGCGGGCGAAAGGAGGAGCGGCAGGCACCCCGCTACGCATACCTGCCAAGCCGTACGTTCGGCAGTACGACAGCTCTAAGCATAGTCTGCAATACCAGGTTAGGCTTGCTACCGGGACAGCTCTAAGCCCAAGGGCCCCCTGAAGCGCTGCTGAAGGGCCCTCTTTGCTCAGGCCTTCCTACGAACTCCCAACGCTGTAGAACCCATCTTGAAGCCTGTTTAGGCCCCTGCTCTTCAACAGCCCCTCTCCCATGCGACTTGCTCCACACAGCCCCCCTCCCATGCGACTTCCACCACACAGCCCCCCTCCCATGCGACTTGCTCCACACAGCCCCCCTCCCATGCGACTTCCACCACACAGCCCCCCTCCCATGCGACTTGCTCCACACAGCCCCCCTCCCATGCGACTTCCACCACACAGCCCCCCTCCCATGCGACTTCCACCACACAGCCCCCCTCCCATGCGACTTCCACCACACAGCCCCCCTCCCATGCGACTTCCACCACACAGCCCCCGGCCACCTCACCGGCGGCATCCCCTGCTTGAAGAGGCAGGAGGTGTGCAGGATGACTCCGTCGCCGCCGATGCACACCACGAAATCCACGTACTCTGACAACCTGTTGTTGCATGGAGGCAGGAGGGTTTGCGCGGTCTTAGGCTGTTGGATAAGAACACACGTGGACGGGACGCATGCAGTTATCATCCCAACGTGCCCGCCACTAACACCCGCTGCCGTACCTGTCTCTATCGCTGGCTGTGAAGGTGTAGACGAACTGGAATCCCTCACGGCCGCTTATATGTTTGTCGTACACATGAGGCTCCACCACGACTCGCAACTTGTTTTCTCTCCCCAGGTAATCGATGACCTCCAGGAAAGGTTGAAGCAGCTCGTCTCCAAGCTTCATGATGACCATGACGCTGCGCGGGGCAAGAATGCTTGGAGCGACATTGGAAAAATGGACCCCGCGCCCATGGCATGACCCGCAAACGTACCTCTTTGGCCGATGCCGCCATACCAGCAGATGTTGTTGTGTGCTTGGATACGCAAAGCGAAGCTTTCCAGTGCCTGGTATGCACGTCACTCAATACCTCATTTCGCGTTCCCAACAAGCATTTGCTTGCTTCTTTTGCCGCACCTGTTACGAGCTCGCGTGAGCAGCTTTTTCCATCAGTTCTAAGTATGTATAGCGACGACTTTCTTGGCCATGTTGTGCCCCTGAATATGGCAAGAGTTGCTGTACCTGACAAAAGTGCATTCGATGACCAGCCCGCGCTGCGCAGCGGACACACACCTTACTGTAAACGCTGGTGCGCTAGTTGAAGCCTCCGACGCAGATGGGTCAGCGACAGTGGTCTCGCAGCTTGGCTGAGGCGCGAGGTTGGTCGTGTTTTGGGAATGGCAGACTCCAGCTCTGCGTCTGAACCAGCAACCAGCACGTGATGTAAGGTGATTGCAGCTAACCAGTCTGCGACAAGGCCCCGCGTCGCGCGCTAGTCCAGGCACAGGCATTATCAATAGACGAGAGAGCGTCAGTAGAAAGGCGCAGTTATGACTTGGGCAATGCGACTAAAGCGGCTGTAGATGTATGAAGGGTGTAAGCAGAACTTTGTTAGAGCGCCGTACACGTGCGTACCGGATAGGGGAGTCTTTGCAACACATAAAAATAGTTACAAGTAAAACAGCTACAACGTTTTGCTTTCTAGCCGCACTTGCAGAATCACTCATTAACTGTTCGCCCCGAAGCCAACTACCGTCTTAACCGCCTTGCTCTAGCTATCCCGCTTCCCGCAATCCCGGGAAACAATGACGCTTGCCAAATGCTAAGACCCCTACAGGACACCAAACTTATGGTAGGCCTTTCGTGAAGCTGCTTCTATAGAACCGGCTAAGGAGTCGTGGCTTTCGGATAAGCATGTTCATGTTCGCTGCAGCTTCAGGAAAACACAGCTCAAGTGGCTTGACTCCTCGAACCTCTACTCCTGAAAAGCAAAGTCATGTGCTACTGGGATGCAGCCCATGCCTAGACAACGTCATGTCTAGGCCAAACCAGGCTAAGGAGTGCTTACCCTAGCGTGCGCATGTGCTATGCCACCTGAATAGCTTGGCGCCCGTAGCATCTCCCTAAAAACGGTATGGTTTGAGGGCAGTGGGGGCGGAACGCGGAAGTCAACAGGGTACCAGGGATCCACGGCGGTCCCTGTGCGCACCTACGACAAGTACGGCGGTGCAGCCACAATGTTGGCCATATCGGGATAATGCTTTTTTAAATCCCCATCCTGCAAGACGTGCTCCAATAGGACAATGGGCTGTTGAGTGGTTGCGCTTTGCAGCACATGCTGTTGTATGCAGCTCCGCGGTTTCGCTCATATGTCTACACTCACGACCAACCCATCTTTATGATATCTATTTACTTCCCAATGTCTTAAGGTTATTGGCTCAGTGAGGCCTGCTCGACAGCTGAATATCCTAATGCTTGCTGATTGGTTCGCTTGGAGGTTCACTGGCCCGTAAGCAAGCGTAACAATGGTGCGTAGATGCTAACACATAAGGGCCATCTTAGCTAGCAACCTCCTGGGCTCATGCGACGACTCAAAATTACCTTCGACTTGCACGTTGCAGCCGGCCCTTGTGGTTCTGAACCGGAAATGGCACATTGCAACAGACGACTTGCCGTTGCCCAGTATAATGGGCGCCGTGTGGCACGGCGTCCTGCTATGTGCCATCGCGGTCGACTTGGCATTTGTGGTTCGTCAACTCGACAACAGTTGCTATTATCGCGAGCGCCACATAGTCTACCTCTCCATACATATAGCCTGTGTGTGCGTTAATTGCCTTCTTCACACATGGACCTTTTTCGAAAGTATTCGAGGTGAGTACCGGTACCCGACGGGGTACCTTTCTCGTGCCGCATGTAGCGGAATTGCGATTGCTCGCCTGATGGCCTGGGAGTACGACGGGTGGCATTGGAAAGCGGGAGGGTATGGGCAAAAGCGGATGAGATCTTTGCTTCCTGTCTCCTTGTTGACGCCTGGTCTCTATGCTTGCACGAGGGATAGGATGGCCCAATGAGTTTTGCACCCAAGCTTTGCTACAACCGCACTCGTCTCTATCTGGCTCCCACGTTCCCACCCCCGCCCGCTGCGCTTCAGGCTCAATCTTCCAGCCCAACCGCCGGAGCCGGGTCGGCCCGTTGGCGGTTGCCGTTTCCCTCTGTTACGCCCTAACCATCGGCAACAATGCGTACGGCACCCGGCTCATCTACCAGCAGGCTCGTCAGCCCGAGTGCCCTGCCGTACAGGGGCCACTACATCTAAACCACAACAGGCTCCTCATGTTCATTGTCGTGGCCAACTGGGTTTCCCTCTTCATCGGTTGCTTAGCCGTCTTCATAACACTCAACCTTTTCTCAACCTACAAAACAGCCAGCACCTGGTTACGGAGCCTTTCCCAGCTCTGCCGTACTGCAACTTCGCGCTGTAGCGGCTGTTGCGGTACAACGCCACCGTACATTGTTGCGGTTTTCCAGGGGCTGTGCTGCGGATGGGGAGTGAGTGCCGTAGCAGGGAAAGGGGACGGCGCGGAGGAGGAGGAAGCGGAGGAGGAAAGCGCGAGGGCCATGGCTAAGAACATGTCTCCCATGGTGGTGATTGCGAACGTCATCCAACACGTTTTCGGTGGGGTAAGTCCTCTCCCATATAGCGGGTGGGGTTGCGCCTCCCTCCCAGAAGACGGGGTGCGTGCGTGTCTTAGTAGCAGGTAGGATAGAGATAGAAAGCTGATGGAGTTGGGATGAGCCGCCTCGCTAGCAGGTTGGAGAAACTTTAGAAGTGCCATATAAAATCTTTTGCTGCGGTTGCCAACCTACCGGACCGCACATGCGGATACGTCACATGACAAGCCAGCTGACACACTGGCACATCTGAATTCTGCACTCACATTACCCCTCCATCACCTTTTGACCCATGGGTCACAGCAGTGCTTACAAAGCATGCTTACCCTCGTCCCCGCTGTCCCCCTAACTGCCACCATGCCTGTCCCCTCCCAACAACAGGTGGACATGACCCTAACCGACTACCTAGCAGCCTTTGCTCTGGTGGGCGCTCGCCACCGGCACGCCAAGCCCGCATGCACCTACTCCAACGCAGCCCCCCCGGACTGGCTCCAGCAGCAAGGTGCTGACTACGCATCGCACCAAGAAACTCACCTTACTGCCACCTCCGCCTCCACCGCCCCCGTCACGCCTAACTCCCAACCCAACGGCGTCGTCGCTGCAACCCCAACCGCGGCCCAAGCAATGCTCCGGCCGCCGCTCATCGTAGAAATTGTTGCTGCTACCAATGGCACGAGCAGTGCTGTAAATGGCGGTGCTGCTGCTGGCGGTGGTGTCAGCCCGGCTGGGAGGGCTGTATCTAGAGCGGGCGGGTCAGGGTCATCAGCCTTGCAGCCATCCGAGGAGGGCGGCAGCGGCCTAAGTTATACGGCCCATCCAAATGCGTCGCCGGCAGGTGCTGCTGCTGCTGCTAGCTGCAATGGAACTTCGTCGCTACCCACGGACACGCTCCACCGGGCAAACGGCGAGGAAAGCAACCCCGGGGGAGCTTACCGAACAAGGGCTTCTAGCGACGGTGCCGCTGTTCCCACCACCTCCGCAATCGCAACTACTGCTGATGCTGATGCAACTGATGCTGCAACCATCGCGGCTCAGCTCCCGGAGATGAACGGTGGCATGCCCGGCAACATCAATCCGGACCCCAAGCGACCCGCCGGGTCGGTGATCCCGGCCATGACTACCGCCACCAGCAGTGTGTTCGGTCAGGCGGTGCTGCCGGACGGAACGCTGCCTGTGCTGTTGCACCCCAGGCGGGAGTGGGACGGGGAGAGCCGCTGGACGCCTAACGCCAGCCTAGAGGTGAGTGGACGGTGTGTAAGAGGGCTTGCCACAAAATCGGCGCCAGAATAAGATACCGGTATGGGGCATCAGCCGTCAAGCCAGCCCGGTACTCAGCATAAAGGGCCATAAACCGACCACTAGTTGGGCGGCGGTTGGTCGCATGGGTTCCTGCGTCGGGTTTCCTGGAACTGACCTGTCGAACGAAGCTGTGAGACGTATCTTGCAGACGGCGTTTGCAGCCAACTAGCAGCCAGTTGCACGCTTTTTACGTAATCTCAAAATCTCTTACACAAAATCTCTTACAAGGATGATCCTGAGTATGTTGTCTTTTGTGTTATCAGGTGATGGAGGAGGCGGTGCACTACATGCGATTCGCAACAGCGGTGTACGGCTGGAAGCTGTACTTTTGGATGAACCGGCTTCAGGGTACGGCAATCATACCGCACCGTAATGTACACGTGTTACACGACCCGTGGGATACGCTGGATAACGGAGGCGCTGGCGATTGCGATAGAGGCATCTTACAACCATTGCCTCCGTGCATACACCCATGTACCATCCTTGTTGCTGACCCGCTATAAGAGCCTCAAAGAATTCTTAATAAGCTCCCCTACTTGCTACAAATTATATACCTTTGCAGTGACCAACTGCTGTCTGCTTTGCGTGGGCCGAGGCTGCAACTGCTGCCAGCGGTGCGCTTCATGCGGCTTGCTGGGGCCTGAGGACGCAGGGCCCTCGGAGGTCAGTCTTGTCTTGCCCACCGCCTTCCTTAACCCCAATAACCTCACTAACTGCACCCAGCGAGTAAGCAATGTGGATTTACCGGTACCGTACATCAAAGGCTGATAGTCCATGAGGGCAGGAAACTTGGTGTCTCGCAAGCATGAGAACTGTTAAGGCCGTTGCATGCCAACCTTGTTGCTTGCCCATTCCACCGGCTATACCGGCTTCCCAGGGCTGCTGCTCCCCCGCCAAGCTAATGGACCGGGAGGCCATCACACGCTTCACCGGCATAGCGGATTCAGACATCTTATACGTCAGCTACAAAAACAAGATCGGAGGCCTGCTGCCGTATTACATTGCGGTTGACCGTTCGCGGCGTTCGTTGGTGGTTTCAATACGCGGTTCGTTGTCGTTTCGCGATGTGGTGACCGACCTGCTGTGTGAGCCGACGGAGTATGACGTGCCTGGAGTGGCATCCACGGTAAGTTATTCACGGCTTTTGAGCGCCATGTCTGCAGGCAGGCGAGGGCTATATACAAGGCGGGTTGGATGATAAGCCCCCAAACAATCAAAACCTCATGCATGCAGTGTGTTTATCCATTGCAACGCTGCTACACACACCAGCAGTCCGTATACGGTACAAAGCGGCGGCAGCCTAGCCAGCGCGTACCTGTTCGTTCCCCCAACCGCAGGACGCCCAGGGCCGGCGTGTCATGTGGGCGCATGCGGGCATCCTGCGCTGCACCCGAGCCATCCTGGCGGACATCCAACAGCAGGGGGTGCTGGCGGCGGCGCTGACGGAGTGGCCGGGGGAGCTGGAGGCGCGTGAGAGGCTGCTGGCGGGGCTGCCGAGCGAGCGAGCGAGGGCGGTTGCGGCGGCGCTGCAGGGAGAGTGTGCTGGCTGGAGGCTGGTGGTCACTGGTAAGCACTGGAGGCTGCTGGGTGCTGGGTGCTGGATGGCTAGGGAGATTGAGAAGATGGTGGAGCTGGAGGATGGGCTTCCCGGGGCTTCTCTTTTGTACTGGTAAGCTGCCTTGTCGACGGTGTCTTCCCGCTCCCTACTTGTGTCTTGGCCCCTGTCGCAGGCCACAGCCTAGGCGCCGGAGTCACTGGGCTGTTAGGGCCGCTGCTGCAGGCTGACTTCCCCAACCTGCGTTGCTGGGCCTTCGCTCCCCCGGGCGGCCTCATGAGCCCAAAGGTGCGCGCGGTGCCTGCAGGACCTATCGACTTCTCTCGCACCTCTTGCTCCCCGGATGTTCAGTGCACCTCTGGCACCTCATGCACCGTATTGACTCCTTAGTGCACCTCTTGCACATTATCGGCTCCTCAGCGGACCTCCTGCACCTCTGTTCCTCGGCTTCTCAATCTACCTCTTGCACCTTATCGGCTTCTCAACGCCCGCGGTTGTGTCCATCTCAGCTTCCGCCCGAGAAGTGATGAACGTGACATTCGCCATTGTTTATGCGCCTATGCCACCTGCATCGGCGTGCTGCTCCCTCCAACAGGCTGCAGAGCTCACCCGGCATTACTGCGTGGGTGTCGTACACGCCAAGGACATGATTCCCCGACTGGGCGTTGTAACGGTGGAGCGGCTGGTGCAGGTGTGTGGGGAGGTTTCATGCGGTCGGGGGGTGCTAGGTCGGCGGGTGCTAGGTCGGTGGGCGCCAGACCTAGCACCCGCCGACCTAGCACCCACCCACCTAGGTCTCGCGGATAGCTCCGGTAGATAGGCCACGTGCTACGGTTTGAGCTTTCTTCTCCTTTTTTCCTCATGCCTGAACGTTGCTTGCAGAGATCTGCGGGATGGTTCCAGGCGTGCTTTGCCACACTGGGATATGCATTCCATTCACCCATTTGCCCTGCCCACGCTCCGCCCTACGCATCCCTCCATGCAGGAGCTGGTGACAGCAGGCGTGCACTGCCGCCTGACTAAGGCAGCCATCATGGCGCGGCTGGTGCTGCTGGGGCGCCAACCGCGGCAGGAGGAGCTCTTCGAACCCTTTGAGCAGCTAAGCGAGGAGCAGCGAGAGGCACTCAGAGCCTACAGCGACCTCAAGGTGTGTCTGATCTCATGTGTGGACTTGGGGCCGAGACATGTGGAAATGGCGGCATGCTGGCATTGTGGTAGGCGTTTCCTTCCTGTTTCCGGAGGCCCTATGCGGCCTTGTTGCCAGTCTCCGTCTCATTTTGGCTCATGTTCTTAGCTATGCTGCTGGTCCCTATCTTAGAAAACTTACTTACTTCTTGTGTGCTGAAAATTAGATTAATAACCAACGCAGGCGTACTCCGTGGGGTCCCGGTACGACAATGCGCGCGATTTCGTTCCCCCGGGTCGCCTGCTGTATTTGGAGCGGCACAAGGCGGGGGAAGACGAGGGGCCGCCCTGCTGCAGCTGCAATGTGTGCTTGCTGGACAGAAGCAGCCCCGGGGCGACCTTCAACTGCAGGTGGGGAGTGGGAGCGGTGGTGGTGGTGGTGCAGTTCAGTCTGCATACGGAAATGGGAGCGAGGTCCAGGGGCAGGAAGGTGTTCCCATTTGGCCTTCAGACTATAGCAAACGGAAATGAGGTGTGCTACGCAATCACAACAAACAATCCCTCTTGAGAACTTGCCTGCTGCCGGTACTTCCATCTACCATGCAGGTGGATTGAGGTGGATGACCTGATGGCAGGCGGGCTCGTGATTTCCAGATCCATGTTCCTAGACCACGTGCCGGACAATGCACTGCTAGCCATGGAGCAGGTGAGAATCGAACTGAGTTGCTTGTTTAAGACAGGCAAAAGGGCAAAAGGTTGGAGCCACCAACCACACCCGTTGGCACCATTGGAGTACCGTACGCAAGTCCAAACGGCTTTACACGAGTTACCGGTTGTGCATCAAGGCTCAGCATGTTCCAAGGCCTGCTGCTTTACTCTTCGTAATCCATCCAACTTCTAACCTGTTCCTCCGTTCCGCTTCCCCGCTCTGCTGCAACAGGCGCTGCAGCAAATGCGTGCCGAGCACGCGCAAGGCCCCAAAGCACCCGCCAGCTACCCGCTGCCGCCACCATCGCCACCAAGGTCATCCGCTGCTCCTGTAGCGGCCGGAAGCGCCTCACAACCACCCGCTTTCCAGTTCCCGCCGGAAGGCCCCCTGCGGCAGAAGCCCCCCAAGTTTCCAGTCAAGTTGCTTACCTATTGCCCGCTGCAAGGTGCGGTGACCTGCTAGCTGGGCCCCAGATCCCCAGAATCTAGCCGAACGGCATGGGACATGCTAGCGGCGGAGCGTTGAGGAGGTAGGGGGCGGGTTCCGCTGACAGGAGGAGGGGGTCCCCTGAGGAGCAGCAGCAACAGCAGCACCGGGAGAACACGCCGGGAGCTGTAGCGGCAGGGGTAGAGAGAGCCGGGCTTGGCGCAGTATGGTGCGGTTTGCTTGCGGGGGGGAGGAGAAGTCGTGTTGTGGTCATGGACGGCTTGGCGGCGTTGGGGGGGTGGCGTGGGGCATATGAGGCGACTTCGGGTGATGTAACGCCGCGTGCAGCATGCGGCAGCATGCCGGATGCGGATGCAGTGCTGGTGCACCTGCTGTGAGCTAGTTTGTGATTACATTCACGCAGTTGCATCTCTGCATTTTCCAGTACGGAGGAGGTTTATTACGCGGTTCTTAGCGCGTAGTGGTTGCGTGCTCATTGCTTGGCTTGCGTTCCGCTGTGGTCCTGTTACCACTGCTGCTGGTGGCGTAACTATGTGGTCTGTTATGGAGTGTGGGTTAGTTGGGGCAGATGGTGTTTTATTCAGTTTTCGTACGGCAACTTAGGATCCGTGCGGCTTGATCTGTGACCCATGCCGCTGCTCCTTAGCGGGTGTTCCAGGATGAGTTAAGGCGTTTGCGCGGAGCTCGTACGGACGTTTTTGGTCGTATAGATACCGGTATTTTTCATTCTGAGTGATTCTGGTTCCACTGCATTGTCGCCCTGTGTATTAGACGTCTACAACGGTGGCCTTGCATGTCGTAAAATGATCCAATCGTCGTAATGTTTGCTGAGTACCCGATTGTTATTTTTGGCTAGAGTGATCGTCGGCTGGCTATTTCGGAGCGCTCCCGTTGCTGTCTGAGTTTTCCTCATGAGCCTGGGTGACGTAGTTGTGTTTTCAATACCAGGTTCTGTCGTACAGCCGGGGTCGTACATCCCATGCATGTTGTCCCACATGTAGGGGTTTCACCTCGTTTATGTTGGTGGTTGTCGTCGCAATCTGATGCACCTTATTGGACGTGCTGGAGCCCAGGTGTAGCAACTGTAACGGCTAACCAACAGCACAGTGTGCGCGCCTGTCGTACACCCTACATGGCGTGTCCTGACCCATGGGTCGCTTCGGCCGTTGCACCTTGACGACACTACGATGCAGTCGCATTATGCAGCAGCATGTGGCGTCTTGTGGGCAGCCACAAACAAACGCAATAACCCCTTAATGCAGGGGTAGGAATACCACATGTCTGCGACAACCTGCTTAGCACGACCTTCGCGCAAAAAACTTCACAATTTCGAACGAAAGACGGCATTGGTGCTCCTAGATCCACCTAACCCCCACTCATAAACGCCATTATCACTCCTACTAACGCTAGGATTCCCCCCCTATCACGATACACCACCAGTCCTCTCCTGCCTTTCATTCTTGGCTACTCGCCATACAAAGCTCGCGACCCCCATCCCCCGCACCGCCTGCCGCGACCCCACACGTCCCTCCAGCTTTCCCCTTACCCCCGTCACTCCCCTCATGCGCATCCCTGCCCCTCCCTCCTCCGCTGCTGCTTCCTCCCCCTCTTGGCGACGGCCCCCCCAGCGCAAGAAGCGGTTCTGAGCCCGCTGCTGCTGCTGCCGCAGACACCCCAGACTCCTCCCCACTTGACCCACGCCGTCTCGACGTATGGTCATAACCGGCTGAAGATGGTGGAGAAGCAGCAGCGCCCGAACCTTCAAACGGAGCTGCTGCAGCTGCAGCAGGAGCGCCTCTCGTCGTCGTCGTTGTTGCCATCAGCGCTGCAACTTGACGCGACAGGTCGACCAGGTAGTCATGGTAGGGATCCGGCTCGTCCTGGGGTCCCGGGGCCTCGGCTCGGAGCTGCTGCTGCAGCTGCTGTAGCGCCTCTCCTACGGTAGCAGCCGGATAGCACAACAAATAGTGTGAAAACAAAACATGATGACTTCCTAATGCTGCCCTGCAACAGCAGCACCGCCAACAGCAGCAGCAACAGCAGCCTCACCTGCTCCGTTCGCCCGCAGCACCTGCAGCGCCACAGGCTCCCCCGCGAGCCGCTGCAACACCAGCAACGCCTTCTCCTGCGGACGATCGGGTAACAGCGGCATGCAGCAGAAGAGGCGGCGTGAATTAACAGCGCTCAGCAGAGGCACGTTACATACAACTTAATACAGCGGTAGATGGACACAACGCGGCATACACGCTATCTGGGAGCAACGTGCAACGCAAAACAAAACGGACCAGGGAGAATGAGAACCACAATCGTCACCGTCGCATGATGGACCCCTAGAGGTCGTCTACGCGTTCTACCTGCATGTCGGGGTCGGGCTGGGCCAGAAGTGACACCACGGCCTCAGGGAGACCCGTCTGGATGGCGGCGAAAGCGAGGGCGCTGTCGCCGGTGCTGTCGCCCCCGTCACCCGCAGACATGTGTTGTGTGGGTGCCTGGGATCGGAAGAAGGAGGGGAGTCAAGTGGCAGGCTTACGGGTTATGTCCTGCCAAGATGGCATGCAGGTTGCTGGATCTCGCCCTCAGTCGCCTCCTTTTTCCACATCTGCCATGCACCTCAGAACCTGCCTTCAGGACTCGCTCTCCCTTGTAGCAACCCAAGCATTACCAGAGCACCTTTGCCAAACTCGGGACATCACGTGGGGGCTTGCAAGACGGCGGAAGTCCCACCCTCACCTCCTCGCCACTCCCATCCTGCCCTCCCAGCCGGATAGTACTGAAGTGCTGCATGCCTGCATCCTCCTTCTCCAGGCGGCTGCCACTCCCAAAGGCCACACCCTCCGCAACTCCAAGTGTATCAACACCCGCCGCCGTCCCTGTTGCTGCTGCTGCTGCTCCTCCTGCTGCCCCTCCCGCTGTTGTCCCTGCGGGCTGTGTGTCCACCAAGTCCATGAAGAGGCTGAGCGCCTTCCGCTTCACACGCGGGGCCACCAACCCGCCTCGCAGCAACAGCTCAAGGTGCGAGAAGCCACCTGCAGGCAGGCAGGCAAGCAGTGGAGCTAGGACAGAGCTAGGAGCTAGGCACGCCGCCCAACCAGGAAGGTGGAAAGCAAGGCAGAAGTCGGTTTAGAGCACACATTGGGGTATGGACAAGGACTTTCCCCACGTGGGCCCCTCGGGGCGCCTCCACATTTCTCGCTCAGCGTACCTGCATCCACAAAGGCCCTGCGAGCCTCCTGCGTGTTGCGAACCAGGGCCGCCACCGCGTACATCCCCTTGACGGCGCTCTCCTCCTGGGCCGACTGGGACACCTGCAAAGGGCAGGGTATACCGACCACGTCGCCCTCAGTTATTCCAACACTGACAATACACACGGCCAGTTTTTCCAACACACGCTATGCGGAAAACGTGAACATAGGGCAAAACGCTGAACCAAGCGACCGGGAGCACTCGGGAATGCGACTGGAAGGATCGCTGTTATCTTGCAACACCTCAACACGCCACCACACGCACCCGCCTCCACATGTGGTTCCCACCTGGAGTAAGGTGGACACAATGCCGGGGTGGTCCGACAGCAGTTGCCGCTGGAAGGTGGGGTTGTTGGAGGCGGCGGTACCCAGCACGTGGGCTGCGGCGGCTGCGACCTCGGGTGACCCATGGGTCAACTGGGTCACTACCGGTGCAATCCCACCCAAGGGTTGTAGATCTGACGCAAGCGGCAAGAAGGTAGGGTTGGGGGAGGAACACAGGGTAGTAGGCTTAGCACAGCAATGGCATGAACCTAAGAAAACCGTGTCATTTTAGTAAATAACTTAACACTTCTTACTACCAGTATACCTTGCGTACCGGTATACGCAGCAGCTATGGCGGCCATGACAGATGACACCCACCGTTTGCATTGTCAATGGGCTCAACCAGCACCTGCAACGTCTGCAGCGCCGCCAGCAGCTCGGTTTCGGAGGCAGCCGGCCGGCGCAGGATCGCAATGCCCTCCTGTGTGACCCGTGGGTCAATTGGGAGCAATGCGTTAGGGAGAGGAAGAGGAAGAGGGGACACAAGGGACTAGCGCACAGAGTAGCTGCTTGCTGTCTGTTAACAGGAGGGCTGGAATAGACTGCTGCGGTTATTCCGCATGCGGTCAACTGCAATAGACGCCGCGGGCGTTTGCAATTTGTGTCAATTGACATCATCTAACGGATTATAACCCTTATGACTAAAGCGAGGTTGACAGCAGTTGAGGGCACGGCAATTGGGGCTAGGCCACCCACCTTCAACATGTCGGTCTCCGTTGGTTGCGACCTTACGTGATCCAGCAACTGCGAAGATGCGACGGAGAAAGGTTACACGGTTTAGACCTTCGAGTTCAGGGGTTCGATTCCGGTTCCAAAATAGGCCCTGAGCGGGAGGCCATGTGCTTCGCAGGCAGCCCGTCCCACAGGGGCACGTTCCCCACAAACTGTCGTACATCGGCACCCTGTCCGCTTCTTAGCCCCCGATGATGCGTACCTCCTTCACCCGCCGTCGCTGCTCTTTTAAGTCTTTAACCATCTGGATGCGCTGTGCCTCTTCGGCTTGAGCCGCTAGCTTTCCAGGGTCGCTATTGGCTGCGGGATGCAAAGAAGCGAGTCCTCGCATGAAGCCAAATATTTCCATAAACAAAATTATAGGAGGAGCGCAAGTTTTATTACCTATTGCCCAGTGGAGTAGGTCCTCCATCGAGCGCGGGTCTCTCTCATCCTCGCCCGAATTCGCCGCGAACAAGTCAACGGCTTCATTGACGATCGCTTGCCCAAAATCACATTTTACTGGAAAGATGGCAGTTAATGAAACAGCAATCAGCAACAAATGGGTCGATCGCATCTTGTTTCGCGGGAGTTAGGCTTTCTAGAACGCGTTGTTCAGCAGCGATCTACTACTCCATTTGCTGGTGATGTAGAAGGAGTATAACACGGTCTTAAATTTATGCAGACTGTTTTCATCTCGGTTGAAATGTCGCGACTTTTGGAGGCGATGTCGTACAAGCGCGACGTAGCCCAGGACACGAGGGCAACTTCTAATGCATGCCTTAGTATATCACTTGAGCTCAGGTTAAGCTACGCAGTGCAACCGCAGACTCAGCTTCATATACATATAATTTTCTGCTTTACACATTTGCATCCCAAGCATCTGCGTGTCTTGCCAAGCCGCATCCATCGAGGACGCCCGGCATCAGCAAGCACTACCCTCTCTGGGCACACCTCGAAATGACAATCGCTGTTGCCGGGGAAGGCTGACGGCACTGCTGTACGCACACCCACCTTGCGCCCACATTGAACGCCACGCCTCACTTGTCCTCACTCTGCAGCCCTCCTAGTCGACTTCCATCCTCCTCCACCGCCGCCCCCTCCATCCCTCCTCCTCACCGCTTCTTATACACGCACGCCTTCAGCGGCGGCCACGGAATAGCCTTCCCGCCCTTGCCGCCCTTCCCGCCTTCCGCCCCCTTCTTCCCACCGCCTCCTCCCTCGCTCCCCGCCTGCTTCCGTAGAACCCAAACCACAAACATCTTGTTGTTCGCGTCCTGGCTGAGCAACTTCAAACCCAGGCGCTTCAAGCAGCCCAGGAAGGGCCCAAAGTCCTCCTCTCCGTTGCCGCTCCCGCCGCCACTGCCGCCTGCAACGCGACGGTTGCGCTTCCGGCCGCCCTTGCCGCCGTCTTCGTCGCTGTCATCGTCTTCATCGCTGTTGCCGCCCTCATCGTCGGACCCGGTCCTTGCGAAGCGGCTGCGAACCTGTTTACAAGCAATTACCGTTGGGCGTCATTGAGGCACTGCACACACGAAGGATGCCATTTGCCATAGCATACAGGTAGCGTGTTGATGCATCGATAATGGCAATATGTTGGCAAGAATGCTAATAAGACAGATGTCTGTAATATAGTACTTTGGAAGGCCTTCGGTGCCTCGTAGGAACGGTCAAGACGCTGCCACTGCTGTCAGCTATGGATGTTTAAGTTGAGAAAATGCCGTACAAGCCGCCGTACCGTACCTCGGCGATCCACAGCCAGCCCTTGGGCTTCAGCACCCGAACCGCCTCCTGTGGCGGATAATTGTGTGTACGGAGGCAGGTCGGGGGGGCAACAACAGGTCAGAAAGGGGACGGGGGGAGGCGCCACAACCCACAGTAAGGTCTTTGACCCACCCCAGCCGCACCTCCAGGTAGCTGCCGTAGTCGGTCCCCATGAGAGCCAGCGAGAACACAGCGGCATCCACCGAGCCGGCTGCCAGCGGGACATCCGCCATGTTGCAAGCGATGACGCCCGGGGCCGAGGCAATCAGGTCGAAGGAGTGGACGGTCTGAGGGGCACACAAACATGTGTGTGTGGCGGCGGTGTGTTAGGAGGAAACTGGTCGCGAAGATAGGAACGTACGGCAGTATACGGGTTGGATGGGGGTGTCATGGAGTTGCTGAAGGGGCATGGAGTTGATGAAAAATAGATAAAAACATGCAATCATGGAGAGACAGCATCATGGCAAGGTTGACAGCAGCACAACCCAACATCACTTGCTTCCGAAACGCAGCGGCCAGTTCGTTTAACACGCACAGCCACGCACCTGCGGCACGCTGGCAGCGATCTTGGCGTCACCGCAACCGAAATCCGCAACCTCCTTGATCTCCGACCTGCGGCATGCGGGGGCAGCACAGTGCCTTGTTAGCCTCTTAACAAAGAGACGGACATACCGGTAATCATTGCAAGCACAGAACCCAAGCGGTAACGAGAAACCGCCCACTTTGTAACAAGCAAGAGCCTCCGTGCAGCCCAGACCACTGCAGTACTAATAGGGTCCTAACAGGGTCAACTGCAACAGTAACTAACCCCCCCCTGCCGCCCTCCCTCCCTTACTTCTTGGCCCTCAGCCAGGCTATGGCCACGTCCACCGGCTGCTTTGGCCAGCCGCGCGTTTGCTTCTGAAAGCCCTCGTGGTACTGCGAGAACAACTCCGGTTGGGACTGCAGGGAGGCAGATATAAACGAAAAGTGAAGCACTGGAGGGGGGAAAACATTAATACCCAATGTGCTGAGTGAGAATTGCAAAGCAAGACGACAACCTCCATCACAAACCACCGGCTAGCGCAAAGCGGGGGGCAAGAAAGGAGGCCAGGTGGGGGGTGCGGTGGGGCGTCGTCCTGTCGTGGCGGGGCAGTTGAGACTGGGGCTCTTCTGTTACGGAGCCCTGGGACCCTAACCCCAAGCATGACTCAACGCCAACGCCAATACCCAAAAGGTACCCCCCAAACACGTCAGCAAAAGGTAGCCGCAGCGCAAGGCCACAGCCCACACAGCCAGTCCTCTAGCAGGAGACTGCAATGGCTTTGCACGTTTGCAGCGTACTACCAATTCCCAAGGCCCCAAGCGCCCCGCCCCGCCCCCACCACCTGCATCATGGAGTACGCATCACCCCCACTGCGCGTGTACAGCTCCTCGTTCAGGTAGCGGAACCGCCCGCCCGCCAACCGCGCACGCATGCGATCCAAGAACCCGCCGCCGGCGCCAGTGCCACTGCTGGGCCCCGCCTTCTTGCCCTGGGCAGCCCCACCCCACCGCGACCCTGCAGCAGCTCCCGCATCGACCTCATCGCCAGCAGCGGCTGCTGCCGCTGCCGAGGCAGCGGCCGCCGCAGCCGCCTTTTGCTGCATAGCCGCTAATGCAGCCGCATGCGTGAGCTTCTGCGGCCCAGCGGCGGCAGGGGCAGCCACCGCCGTCGCTGTGGTTGCAGCAGTTTGTACGGCAAGGGCGGCAGCGCGGCCGCCCAATGCGGCTGACAGACTGTTGGCCGCGACAGGCGGCAGCGGCTTGGGAGCGGTGGGCGCGCCGAGGATGGAGGTGGGTGCTGCTCCTGCTGCTGCTCCTGCTGCTGCTCCTGCTGCTGCTGCTGCCGGTCCTGTGGCAGCTGGCGCCTCGGCGGCTTTGGCCTGCTCCTTCTTGCCGCGCTTCGCCTGCCGTTCCTCTGGGCGCTCCTGCTTCTGCTGGTGCGGCTTCTGCTGCCCCGGCTGTTGCTTCTCTGCCGCTGGCCTCTTGGCTTGTCGTTGCTCTGGCTGCTGCGGTTGCTGCGGCTGCTGTTGCGAGGCGTGCTTGGGAGGCTGCTGCTGCTGCTGTTGCTTCTGCTCCCGCTGTTGCTTGGCTGCGGCGGCTGTCGCCGCCGTGGTTGCTGCTGCTGCTGGGGCTTTCAAGGCCTGCCCTTCCCGGTCTACCAGGCCTTCCCGGGCGTCTTGTGCCTTGCCATCTCGCTTGCGTTTGGCCGCCTGGTCCTGAGGCCGTTTGGTTTCCTCTTGCTCCCCACCAGCCTCCTGCTGCTGTTGCTTCTGCTTCTGAGGCTGCTGGAATTGCTTCTGCTGCGGCCGTTGCTGCTGCGGCTGCCCTTCCTTTTCCTTCAGCTGCGGGTTTGGCTGCACTTGCTTGGCCGGTTGCTTCTGCGTTGGCTCCTGTCCCTGCTTCTGCTCCTGCTGCTCCGCCGCCGCCACCACAGCCGGCTGCACCTTGCCTTGCTTCCGCCCTGCCGGCTCCTGCTCCCCTGGCTCGACGCCGAGCTGAGACTTCTCCGGCTTCTGCTGCACCTCCCGCTTTGCCTTCTTAGCAGGGCGAGCAACCAGCCCCTGCTCATCGCCCCCTCCAGCCTTGCCCTCGTCCGGCTTGGCCCCCGCCGTCTGGCCCTCGCGCTCAGCTACCTGCTTACTCGCATCATCTTTGGAGGATGGGAGGCCGGCCAACGTGGCTTGTAGCGGCTGCGACGGTTTGTCGTCTTTAGCTGCTGGGGGCGACACCGGCGCTGAAGGTTTGGCTGCGGAGCGCTGCTTCTTGCTTGCGGGTGCGGTTGTGCCGGTGATGGGGAGGGATGGCGACACAACGGCTGCCGCGACGACGTCTGCATTTACGACTCCGGTAGACTCCTGAGCGAATTCCGACGGCTTTGACGATTTCTTCTTTCCACCCTGCTTCTTTTCGTTGCTGACAGGCTCAACCGGATTCTTGGCGGCAGCCCCCGCCGCCGCTTTTGACGCTTCCTTTTTTGATGCTGATGCATCAGCAATGCTGCTTTGCAATTGATTTGCGCTGCGCAAGCTAACTGGCCGATCAAGCAGGTCTTGCAGTTGATGTTGGGACAACGGCTTGTTTGCCTTCTTCTTTCCATCAGGTCGAACGCTCATAAGTCGCTTTGGTGCAATAGGGTACTGAGCCCCATCTTCGGTTGCGGTGCCTGAAACACCAAAGTCCCATGAGCCAAACTCCAAGGCATCCCAGTCATTTGATTCGCCCGTCTCCATTTTAGCTAATATCTGAGTAAGCAAGAAGCAGCCAATGCTGTCGCTCAGGTTGTGAACTGGTAAGCGATGTACGACTGCTTACACATCCTTCTCCAGTGGTTAGTACTCGATCGCAAAGAGAGTCGTTAGCAGCCGAGGCTATGGCTCAGGGTCCTGAGGTTAGTGTCGAGACGAACAGCTCGAAGACCCTTAAAGCATATGCTCCGGAACCCCGGCGGGCGAGCGGTTGTAAGAAGTATGTGGGCGTGCTTTCGCCTTTCCAACACTTGCAGGGCTAACTTGGGCACCATTAGGCTAGCTGTATGGTGCCCAAGGCATCGTCATAGCCCATTTACTTCTGCAAGTTAGGCAACCTAGGATACAGAGGAGTTAGCTAAAGCACCCAACCGATATCGTAGACCCATATTTACTAGCTAAGTAACAACATCTATATGAAGCTGTAACTGGTCAGAGTTTTGTCGCCGCTTTGGGCATCTCGAACGCCCATTGTGCGGTTGCTTGGCCGGCGGTATACGCGAAACAGACGTGTGAGCCGGACTTTTAGATGGAGCATGCAGACACGAGTATTTACGCAAGGCTATCGTCGCAATCTACTTGCGGCACAAGCCATGGCCCTCCGAGGGTGCATGTCTATGTCTTAGCTGGACCAGAACACGAGGCGACCGCATTTGCTCCATCCACACCAGGTGTGTATAATGAGTTATTCTAGCTCAAAGCGGAAGCGGACTGCTGAGGTAACTTCCGTCGACCAGAAAGCTGGCAGGCGTCGCCGTTTGCGACGAGAGAGTGGCTCAGCAATGTCTGCTCAGCCGTTGCATGACTTCATCTCGCAAAGCTATTTCGATGCTAACAAAATATTCATGCCTTCGCACTTGCAGATTTTTTCAGGTCGCCAGTGGCATCCCCGCCCGCATTGCGGATGCAGTTCAACCCTTTCCAGAACCAATGCCAGGGCTTATGTGGCCGAAAGCGCCCAAGGGATGAGACGGGTGACGTAGACTTGATGGAGCTGGCTTGAAGCAACATTATTTTGCTTGCGCCGGTGTTTGGCTCGGTTTTGGCAGGAAGGGCACACGTGTGCGGTGTAACGGTGTTATTTATCCTGGCTCGCTAGTAAGGCTTCTCCTAGCCGCGGAATACAGTTTTATATGATGTGTTTACGTGCTATTTAGGCATAGATATGCTCGTGTGCTTCTAACAGAGACATCTGTCAAAGCGGCGCGTTACTGCTGACCACTGCTGCAGCAACCACCTCAATCGGGCAATCAATAGCGGACTGCTGTCAGGGAGTTTACCAAGAATGTGACGCTGGGAATTGCCGCAAGCTTAGATCGTTAGTAGCCGTTGCGTTAGCCGTGTTGAGGTGGTCTGAGTCGCCAAATGCCGCATACATGTGAGATGTGACTTTCTCCTAGGTTCCTTAGCGGAACAGGAAACCGCTACAGGTATTGCATGTAACGCCCTGGCGTCCTCTGTCCTTACATCAGTTGAGGGCCATGGCACCCCTCCATCGCAAATCCGGCCTAACAGCGTCATCGTAACCTCGTGTAAAGCCGCACAGCAGCCTGTAAGTTCCATGGCCTTGCATGTTTGCATTGCGACAAAGTCCTGCATGCTCGCAAGGCGACCAGATCAACACCATCCAGCTGGACCAATTAGCACCCCTGCATACCGCAAAGCACCTGCAAGCAGGACGTGTACGACACCTGCCGCCCAGCGGAACCACCTTCATTTCCCTACGTGCCATTTTCCACCGCAGGTCTCTACGTGTGGCCTTTGCTTACCAATCACTCGGAATCCCTACCAGGGTTAGTTCTTCCTCGTGTTCCTCTGCTAGGTTCGAGAATGCTAGGTTCCACACCTTCGATCTACGCCTATCTACACCTACTTAAACCTGGGTTTCGACGTAAGGCCTGCTCGGTAGGGTCTGTTGGGCGATACATGCGGCAGGCCCCGGGCGGGCACCCCTGGACCCCCGGACTTGGGTGACCCCAGCGCGCTGCTGCTCCCAGGGAGCCCTCCGCTCCCGGAACCGAACTGCTGTTGCTGCTGCTGTTGTGCTTGTTGGAGCGCCGTCTGCAGCGACTCGATCTGCCGAAGGAGCTCCCGCCGCTCCTCGAGCCCAGCCTGCACGGACCCATGGGTCACAACGTCAGAGCCGTCAACCTTTCTTCCTCATGCAACCCAGCTCTTTGTGCCTCTAGACAACGACATTGAGGCGCGGAAGGAAAGTAATTACTTGGCCCCTGCTGGAAATCTACCAAATTCTTAATAGCAAACCCCCTCCCCAGCCCGGTTCACATGTCATGGTATCCTACCGGCACTGCACTACACCCCAGAGTCCCTCACCCCATCTCACCTGCAGCGCTGACCGCATCTGCGCCAGCTCGCCCTCCCGCGTGCGTATGATCTCCGACAGCCTCCCAAGCTGCCCCTCCATCATCGCAAGCATGCTCATGTCCACCGCAGGAGCAGCAGCAGCAGCAGCAGCAGCCACTGCTGTCACACCCGCCCCCGCCCCTGGCCCCGTCGTCGCTTCGACCGCCGCCGGTGCTGCTGCTGCTGCAGCTGCTCCTCCGGGCCCAGACGTCGAGCGCGACCTCCCAGACTGTGTCGTCCCCGCGTTGCCCTGCTGCTGCTGTTGGTGCTGCTGGTGCTGCTGTTGGGATTTAGCGAGCTGTCCCTCTAGCTCCTTGACCCGCGCCTTCAGCGCCTTTTCGCTGAACTGACAGCTGCTGAGTTGCGATTTGGCGGCATCGGCGTCCGAACGAGCCTGCGTGAGCTTGGACTGCTTGGACAACGCATGCAGCAGTCAAGCGGGCGGGCGGGCGGGCGGGCGGGCGAGTACCGTTGGTATGTTGGTATGGTACCCAATTCCACGCTGCCCATTGTAAGCTATCCCTGCGCACACTTTACTACTGCACCCCTCTACCACAAGTAGTATTCCGCAACATCCGCCCCATCGCACGTCCGCACCTGCAGCTCCCCCACGGACGTCTTGTACGCCTCCACTTGCTGCCGCAGCGCCACCGCATCCGCCTCCGCCCGCTGCAGCCGCTGAGCCGCCTGCTGCTCCATCTGCACAGTTGTCCCGCAATAAAGGAGCTGTAAGTCATATAAAAGAGTTTTCAAAAACATGTAGCACAGTATCTTTGAATCTTGATGAGCGATGGGCTAAGACATCTCCCATAGGAGCAGCTGCAGCAGCAGCTGCCAAAGCAACAACGCCCTTCAATCCTTCCACTGTATGCTTTCACAAGGTAAGGCGCAAGAAAGCGCACGTGCGTGATGTTCTAAACCAGCATCATGGAGCTGCCCAGCGCATTGTCACACCCCTGCACAGCCCTGCATGCTCCCAGCCCTGCATGCTCCCAGGCGCAGCTCACCGCAGCGGCTCCAGCTCGCGGTCCCGACCGGGGCGCCGCCGCCGCCTCCGAGGCCGCCGCTGCACGCGCCGCCGCCACCGCCTGCTCTAGCTGCTGCTGGTGCGTGCGTCGTATGTCTGCCACCTTGGAACTGAAGCTCTCCTGTGAGATGGCAGGGGGCGAGAGGTGTTAAAGCGCCGTGGTAGTAGAGGTCGGGGGAGAGGAGGTAACCGTCAGGTGAAAGAGAGGAAGAGAGGAGACAGAAAAGGGTAGCGATAAGGAGTTAGCAGCAAGCACAGCGTTTTGGATGCACGCAACGCACTGCAAGACGCATGCAAGACGCCATGCAACAACCACACCTGCAGTTCGTTGAGTCGGTTGGCAGCCGCCGCCGTCTGCGCCGCCAGTTCCAACTCCAACCTCTCCACCTGCCCCGCTCGCGCCTCTAACTCAGCCCGCAATCGGTGCAGCTCGGCGGAGGGGCCCTCGGAGGCTGCTGACGTCATCGCAACCGCCTGGCGCTGCTGGGCCCTGCATGGGAGCGGCGTGCGGCCGGTGTAGTAGGTTAGTTGCTGTGGCGTGGCGACCAGCCGTCCCATGGGTCGGTAACGGATCATATGCATGTATGGCAGCAGGCTGCGGACATGATGGAAAGCCTGGTCGAACCCTGCCCAGGCTCAAAACTGCCACGTGTCAAGACTCTTAACTAACTACCGGTAACTAAACTAACGAATTGATGTGCTGCTGCCGTACTTGTTGATTGCGAGCGCCTCCTGCAGCTGGGCCTGCAGCGAGGCTACCTCCTCCGCCTGGGAGCTGTGTGCCTGAGCGGGTGGGAGCCGGTGGAGGCGGTGGAGGCGGAGGCCGGTGGAGGCGGTGAACGAGGTACGGTAGGCAACTGATGGCATTTCGCAATTAGTGACTCGCCGGGCCTGAGCGTCAATACCCAGCGGGCAGGAGCCTATCCCTTGCCGTTCACAAACCCACACCACGCAGGCAGGTCACCCAACCAACCGCTAGCTTACCGAAGTGCTGCTGCTGAGCGCCTGCCGCATGCGGTTGATCTCAGCCCGCAGTCGAGCCGTCTCTGCCTCCCGCTCGTTCAGCAGAGCCTGCCAGTCCTGGCCCACCTTCTGTCTGTGCATGATGTGCATCCATGCCATGTCGCGGCGGCATGCATGTAACCACGATGGGCCCAGCAACGGTGGTAAGATCAGCAGTGGCGGCATGACGAGGTTGGGGTGGAAGGGGGCAGCAGCAGCAGCAGGGTGGCTTGCGGGGTGGGCCTTGCATGTGGCAACCACCGCGACTTGCCTCCCGCACACGCGGCGCGGGGATTGCCGGCCTAGGGAAGCGTCCTCTAGTGTGCACGGGCACAATGTGCGTGTTGTCTTACTTTGCGGACGCGGATGCTTTATGCATCTCCAGCTCCCGTCGCAGGGTAGCCATGGCTGTCTGGGCCTGAGCCAGAACGTCGGCCGAAGCCGATCCAGACAGCGAAGATATGCATCGCTCTAGTTCCTCCATTGGTACGCAGTTGCTAGGTACACTGGAGGCGTCCTAGCGAACTTAGTGACTTCTTTGATTGCGCTCGATCAATTGGCGTCGAGGTCTAGCAAGTTGCTTTATTGTAAGCGGGTTGATAAAGAAGGTAAAGCACCAACTCCTGTGTCGCGGCTTGGAACCGCAACATCAGGGCTGCACTCACGTGAATGCCGTGCCTGCTATCCAACCGCTGCACTCGTATTGCTATGGTCCTCTATAATAGTGCTATACATAGTATAGTACACGCTTGCTAGGCAGTTACATTTACTGCTAGTTATCCTTAGTACACCAACTGCAATATGGGTCGCTGCAGAACAGCGGCGTTGCTGCCACTTCTGCTCGTGTGCGTCTTTAGTGCTTCAGCTTTGTCAGCAGCTGTGCAGGAGGAGCATGAGGCAAGGACGGGGTGGTGCGTGTCAGTCCGGATGAAGCATTCGCGCCAAATGTGGAAGGGTCTGGGTGTCTCATACCGGCCCGTTTCTACAATGTGTTTCAGCCATTTTGTGTACAGTGCACATGTTGTTGCGATTGCCCAGGGCATGTTAGGTGTCACGGGGGCTCTGCAAACGGCGGAGCCTGGGCATGTGCCATGTCGGCAGCCATGGGTGCTGCCCTAACCGCCTTTCCCTGGCTCACAGGTAGTACCTGTGACGGATGCACACGCTCCCGGAGAAATTATTACCATCAAGCTCCGCCCTGCTGTGAAGCGCAAGAAGGTGGGACCTCTGGATGAGATGTAAGGCTTGTCATGCTCAGTAACCCACGGCTGAGCCTCATAACCCGCAACACGTGTTCAGAACGCCCTTCCCCGTCCTCCGCACCCAACTACTTTGACATCAACTTACCTCCGCTTCATCCCTGCAATCCAATCCAGGAGGATGCTCGTGCCCTAGCTGACCGGCTGAAGACCCTACCAGAACTTCAAGGTGCCTCCCTAGCGGCGGTGTCTCGTGACCTCCTGGTCCTGACGCCCTCCCCCAAGCAGCAGGCAGACCAGGTGCGTAGGACCGCTGGTGGGGTTTCAATTCACGGAGATACAGACCAGCACAACGGCTGCCGTGGTCACTCTTAACCTGGCTGTGCGTGCTTTGCTCCCCTTCCCTTCCTTTGCGTCATGAATGTTTCGGTTTCTCACATCATGGCCTAACCTCGAACGCCCATGCCATACGTCCTTACATCAAGCATGCATGTGCACAACACCTCGCTGCCTTCCGCAATACTCTGCAGGTCACGCAGCTGCTGCTCCAGCAACCCGATGTATACGAGGTGGAAATCGGCGAGCAACAATTCCGACGTGACGACGATAAGCCGTACGACCAACTGCGAAAAGACATGCTGTCGGAGGTGCGAAACGGCGGTAGTTGGAGCCGTTGTAACGGTAGTTGTAACGGTAACCGTAGTGGTAACGGGATTCATGCAGAGACCTGTAGACATGGGGCCGTGCTAGAAGTCGGGGAACATGAGGAGCAATCAGCTCCGCAGGGCCTTGCGCGTCCGCCGGATGACTGTCTACAGTGTGCTCGGCGCCGCCGTGTTTCTGCTGCAGCTGCCGCTGCCACAGCGCAGTGGCAGACAGAGCTGCTACGGCAGCACCATCTGCAGCAGGGTTGCCCACTGGGGGCTGGCAGCCATGAACGCGGGCTTTGAGACAAACTGGGTAGCCGGGGTGGATATGAGGGCCGCATTCATTCATGGCGTGTGCGCTGAGGGCAGTCAGTTGCCTGGGGCCTAGGTACAGCGTCCTTTCGCAATGGCTTTTAGTGCGTTGATGGGACCTGCGGAGTGGAAGTTCATCATGGTGATAACGACCAACGACCTCATACCCAGTTGTGTAAGACGACCCAGCCGCCTGCAAACCATGCGGCTTACACCCTTACACGCTTGCCTCTCCAACCACCCCGGTAGCTAAGTGAGGCTGTGTTGGTGTGTTCGTACAGTGCATGTTGGTCATGCTCCGCCATCCGTTCTCGCAGGCGGTTTCAAGCACCAAGTCCCGCATTCGGGAACGCATTAAGAACAAGCTTCGAGCGCTGGCTGGCCGACTCAAGCCGTCGTCGTCAGGACCTGCGGGCCCACAAGCACCAGCAGCAGCGGTTTCCTCCGGCCCAGGTGACAGTGTGAACAGCGGCGGCAGTCCTGAAGGACGAGAGTCGAGGCAAGGCGAGCGGCAGAGGAAGAAGCCGGCAGCAGGGCGAGGGGCGAAGCGAGGGATCCGGGGCGGCAAACGTCGGGGGATGAAGCGCCGGCGGGAGGTTGGCAGCGGCGGCGGAGAGGGCGCGAATGGGGAGCTTTAGGAGAGCAGGTAGCGTGTGATGGATGTCGGTGTTTGTATGTAGGAAGAAGTGAAGTACATGTACGGAGAGCAGGTGAGGTGGGCTGCAGGTTGTGGGGTTACCGGTACAGTTTTGTGGCCACTGGGGGGCTAATACTAGTCCTTCTATTCTGGCCGGTGCAGTGGTGGTTGTTTCCGTTAGCAGGGCCGTCATGCTGCGGGCGCGAAGACTTTGCTTCAGAACATGGCTACCGGGCTCTGGGAAGGAGCTAAACATACAGACGCTTATCACACCTTGGGAATTGTGGGGGACCAACAGGCCCATCCACGCTTTCCGTTACCGGTAACGTGCTGACGATGTGAACCGGTGCGCATGGTACGCATGCGCCAGGCACCCCTCAGCCACAGCAACCGCATCTGGGTTATAGCACCAAAGCCCTCGCAGGGATACTTGGTCACAGGTTTACCAGGCACCATGCCCGTGCTCGCATCTACGCTCATGTACACTCCCTGCAACCGCTTCAGCCCTACATGGTCTATGAGGCCCTTCGGGTTGTGCGTCGCACTTGAGTCGATCTGATTCCCCTGTAATACTCGCCTTCCTACGTACCTACTTACTTCTTTCACCTCCCCCTGCACCATCTCCACCTGTTGCACTACCGCCAAGCTACTCCATCCATCACCACGTCCAGGTGAGTAACGCCCAGCCATTCAGCCATCTGAGGCTCCGTCAGAAGCGATGCACGCGAACTGTACGACAGCGCCCTCGCCCGGAAGGACATGCTCGTACACGCCCATTCCGCCAAGTGCACTGTCCGCAGGGTTTGGCTCACCAGTTGTCGTACCAGCACCTTGTCGTCTTGGTCGCTGCAGCCTCCTGCAGGGCCCCCTGGAAGACCATGGGTGCCGGCTGGGGCTGCAGCTGTTGCCATCGCCGCTGCCGCTTGTGTGGATGGCGAGGATGACACTGCTTGCACAGCAGGCGCTGCAGTGGGGCCAGCAGCTCGTGCCGTTGCGGCACCTTGGGGACCGCCCTGGCTATCAGCTGTGTCCGCAGCAGCTACAGTGGCCATTGAAAGCTGCTGCGTATTGGAAGTCTTGCTGTGCGCCGGAGAGAAGCCCCCTGGTGTTGCTGCCTGGCTGTCCCCGGTCGCCGTCAGCACTGGTCTGCCTGCTGGACTCTGTGCCTCCGTTTTTGCCGGTGAAGCAAGCGGCGACGCTGTCATGGCCGGTGCTGCTGCTGCTGCTGTTGCTTGTGCTGCTGCCTGTGGCGCATTGGCCACTCCTTGGAGCGACCCAAGGGGGCTAAGTACCACCGGTCTTTGGGATCGCCTTGAAAGCTCCAGGGATGTGGATGCTGGTGAGGGCTGTGATAAGCCCCGCATCGCCAGCTCCCGGCTACTGCTGCTGCTGCTGCATGACATGGCAATGCTGCTGCTGTTGTCAGGAGCTGCCGCTGAATGGTTTCCACGTGCATCAGAACTGCATCGACTGCTGCTGCCTCTGCTGCTGTTGTCGTCACTGCACTTGCCGCTGCCACCAGCGCAAGTGCTGCCTTGTCCTTCAGAACGCACGCTAGACGCTGAAGCCTCCCTAAACACATCCGCAACCGCCACCGCATCTACCCTCTTCATCCTTGCAAGCCCACTTTCTTCCCCCATGGCCGCTTCCAGCTCAGCCCCACTGGGCCACTCCTCCTCCCACGGCCCCGCCACAAGCTGCTCCAGCCGTGCGATGTTGCCGGTCACCAATTGCAACTGCTTTCTGCTCGCGGCGGCTTGCCGTACAAGCCTTGTCACTCCTGCCTTCCAGCCGACAGGTTCCGAAACCATAGCGTCCTGCATATGCGGCCTGCTGGTGCATGGCCGGCGGGGTCCTGCCAGGCCGCAACGCTCCATCACCCGTGTCGCCAGCTCGGATGGCAGGGTGGAGGTGAGCAGTAGGTCCGGTTGGGAGCTGCCTTTGAGGGCTTCCACAACGGTTTTATGCGGGACAACATGCTCCAAGCAGGCCTGCAGGGTACAAGGAAGGACGGGCTATCGGGCCAAACGCAGTGTTGTAGGACGTGCCTGTCTGAGCATAAACGAGGTCAGGACCGCAGTGCCATGGACGCGCATCTGTTGGCTACCAGGGTCTAGGAGTCTCGTCCACAGCTGCCTTGTAAGTAGTCACGCCCCAACCCAACCACATACACCAGCTTACCGCCACGGCCTCCTCATCCTCCATCAGCGCCCTTTGCGCTTTCCAAAACGCAAACCGCACCCGCTGCATGACCTCCCCCCGGCCGTTGCTGGCGGCACCCTTTCTCCGGCCCTCTTCACCGCCCTGGCCATGTGCCTGCTGCCGGTCCTGACCCGCATCCCGGGCCCGGCCCTGGCTCTCCAAGGACCAACGCGATAGGCACGAGTCCAAGACGGTTGGCCAGTGCTCCGCGATTTCCGCAACCAGCAGAGGCCTGCTGCCGCTGTGTCGGACTGCCCGGCCTACAACGGGACCCTCTCGGCCGGATGCACTACGGGCCCCTGTGATGGGAGCGGCAAGGGCAGGGAAAGGTCAAAGGTGAGGGTGGATGCCAGCATGGGGTTGCTAATTAGCCATGTAGGCTATGAGGTCATGTACGTACAAAGCATACCGGCATCATTACATTAGTGTCGACACAGAAAGCAAAAAGCCCACCAGGGACTACTGTCATGCTCATGCTTATACAGGTGTACGCAATCCTTAACCGCCATTGGACTTGCGGAACGCACCATCGGCTTGTGCCCTTTAATGCTATGCATGGCATGGCAGCAATGCCCATGTATGCACTGCCCTACCTATGACGCCCTCATCACAAAGCAGCCGTACAAGCACCACGGCTTGGTATGGCTCGGCAAGCGCGGGGAGAATGGGTCGAGACAACTCTGCGTAGAGACCTACGGGGCCCACCTGCATTTACAACCAAACAACCGGCTTACCAACGTAAGTATCTGTAAAGTAAAGTTTTGGGCATACGGGTACAGTTGCGTTGCGTTGAGCGCTTAATAGCGTCCGCACAACCTGTCTCACACGTTCCCCTGTTCAGTATGCGTAGATTGCTGCCCTTGCTCCCTGCCCTTGTCCCCGCCAGTGCGACAATGACCAAGGCATGCACAGCGTACCACACGGCCAGGCCAAAGCTCTTGTGCCGCGCTGTAAGCGATTGACATCGTTATGTAGCTTGTGTCCGCAACGGCTGAGTCCAAGCAGAAAGCAACTGTGTCGTCATCGGCTGCAAGCAATGCCGACCGAGTCGGCGCAGCTTCGGTTACTATGGGCTGCTTATAGTAGTAATGTGCACGGTGGCATAAGCGATGTGACATGAGCGTATGACACAGGCGAGTGTTAATACGTAAGGGCAAGGAAGCCCGCGCAAGCGCGGAGCTATGCGCCATGCAAGTTCGAGTATCCATCTGCGCCGCTAAGTTCAATAATTGATACAGTAAAAGCCGAAGTAAAGCTTTACTGGTGTGCGCTGGCTGTAAGTAATGGGGGCGGTAAGAGGACTGTGATCCCGCGGTTCCGGAGCACGGCTCGACAATGTTTGGGTCATCCAAGACAACCGCCCCTTCATAAGTGTTGCTCATTACAAGCCAAGATGTTGACAGTGCGCTGCGAACTGGCTTCAAGCTTTGCGTTGTGGCGAAATCCCTATAGCAAGCAAGTCAAGACGTATCAAACGGAAGATTTACCCGGATAGAACCTTAAGTAATATCAACCAGATGCAAGATGGTACTGAGAGATGCCGGATCCGTTGGGCAGTCGATGTCGAGGCCGAAATGGAACATGGTCGCTTCCATCAGTATTTGCGTTTGCTCCCCGCAAACGACCAAGAGCAGGCGGGTTCTTCAACCATAACGCACAGCGTATATAAAAACCAGGGGGGATATAACGAGCGAAGGATTAGCTTGCACTAGCTGCTTGCTCATTAGTCCATTGTGGCCCCACACGGCTGCCTGGCTTCGTACAACCAAAGTGACATTGGAAACCTCAATGGCCCTGGAAACTTGCTGCCCTTCTCATTTTCCTATCCCTTCGCACAGGTTCTCCGCTTTCTTCAGCCCATTGACCAGCAACGTGCACTAGCCAGTCGCCTCCTGCAGCGGTGCTCCGTGTGCCATGCGCTAGGGGTGCCTTGGAGCGCAGTCACCCTGTCCCTCACAAAGGGCCGCAAGCCCTTTACCACTAACAGCAAGCCGCCCTTCGCACCCAACTTCAACTTTAACGTCTCTCACGAGGTACGACCGAATCCAGGGGCGATTACGGATACTGGTACTGCACGTGCCTTCGTTCCCCCACAGTTTCCGTTGGGCGCAACTCCCACTGGGTGGTACCTGTCGAGCAGGCTAGGCCTTAACCAGACCCCAAACATGCACGCTCCCTACGCACCTGCGCACCGGTCCTCAACTTCAGTGGGCATCGTGTTGTGCATTACCTTCCTGATATGATACCATACCTTTCCAACACCTTTCTCTCCTCCCGGGCTTCCAACCGCAGGGCAGGTATGTGGTGCTCGCCTCCGACCCGCTTCACCTGGTGGGAGTGGACGTGGCGGCGCCGCGGTGTGCCCGCCCTGGCGCCGCGTTGCGACCCATGGGTCAATACCTGCAGTCTTTCCGGGGCCAGCTGGCCGATAGCGAGGTTGGTTTCTTAGCCACTCTAATCTCTCAGCTGCGTAAGCTTTGGATCGTCTCGCCGCATGTCAGCGCCAATGTATTCCATCAGCGAATAGCTGCACCCACGCCCCACTGTCCTAGTGTCCTTACATACCGGCAACTCTCCGTAACGTTATAAGCTAGGTTGCATGCTTCACCCCCAGTGGCTAACTCATTCCTCACACCGCTCTTTCCTCGACTCCCTGGATTCCATGTACGTCCTCTCGGCAGTGGGAGCTGCTGCAGAGCTGGGCGGCTGACGAGGCCCGGCAGGAGGCTGCCTTTCAACGCATCTGGAGCCTGAAGGAGGTGCGGCATGCTGCGCGGTTTCGGCAAGGCATGCGTTAAACTGGGTGATCACATTCAAATATACCTCTTCCAAAAACACCACGCGGCAGTTACACAAGGCGGCATGCATAACAGAAAAGACGTGCTTGTTTCGGCCTCACTGCGTGCTACAGCCAGGAATCCCTTCCTTTACAAAAGTTGCCTTGTAATCTGTCGACGCTGTGCAGGCCTACATCAAGGCACGTGGTGATGGCCTAGGCTTCCAGCCGCTCAGTCGTGCGGCATTCCACTTCCCCGGCAATGACCCGTGGGTCAGCTCTGCGCAGCTGGTACTGGACGGTGCGCCGCAAACCAGGTGAGAAGCACGACACGGTGACACCGCAGCTCAGCTTGTATGCAATGCCTTGCTACTACGTTAGGTGCTTTTGGCTAGAGTAAGTCGTATTTCCCTCCACCTCCCATGCATGTTCCATGCTTCCGGACACTTGACGACTTGGCTGGATCTCTGGTGGCGCGGTGCGGTACGAATGCGGTAACCACAGATGGAAGTTTGAGTTGCAGCAGCTGCCGTACGGTCACTGCGTCTCGGTTGCGCTGGGCCCACCCTCAGATGCTGTGGACGCATATGGGGTAAGTGTTGCAGTGTTGCTCCGGAACAATGCCGTTGCCGCTTTTGCTTTTGTGTGTGCCGCTAAGCGTTTACGGCAAACAAGACACTCGGGTGTCCCCCTTGCTGCCAGGTGTTTAAGCGGACAATGCCGGAGCAGACCTTCATCTCAAGCGGCGCGTCGGCTTCGAAGCCCTTTGCCTTTGTGACGTTAGAGGAGCTGCTTGCAAGCGCACGGGCCATAAACTAAAACGGCCGTGCGCCACCGCAAGCTCTGAATCACTGTGCAGTAATTTTCAGGGGTATTGGCCCTAGAATCGGTTTTGTGTGTGTCGTTAGCCTCCTGGTTGTCCTGGTATGAAGTTGAGTGCAACATGCATGTGTGGTCCTAACCAAATGCAGCTACCTTAAACTGCTGAATGAACACACTAGCTTGCTCTGGAGGAAGGCTTGCAAGACTGGCTGGCGGGGTATAGGATGGAAGTGTGGGATGGAAGCTGACAAAGTTTATGGTCTTGCGAACAATTAATGATGTGAATTCTAACTGGTAAAAATCTGATTTCCCTTATTAACGGCGTTCAGTATGTACTACGCCAACGCTGCTGGGAAACGCCGTAGTGTCGTCCGGCAGGTCCGGCAAGTAGAAATCTGGGGGAACGAACCCACTTCCACCTAATAAATATAGATATCTGTGATCACTTTTGTATCTGCTCAATCCTTAGTCTTTGGGCAGGGCTTCCTTCTTACAAAGGGTCGGTATGACCACTGTCCTCACGGCCGACGAGGAGTGCTTGGACCATCTAGTGAGCATTCGTATACAAGTTAAACCTATCGTTGAGGGAGTGGCCTTGTCCTTGACAGAAACGGCGGGCGCTAGACCTTCTGCCCAGACATGCTGCAAAGTAGAGACCTGCGAGGCGTATGTAGATGGATTTACCATTAAATCGGCGGACTGCGATGATCTGTCCTCATGCACCACAACACTGGAGCAGAACAAGAGCCCTGGGATAGAGCCGAAGCTCGTCCACGAACCGTCTGTAGGCCTGGACGGCGAGCTTGTGGTTGATGCTACCGGGGATGGAGAAGCGCAGCCTTGCAAGGGACCAAATACTCCAGAGCAAGTCGACACCATCGGGGACCACATCGGGAAATGCGAGGTGCCCGACTCAGCGCCGGAGGTATCAGCCTCTCTTGGCCTCCCTGCCTTAGACTTCGATTCAGGACAGCAAAGCAGCGGATCAGCGGTGGGCGACGTGGAGGAGCCGTTAGGTTCATTAGCTTTATCGGAAAGCAGTAGTAGTGCTTGCGCCTTGCTGCAAACTCGGCAGGCACCTGATGGCAAGGAGCAACCAGCAAGCGTCGAGTCGATGCCGTCTGCGGATGCCTCGACGGCGTCCTCATACTCCTCGACGACGACTGCGTCTTCTTCTGCTGTGACTTCAGTAACCGCTGCGGTCACCAGCTTGTTGCGAGCTGTGTTGGCGCCTATCGCGACTACCAAGGACCCTCCCGGGACCGCAGCCCTCCCATCCAATCCCGCCTTCGACAGTGCAGCTACTGCCGAACCCGCCACACCCACGACCCCTCAGCGCCCATCGCTGTCCATACCTTTGCTACCACCGCTAGCCGACCCCCAACGTATGACGCTGGTCCTGGTAAGGCGTCACGGAGCGGGCTGTGGGCTGTGGGTGTTTACCTTGCTTTGTTGCGGGGCTGGCTTCATTTAATGACGACTGGGACCTGGGTTTCATTCCTATGTGGTCGCTTCGACATTGGAATGGCCAGGCGATGGTTCCGCCCTTCATTCCCACCGCATCTCGTCACAGCAGCACCCACCACCTCAAATCCTCAACCACCTGACCAGCACGCCCTCCAACAACCAACCCCACCACCCCACCATTCCGACCTCGGTCTCTCGCTTCCCTTAGGATTTGGACGGCACGTTGATCGCCAGTGAGGACGAGCCGCACGCGCCCGTGCCCTTCGATTACTGCGTGGATGAGGAGCGCTTTGTGTGGCTGCGGCCCGGGCTGCGGCGCTTCCTGGACGAGGTCCGCCCTCTGTTTGAGGTGGTCCTGTAAGTTACACAACGCGTGTGCTGCGTGTGCTGCGAAACACAAGGTTTCTAAATCGGTGCCAGTTTAGGTTGTGGCAGCACTCAAGTTGGTTGCCGAATGTCTGAATGTTGGTGGAAATTCATGAGCAGAGCTGAGTATCGGGCGTTAAAGTGTGCAGGCGTGTACCCTTGTGGCGCGGGGTCGCGCTCATGTTGGTGTGTGGGTAAGGTGCCCACTGACTGCCTTTTGCCATGTCGTCATGTCGTCAACTCGAAGCTTTCGGGCCCCCTGCCAGGTTCACCGCTGCTGGGGAGAGCTGGGCCACTTCTGCGCTCAAGCGAATCGACCCGGACAATACCATCTTTGACAGCAGGTGCGCCTCTCACAATGCACACCCCAGCTATGATTTCCCCTTGCTGCCATGCACCTGGCGACAAGTCTTTTCGCCCTGCCTGCCTCAACTCGACGCCTTCCTTGGCCCTTGCTCGTATTCCAGACGCTTCCAGTGCCCTAAGCCGCACCTCACCTCACTCCTCACCCGACCTAATACCCACTTGGGCCGTGACCCAGGCTGTACCGTGACCACACCGTCTCCCACCACGACTGGCCCTGGGTCAAGGACCTCTCGCGGCTTGGTCGCGACCTGGCCCGCACGGTGATTGTGGACGACAACCCGCTCATGTTCATGTACCAGCCAGACAACGCGCTGCATGTGGCAGCATACGACCCGCAGGTGGGGACTGGGGAGTTAGTGGGACGGCCGGCTGTGGGTCTCGCCTCCACACCCGTTTGCCCTGTGTTTAGCCTAACCTTTCTGATGCTGCCTGCAACGCTGATGCCTTGTCCTCCTGCTGCTATCCTGCCTGCAACGCCGCTGCCTTATCCTGCTGCTGCCCTGCTGCCTGCAACGCCGCTGCCGTCCTCCCTTGGCTTCCAGATCACCGGCCACAGCGACGATGTCCTGGAGCAGGTGCTGGACGTGCTGATGCACAAGGTAGGCCTGGCTGACCGTTTGAAGGGATTTGGGGAGCTTGCTGCTTGGAGTCAGGGCTGCTGTGTTGTTCCTAGGCTTCAGAACATGCCATTCGCTGCATGGCGCACATGCAGGTGATGGCAATCCAGCAGCCTGGGAAAAGCACCCGCTTTTTTGCCGGAAATCCCTCCCAAACCGCAGCGCCGCAGTCCCATTCCCTAGACAGACCATCTACCTTCACGCGTCGTCCAACAGCTCCTACTAAAGTTGAAATTACGCCCATGTCCCCCCCCCGCCATCCGCAGGTGCTACTAGCAGACGATGTGCGGGAGGTGCTGCGGGAGATGAAGGACCCCATCACCGCCTCCTGCGTGGCAGCCCGCCGCGCAGTCGCCAAGGCAGCAGCATCGCCCTCCTTGCCCACATCAGCAAGCACTCCTGCGACTCCTGCAAGCACACCAGCCAAGGCCGCTTCTGCTGCTGCCAACGGGTTCATCGGGGCCGACGGAAACGGTGAAACGGGGACCGCGCCGTTTGGACAGTTGTTGCAGCCCACGGCATCTGCGGCTGCTGCTACCGCTACAGGAGGAAATGGCGCCGGCAATGGCAACAGCAGTGCCTCCGCTGCTGCTGCTGCTGCTGCTGGCACATCCTCGGGGGTACGTCTGCATGCAATGGCACCAAACCAGCTTGCAAACGGGCACCAGGGCAGGAGCGGCAGGCGCGGACGGCGGGGCGCCAAACAAGCCACGCCACAACAACCAATCGCCGGTTTGGCCGTGTCTGCACTGCCGCATGAGCAAGGAAGCCATGCGGGCGTGGCAGTCACAGCCGCTTCCGCCATACCCACAATACCTGTGGAGGAGGCTCGGCAACGGCAGCAGCGATCCCGACGGCGTGGCTTATCCGGCTACAGCGCCGTCGATGCACCCGGTGCCGTTTCCACGGGCGCAACGGCTGCTGGAGGAACGTCTGGAGGCCAAACATTGCTGCCTAATGGCAACACCGCCGTTGGAGGTGTGACGTGGACTGCTCCACCACTCGCTTCCGTCGCTTCACGACCGCCTGCTGTGCCGAGTCGGGCTCGTGGTCCGAAGCGGGACGGCGCACAGCGTCAGAAGGCGGCGGCATCGCTACTGCAGGAGCCGGAGCACCAGCTGCAATTGAAGCTCAAGCTGTTGCAATTGCAGCGGAAGCAGGAGGCGGAGGAGGACGACGGTGGTGCAGCGGAGAAGGACGATAGCGGCACGAATGAATCGCGCCCATCCCAGATACGAGAGCGAGGACAAGACAGCAGCGACGCCTTGCAAGCAAAGCGCGACGCTGTGCAGGGCCGGTCAGGCTTGGCAACGAGTCCGTCGTCGGAGCAGCAGCTAGCAGCTGCTGCGACGCACCCACCTGCCCAGCAACGCATGGCCCAAGGTCCCCGGCGCCCGCATGCGTGCAAGGGGCCAGACGCGGGCACCATTGGCTTGCTGCCAGTCGCCGCCGCGCAAGACCTGCCGTACCGCGCGACGACAGGCCCCACGGCTCAGCAAGGCGCTGCAGTTACACCTTCACCCGCCCGCCCTGCCTCGGCACCTTCCCCGGCTTCACGCAACGGCGCAGAGGCGCCGTGTGGTGGTGTTCATGGGGCAGGACCTTCGATGGGCGCGACTGTTGCTTCCGCGCCTCCCGCAGCAGCTGACGCTGTTGCAGGCGTTCCGTCAGGCCCCAGCCCTGCACCCGCACCCGGAATGGCTGCGGCGGAGGGTGGTGCAGCGGGCAGCAGCAGGCGGCGCGGACGAGGACGGCGCCGGCGTCAAAAGCGGGCGGGAGGCTCAAGCGGGAATGAGCCATCCGGCAACAAGCAGGTAGCGAGTGACGCCGCTCCCCAATCTACGCCGTGATTAAAACGGCGGTTGTTGATCCTATTACAATAGCGTCTGAGATAGGAGCTAGATCGCGACCTTGCAGCAGGTTTTTCAAGTACTGTAGCACTCCTTGTGGCTGGTAGTACCGGTAATGATTCAGAGCTTTAGCAGCGATTAGCGTTGATGCAGTGCGATTGCTTGGGCTTCCGTGCGCCGTTGTATGTGTATGAGGTTTCGCAGCTTGTACGACACGGCAATTCACACGTCCCCGTTGGCTGCGTGTTTGTTTATCATGTTATGCTCCGTGGGATGGCTGGTCTGGCGCTGTGGAAAAAATTGCGCCGACTGCATTTCGTCACTTGGTTAGGTGCAGATGGGTTGACTCGTTAGTAGTATAGCCTATCTAGGAAATGGAGCCAACCGCAGCAATGCAGATACAGGACCACCAGAAGGTGATAGCTCTTGCGGGTGGTTGTGGCACGTGCTGGCAGATGTGTACGCTGGTAGCCGTACGTGCGGGTTACCCAAAGCATAAAGGTTAGGGGGCAGTTGGCGTGCGCGGTAGGCGCGGCGGCGACCAGGAGCCATTTGAGCAGGCGAGGGGGCAATGCTGTCAGTAGTCAGTTCGTACGTGATGGTGCATGGTGATTCAGCCTCCAGGACGCCAGTATTGCCAGTACGGTATCCTAAGCATGGGATTGCTCGTGAGTAGCAGTTTGGTATATCAAGCATGCCGCGGTTTGCGAGGATTAGGAAAGGCAACATGGCATTACAACCGTTGCGGGGAAGGTGAGCTCACTATCCGCAGGGCCAGGGTTCAACCTGGCTTGCTGTCACGAAACGGCCCGGGGTGTGAATGCAACATGCAACATGGTGAGCAGATGCAGTGTTTTACGGGGGTTCTGTGATCGCACGCTTCGTTATTACAGGATTGTGCCTACACAGTTCTGCGATAGGACTGACGCTGCTGTATCTTAACTTATTCTAAAAAGGACGGAGTGCTCTCGACGGCACCTGGGATTGTGCCGGCTTGCTTGCGGGTATGTTGCTAGGCTACCAAGAGCTAGGTTCCTAGAGACTGGATCAGAAACTGGCGTCTCAGATTTGTTGGCATTTCGTGTATTTGACACGCAGAGCTTTTGCAGGGTACGCCAGTGGTTTGCAAGGTGCTTTTGCCAAGTCGTTAGTGGGGTTTATGAGCTGATGTTTACGGGCCATCACGAGAGGGCTTGCTGCCGTTATCTGAGCCGTCACCGGAATCTTGTTGCGCCCAAGGCATGTTTGATACATTTGCTGATTAGCTTGTGCTTTGGGGCCCAGTTCATTGCCGCCATTTCCTCCATAACCAACGTATTGCTTGGCCCACAGATCTGCGGACAATTCCTTCGCAACTCAAGACTGCAGTGCCTTTAATGACTGCCTGTAAACGAACTGGGTCAGGAAGCATTTGAACGCGGGGTCGTGTGTCGCAGGCGGGCAGACCCATGGGTCGCAAGGCGGCTTGCGTGGGGGCCCAGGACTTGAATGCGAAAATGGCTACCACTTTTGCACATAAATGCATGGATAACAAGGGACAGGCACCTGCGTGTCGGATGCGCAATGGCACGATAAGCCCTAATGCGCCTCCCTCTGAATGAGTTGCGTACTTGCGTTGGCCCGGCTTACAGCTTCTCTTATCTTGCTTACAACACCAGCAGCTCCTTGCACGTGCACTTGTCAGCACATACTGTTGGCGCATCAGAGGAACGCACGCACGCTACACATGCGTTGGAGTGGCGACTGAACTCAGTCAGTTCACCTGACTGGTGAACATACAGCGCACCGGCGTGCACTACAGGAAAACCACCTGGCGTGCATAGCAGTTTAAATACACTGCTTAATAACTGATTGGCTTTTTTTAGTAGTGTAGCTTGGGTGGGGCAAGGTAAGGCAAGAGGCGTCTGTTGCAATAGCCAAAATATCAAGGGTAAAGCACAGCCTTTTCCTTAACAGCAGTGCAACAACCGTTCTATGGGAATACTAGCAAAAAGCCTCGACAGGCCTAGATAGGGATAACATACCTTCGAACGACCCAGGAACCTGATGGGCAATAGCGTACGGCACCATGAGGGAGAAATCATTTGTTGATGTCACGGTCTTTCACAGCCCTTCCTCGCTAGGTTTGCACTGAATTAATAGATAGCTAACGTGCACAGTAGACAGATAAACACATACAAGCTCTTACGTTAGTAGCTAGAAAGCGAGACGAGGAGCTTGGGCAGAGAGAGGCGCTTTAGGCGTACCAGTTGTTCTCTCTGCCTAGAGGCCATCGAAAGGGCCTTTGGAGGTTGGGGACGGCTGGACTGTGCAAGGTGCGGGGGATGTGCTTCCAGTAATGCTTGGGCAAAAGTCTCTTCGCCCCGATGATTTCCTGCAGTTATTTGAATTGGTTTTCTCCTTGTTTTCCGTAAGGAAAGCAGTCGGGCCTTAGCACGGGTGCTTCGTTTGTTTGCTGAGTGATGGCGCTTGTCGTTATGGTGCGCTGTGTTTAGTTTGAAACGTTGGAAGGATACTACTAGAGTCTTACACGTTGAGCCTGGCCTGTGGCTTCGCGAATACTACGTGCTGGCCGAAGACGGTAGTGCACGCTGGCCGACTCAATGACAGCGTATCTGCGCAAAGATATGGGGAATACCTTAGCCTGTGCTTCTTCTTGGCCCGTCTACTCAGCACAGTATCTGTGTAGCCATTCTTCTGCCGGCCATGCAAAACGCAAGCCGTTTACCCCCTTCCGCTTTTGCTTTGCAGGCATCGATGACCACCATCCTCGATGACTGTGGCCACCATTGCCTTCTTCACGATGGCCAGACCACGTTGTTTGAGTCGCTGCCGCCCTTCCATGACGACCTAGCAGAGGAGGTTGCAGCCGAGGACCTTTCGCTATCACCGTCGCCAGACTCAGTGGACGAGACCCAGGGCGCTTCTGGTTCTTCTCTGCCGGCTACTCCTGCTGAGCGGCCGGGCACATTTTGCCCCAGTTCCTTGCCCCTGCCGCCCGCGTCATGTCCGAATCGGGCGACGCTTGTGCTGGTGAGCGAACGGCGTAAGGCCTTCACGCGATACCTTCCTGCTGCATAAGGTTGGGGCGCATATGCCTTACCTCCTGTTGGGGCGAGCAACACCCTTTTTTCGCAAGCACACCCTTTCGATAGTTTAGGTATTTTACTTTTCAAAGCGGTTATCTAAAATGGTAGCATTTATGAAGTGTATTTACTTAAGCAAAGCGGCACAGGCTTTTGCCAGTTGAGGCGTTTCGGGAAGAGCAACAATGGAACGCCAACAGCCCGTCCGCTTGCGGGTGCTCTTGCTTTTGTTTGCGGTTTTAAGCGTGCCGTTTCTGGGGCGGATATTTGCTGAACGCTGCTTGTCGCTCCCCGACGATACCCGAAGGACCTCGATGGCACGCTAATTGCAAGCGAGGAGCTCAACTCGCCCAACTCCACATATCTCTGGAATCCTCAACCCGGCGCGCGCGCTCCGGACTACGAGGCTATGGGGCGCCGAGTATGGCTCCGTCCCGGGGTCCGCGAATTCCTGGTGGCCGTACGGCCACACTTCGAAATCGTGCTCTTCACGGCAGCAACGCAGAACTGGGCTGCTGCTGCAATTGAGCAGCTGGATCCCTCGGCCTACCTTTTTGACGTCATGTAAGCTGTCTTGCCTGCCGTTCGGCGCTTGGCTGCCGTCCGGCAGTCTGCGACTAACTGTCGGTCACGTCGCCAGGTTGTGACCCAAAATTAATACTTACTACCCAATACACAAGTCTTGCCTTCATCCGAACGATCACGGGCTGTCCTCTGCACTCCTATCTCTGCCTTCCTCATTATTCTCCTTTTTGCTGCGTCTGCAGGCTTCACCGCGACCACACCACTTCGGACCTGATGTGGGACTACGTCAAGGACCTCTCGCGGCTGGGTCGCGACCTGGCCCGCACGGTGATTGTGGACGACAACCCGCTCATGTTCATGTACCAGCCCGACAACGCGCTGCATATAGGAGCGTATGAGGCAGCCACAGCGGGCGGGCCGGACAACGTATTGGAGCGGGTGGCCGAGGTGCTGATTAGCCAGGTAGACTCGCTGCTCGTTTACCAGACAGATTAGATTGGTCGCGTGTTTTGAGCAGGAAGTAGGATTCAGTTGGGGAACTACGGGCATGGTAGTAGCAGCAGTGCTCATGATGCCCGTTATAGCGTTACTGGTATGACGCTTCGGAGTACCATGTATGGCTACGGAAGCTCGGCAACGCACGACTCTCGTTATAGGCAACACGCTTACCCCTCTTGGCATCACCAGGTGGCTGTCGCGGAGGACGTGCGCGAGGTGCTGGGGCCCATGGCGAGCGCCAAGTCCTGCATCACCTCGACCGTCTCCGCAGCCCCCGCTGCCGCCACTGCCGCGGTTGCTACTGATGCTGCTGCTGTTGCCGCTGGCGCCCCAACGGACACCTCTACCTCTGCCGGAGAGGGCGAGGACCCGCATGCCGCAGCGGATCAGGGCTGCACCCCTGCAGGATGCAGCGGGCCCGAGGCCATGGTATGCGACGATGACGCGGATTCCGACGGCAGCTCCGAACAGCAGTCGGGCTGCGAAGCGGAAGAGGAGGAGGAGGTAGACGAGGATGAGCAGCAAGAACAGCAGCAACATGGCGAGCAGCTGCAGCAGCAGCAGTACCACCACGATGCCGGGCATCCCAGCGACTGCACGATACAGTGCACGGAGGCTGCTGACCAGGAGGAGGAGGACTACGACTGGGACAACGACTCTGAGGGCGGCGAGGCCTTTGACGAGCACGGCGCGGCTGCCCGTCTCGGAGCCGATGTCGAGGGCTCGGGATCACACACGCCTTGTCACCGACCGCATCACGCTCGGCAGCAAGAGCAGAATGATGCTGACCTGGCAGTGGCTGTTGCGTTGGAGACACACGAGAGCCTGGCGGCCGATGAGGCGGGAACGGTTGCTGCAGTTGCGGCTGCTGCAGTCGTTGTGGAGGAGCAGAGCTACCACAGCAGCGAGGATTTTGAGGCGCTGATGGAGGATGCGATTGCAGAGTACGACAGCGACGCGTACGAAGGTCCGTATCACCGTGATGATTATAAAGAGTCTTTTTATGGTGAGATGGATTGCTATCCTGTGGACTATGCGCATCCCACCGCGCCCTTTGCGATGGCGCCACGGATGCCATGCAATGGCTGGGCCGGCCGGCAAAGGCTGCCTAGCTGCCGCGACGCTGTGGGTTGCGGTCCCAGTGGTCTCGGCAGCAGGCAGTTCATTTGCGGCTTAACCAGTAGTGCAGAGGTCCCTCAGAGTGAAGGAACAGACAGACAAGCGCGCGCACAAAGCCTTTCGGCCCCTGAGGCTGTGACCTTGGGAACAAAAGCTCACGTGACCAGCGTTGAGCAATCCCAGGACCAGCACTGTACCTTGATTGCTGCGCCGTTGGGCAATGCAGCGCCGCAGTGCACAGCGACCAGCCCTCTTGACACAGAGGGCACCGGGGTTGCGCAGGTCCCTCTGCTTCCCAGAGGCACTGATGCCCAGAGCGCTGAGCCCTTTGCAAGCGTAGGAGAGGCATTACATTTGCAGTCACAGCAGCCAGTGCTTTCCAGTGGCATGGTTTTCCTCACGGACCTCAATCCCTCCTTCGCCTCCACAGAGGCTCCGGCGCTGCATGCTGCTGGGTGCGAGCTTGACGCGGAAGACGTGGAGGCACCCGTCGCAACCGCCCCAACGGTGGTTGTCGACGTGGCACGTCATGGCTGCAAGCGTGGCCGTGACGGATCGGATTCGGATGCTAGCTCGGCCGGCGGACGGCTGTTCAGCGATGCGGCTTGCGACGCTCCGCCCAGCAGGCGCCTGTGCCTGGGTTGCCATGACCCGAGCTGTGTTGAGAACCACATCAGGGCCAGCGCCGACACGCAAGTGACGGCAGTGCTTTAGCGCCGGGAGCCTTGCGCGTTGCAGGTGCAGTTCCCCCAGGGCTCCTTGCCGCCCTGGAGTCGTGTTGGGCTGGGATTGGGTGTGATGGGTCCACATGCCCCGTTCGGGGCCTGGCGTATCCGACACCAACTGGCACGTGATTTGCCAACATAAAAGTTATCATTTAGTGGTTGCCTGCCGCTTATCGTCCGCGCGTGGCAGGGCTTTTGCGGTTGTAAAGCGACTGTATTTTGTCGCTGCCTGGTGTGTCTGCACAGTACGTTGTGTGTTTTTGTGTGTGCGCGGTGTGAGGAGAGCGCTGCTTGCTGCGAGAGGGGAGAGAGAACCATGCCTGGAGCGAGGTCGGTGCGAGGGTGGCAGCAGAAGCCACATGCACATGACCGCCCTGTTGAGTGCGTTGAGGTGTCGTGGGGTTGGGGAGGGGCGCAGCGCCTTCAGGCGGCTTTATTGAGTTCATCATGGATTTGTGCCGCACGGATGTGTCCAGGCGCCGTGTGGTGCGCATAGGCAGGGTTGCGAGCATGTGTCCTCGGCTGGAGGGTACTCCTCTTATGACGTCCCCATAACTGTCTGCCGCCGGGGGAGAATATAATTTAAAAACCAGCAGCAGCAACCGAGCGGATGGTTTTATGTGGATACGTTGCTAGATGTAGCTACCGTTCAGGTTTGGTTCTAAGAATGGTGGCGACCAGGGCTTTCGCGTGAGGAAAGCGCTCTGTGGTGGGCGGATGGAGGCCTTGACTGCGGTGCAGCTGTAGGTCGTGTGAGGTGGGAGATGTCTGCTTCCGTGGGCTGTCTTCCTCCTATGCATCGCATGCGCCGGTGTTGGTGCGTACCTGAGCCGTGGAACCCTTCCAGGCCACCCTCCTGTCGGTATTTGTATGTGTGGTTTTGCCGTCGTGCAGTTAGGTGGCGTTTAACTTCATCTTAAATACCAACACAAAAAATCAGTGGTCCTCGTTGAAAGTATTTCGTGGTAGTAGTTGATAGCCCCTTCTATTGAGAAGATAAAGCGTTTCTGAACCAGCAACATCAATGCGTAGGGTACGGCATTCTTCTTTTACCGTATGCGTCGATTCGTAGGGGTCGGCGCTAAGGCGCATTATGTTGCCCCTTCAATGTCACGATCATATCGTTGGCACGGTTATATCGTTGATGAGGGTGGCTTAAAAGTGTTGTTGGTTTACGTCAGAACTAGGCACGACAAGGACGTGCGCTGCGGGTGGGTTGCCGAGTAACCGTCCCAGGGTACCATTCGTGGTGTAGCGTTTGCCTACGTTCGTGTTTACAAGATGCGTTCTCCCAGATGTTTGTGGCGCGTTTGGGCTTATTCTCATGTTTGCGTGGATGGTGGTTTTGCTGTCTAGGTGTCTAGGGTGTGTTAATTAGTTTCGGAACGCACTGCTATACGAGGGCCGCAGCCCGCTAGGAGGTTGTCGTGGTATGCTCAGCCATGGCTGTGTCCCCTTGACAGGCGTGGCTGGTGGGAGGTAGCGTAGGTCACAAAGAGCTTTTTGCAGACGGGAAGCTTTTGCAAATGAGTATACGGAAACGTAGGTCAGGCCTTTCATTCCAACAGCCATCTGGCTGAGTGCGTTTCTCGGTTGCTCGGACCGTTGATAGGGTGGTGTCCTCATTCAGGTATAGATTGACATTCCTGTCATTGCCATCTGCGGATGGGCGATCCGCGCTTCCCCCTACCTTGGGACTGCAGGCGGTGACGTGGCGGCGTGGAACCGTTGTGCGAGGGGGGGGGGCCGTATGAGGAGGCGGCAAGAGCCCAAGTAATTGTTTATAGCTTGGTCAGGTGCATGCTGTCCCTGTGCGTATGGTGCCGCCTGTTTTGGTCGCGCGACTTGGTAACGCTTTACAGTAGGTTAGGAGTTGGCAGTAGGTATTTGCGCGGGCGCATTTCTACGCCGGAGGCCATAAAAATGTTTTTATGCTGTACGTGGGATGGCGGATCCTATCCGTTGTTTGGAAGGATCTCCGGTAGGACTTGAGGCTTTGCGAGTAGCGTAGGGTAGATTAGGAACTATCGTAAGTATGTGGCCTTGGAGCCCTGCAGGCTGTGCAAGCGTTTTATAGCGAGTGGCAAGTCGAGATGAAAGGCGCACGAGCCTGCCTTACTGTTTTAGGTCTCAGGCACAGATAGGCTAGTGGACTAAGACACGTGTAGGTAGGGCCGTAAAAACATGTTTGCCCTATGATGTTGCTTATATTATTCCTGGCCTGCATTGAGCACTCCCTCCTTGTTCGTTGACAAGCAGTTGGCGAGCTTGCGCCCACATGTGTTTTACTGTGGTGTCCTTTGCGGCCTTTTGGCTGATGCGCCATGTCCCGTTTGGTGCTTGCTTAGGCAGATGACGTGTTGCTGGGTTGATTAAGTGGAGGAAAGTGAGGTAAACCTGGACGAAATGAACACACAACCTTTGTACGTTACAAACGCAGACACATTTGGGATTTCCCAACCGACTATGTAATGGTTCTTCGTACATTCGGCATAACCCTAAAGCCATTGCAGTTGGGAAAGTTAGGATGATGTTCATTACCGTGCGGCGATGGGCTACAATTCCTAAACCAATGATGCCCGCCCCTTGCTCATTTGGCTCGTCAAAAGACAGCAACTGCCGCACGCAAGTGTATTCGAGCCGCACGCCGTTCAAATTCACACCTCAACAGCACCGCACAACTTTCAGCACCGTTCCTAACGCATGCTGGCACCCCGTCGCGCTACCCCGTTGCATTTCGGCAAGCAAGGTGCATGTGGCCAAATGTTTTCACTGTACAGCAAGCACCTTACATCCTGCGTCTATCCCTGATCCATCATGAAACATTACAAGATATCGCGCTCCGTCGCCACTTGGCTCTTCCCTCATGTCTTGGACTTAACCGGAAGCTGCATCGCCGGCTGGGGGGCGCCCGCACCGCCGCTTTTCACTCCGGGGGCCAACTTGTACAGCACCTCCTGCGTGGCGGCGAGGGGGCAATGTCATATTGGCAGCAGCAGCGGGGGTGGGGTAACGCGCTAGACACGGTAAGTCGATGAGCACAAGCAGGCTGACGGTATGCTGCAGTCGTTCACAACAGCGTCATCAGTACAGCCAAACACCCGTACTGCCGTACTTGAACCCAGCCAAACGTACCGTGCGAATCACGTACTTGGACCCACGGGTCACAGCTGCGCCCTCATGCACCAAGCTGCCCAGTGTGTCGCCGTGCGGAAACACACTAATGTTACCAGCCACCGGCTTCACACTGTGGGCCTCCAGGCAGGCGCCGCTGCCTGCACGCCGCGAAGATTTATCTTAATGTCAAACACAACCGCATATTAGAGGACACGTACCGCTAAACAGTATCCTTCAAAGCATAGAATGGAAGTAAGGTTAAGGCGGAAAAATGCAACCGCTCGATTCACATGTCCACGCATCCAAGCGCCTAACAATTTCGTTATTCCAGTGACATACCTGCGGGCGCCGGCGTGTAGAAGGTGGTGGCACCGCCCTCGAAGTCGTCGTTAAGGTACACCAGGAACGTCAGCCTGTCAGGAAGGGCACATACGAAAAGAGAAAATAAGGCCGGGCAATCATTTATTCTTTCGGTTCAACGGCAAAACGTTTGCGCATCAAACGGTGTGTTTTAACTCCCGCCGCCATATGTCCGTGACCGGGTGAACTTCAGGATGCAACCCCAACAGAACGCGCCGTACCTGGACCACCTGTCGCCGTACGCATCGAATTCGTACCGGCCGTTCTTGAGTCCGCTGCCCGGCCAGGCACCGTCCACGTGGGGCCGGTACACAGCCCCCTTGTCGTACCTGCACACAGGATAATGTCATCGTACGGCAATCAGGAGTGCCTTCCGAGTCGCGAACCACAGAATACCGTAACATGGCGTCGCAACGGCAGCAATGCATATGAGGGGTCATCTATTCGGTGCCACGAGAGATGGGCTAACGACGAGGTATGCCAAAAGCCCGGCTCTATCCAAACAACATCTTGGGGCTTTCATTCACAAGGCCAAACAATTCAGCGGCAGACCAATAAAGTCGGGCCCAGTTTCCTAAACACACACCTGTACAGCCGCCACCTCGCGTTGATGCCCGCCAGTGCGCCTCCGCACAAGTTCTGGGGCAGCAGGTGAGCCACTCGCTCGTACAGTGGGCCCTGTACGGCAGGTAGTCGTACGACAAATGTGGTGCGTACGGCAGATGTAGTACATGGGGCATAAGAATAATGCAAACGGACAGCGTGTGTGTCGCGGGGGGAAAGATACACGTCAAGCCTTTGCGGGGCCGACTTACAGTCCGCCGGCAACAGGAAGAGCCGTGGAAGCAAGCAACGCAAAGAACCATACGTTCCTTCTCTCACGATGCACGACTAACAACAACTGCAGCCATATATACATCATCCTCATCAACACCCAGGCCACATACCTGCAGTGTCTCGTCCGCCAGCCACACAACTCCCGCCGCGCCGCGTTCTCCGCCCCCGGACCCGCCATTCCTCGCAGCGCTGCCCGCAGAAAGCCCCAGGCCGCCCATCGCCGCCGCACGCGCCGCTGCCGAAAACGTGTAATCCGGGTCCACCGTGTATCCCATCTCCTCCGCACATGCCACGATCTGCGCGCATTCCTCGCGCGACAACGCGCCTACTAGCGAGAAAGCGCCTTGTACGAACGGCCACTCCACGCGGACCACTGGCGGCCGGTTCGCCTCGAAACGAATGAGCCCGGGTTCCGTACAAAACATAGTTAGGTCTTTTGCAAGGTTGGGAAGCAGCGTGGCGGCGCTGGTGGAGTTGCTAGCGGAGGCCGCCGCGGCTGCTGCCGCGGCGGCAGCAGCGGTGCTGCCGTTGGTGTTCGTGCCGGCGTATTCTGCGGGGAGCGGAACGACGGCAAAGCGACCCGCGTAGCAGCCCGACCCGTTGCCTGGTTGCTGGGGCACATGAGAAGAGGAGGAGGAGGGGTCTGCCGCTGAAGCCGCCGCTGCAGCTGCTGCTACGCTGACGGCTACTGATTGGAGGTCCTTAGAGTCTACAGCCGCGCTGTCGGTGGCAGCAGGCATGGAGGTGAGGACGGCCGCAGGTGCGGTATCCGAGGATGTACAGCTGATGGCAGCAGGCTCTGGCCGCCAAGGAGGGAAGCGCCGCACAGGGATGTAGGAGGAGCCATCCGTGGCGGTTTCGGGACTGCTAGCAGCAGCTTCCGGTGCGTTTGGAGCAGCCTGGGATGCTGCTAAGCCAGGGCGTGGTCCACCGGAGACGCGCATGATGGCCGCGAGTAGCTTGGCAGATATAGCCTCCGTGCCAGCCAGGTCAGCAACTCTGACCCAGCGCATGACAGCGCCGAGTTTGGGAATCTCGGCGTCTGGAGTTTGCCGTTTCCGCTCCAGCATGTCGAACAGTTGCTGCGCATCGTCCCAGGCCTTTGCGTTAAGAGCCTCACTAATAATTGGTACCAGCTTAATTTTCTTTTTGGGATTTTGAGGCAGCTTGTACTTGAGTCGCTTCGCGATGACGGCCAATGCGCTCTGAGCGGCACCGCTAAGCTGGCCCTGTTCCTCAGCAAGCTTAGCAGCCTTCTTCCTCGCTTTCGCAAGTGTTTTTCCCATGGCGTTTGGCGCAGGCTGGAAAGTTTACCTACAAGTCCCACGGTGTACCGGATTGGGCCAGTCTGCAACAATCCGGCAGCAAGAGTCGCAACTACTTAGCTCATGAAAGGGTACACGGAGTGCATACTAGCTGTCAACTATGCTCGGTGCCAGATGCAAAGGCAGTTACCAGCGACGGCGGTCAGCGATAAAGCCCCGAACGTTAGTGCAGAAGCTGGCGATAGTTATGTTGCCGTAATGCTTCTAGCAGTGTAGAGCGCGCCTAATCGCATAGAGGCAACGTATGTTGGCTCATGTTGCCGTACTCAGTCCCGTGGGCCGCCGGGAAATTGCACTCAACTACAGCGACATGATGTCCTTGCGATGCATGGCGATATGCCACAATTTTTGTACAATTAAGTATATATCTACCTTCGCTCTGCGCTTCTCTTCTTATTATTTTCCGCTGGTATGAGTAACAAGAGGTATGTCCAATATCATTCAGCCTTCTTGCAGTACTGATACAGGTTAGTGTGCAAGCTTGGAACGTGTTATGTGCAGAAGAGCTACAGATCGCGGCCAACTGAATAGGTCGGTAACATTTTACAGGCCGTTCCAGTTGCACATCTCATCTTACCGCAGATCTACCTCTATGACTTGTTAATCGCCTACTGCCTTGTCACATCACACGGGCATGTTACCCAACAAACTATAATCCCATTCAGTATGTATGTATGTGTTACAAGCTTCGTACCGAGCTCGTAAGATCCGTCCGAGCCAGAAGGCTCATGGATCGCGAGCACAAAACGCGAAAACAACCAAAAGAAGAAAAGTAAAACAAAAGAGACAAACAAACAGAACGCTAATCATATGATAAACCCTGTCTGCGCAATCCTGCGACTTCGCATGCTAGTGATTACGCTAGCAAGCAATGCCTGATTCTCCATGCCCATGACAGCAATCATATCAGCATCCCGTGAGACACCACTTTCCCATATCTTATCACGCAAATCATCGTAAGCGGGACATTCAATGAGGATGTGTTTCTCATCTTCCACTCTCCCCGGCGACCCCTGCACGGCACACATAGGACAGACACGCGCTACTCGTTGCCTACCCCTAGGGCGATTGGCTTCAATGCCCCACACACACAGCCGAAAACGCATCAGGTTCACATGCTGCCGCTGAGTAATGTACCCCCTGTCAACCGGGTCACCCATCCAATTTTTGTACCTGCACATCTTAACTCCAACCCCTGGTACGGGGTCTACTGGGTTGAAAAGCCGCGGGTCATCTTCCAAACTCCTATCCTCCCAATCCGCATCCATTCTATCAGCAAACTTTTTAGTGAGAGCAGACACATTTAGCTCCGTGCCAGCAATACGTTCCACACGCGCATTCAAGTCCAACTCACCCCCCAAGGCCGTCAAATCCGTCCCTAACATTTTCAGAATCTTCAACACCTTAGAACCCCAGCCATCATAATGCTCAGTACTGAGAGCCGAACGAATTTCACCTCGCAACGCCTGGTGGTAGACCGTGTCCTTCTGCTTGACCAGGTCATTCCAAAACCTCAGAAACAGTTCCAGCCAGAAGACATGCAAGGGGCGCTGGTTAAACTCCTTAAACAGCAACTTATCAGGCGAGACTTTCACACCCGCAATCTCCCGAAGAAATTCCCTTTGTAACTGCACCATTGGGTCCCGCAAGGATCTGTCAAAGTACCTCGCGGAATTCTCGCAGTCCGTCATTAGCTTCAGCACCACATCAGGCCCCCACACCTGGACACCGTACGACAAGATGGAGCGGACTTGCACGTCGAAGCACTTAACTGCAACAGCAGGGACCAAAAGACCTAGGCGTTTTAATTTACGCTGAAGAGAAAACATAGCACGTCGGCCAGAGGTCAACAGTTCCTCTGTGCAGGAAACAAACGGTGTGCCAGGACCAAAGTGCAAACCAAGGTAACGGGCTCGTTGTACCCAGGGAATAACCATAGGTACTCGCGCATTTCCCTCAATAGAAGTCCACACCACGGGGCAAAGGGCAGCAAAAGCCTCGCGGATATTGGCACGAGGGTGGAAAACCATCAATTCACATTTACGGACATTCACCCGCATCCCAAAGGCCTCACACCACTCTCTCAAATCAGAAAGCAACACAATCAGCCGTCTGTGCGTCGTAGCGAAAAGGCTGAGGTCGTCGGCATACAGTTCCAACGGGATACGCCGGCCATCCGCATGGGGAGTCTGCTGCTTAGCGCGCATAGCATCAGGGAGCCACTTATCCTTAGCGTCAACATAGTCAGCAAACCCCTCGCCAAAAATCCCGTAAAGCGTAGGGCTGAGAGGGCATCCTTGCTTGACTCCCTGCGAAGATTCAAAAGGATCCCCCGTCACTCCGTCTACCCTGACACGCATCATGACCTTGTTGTAACAAGTCTTGAGAGCCTCCAGCATAGCGCCATGCACACCCCGTTCCTCCAACCTTAACCACAAGAGATCACGTGGCACCTTGTCAAACGCTTTCTCAAAGTCAATCTGACAAACGAACAGGGGGTCAACTGCATCTCGCCCCCCCTTATGTTTGTCCGTCAGATGTCGCAACAAAAACAGGTTGTGGCAGGTACCCCGCTTGCGTCGGAAACCTCCCTGATACGGCGACCTAGCTCCCACCAGCTCGCCCCAACGAGACAGCCTGTGCTCCAACATAAACGCATAAAGCTTAGACAAAACACCACCCACTGCTAAACCCCTATAGTTACCCTTCTCCATCACATCGCCTTTTTTGTGGATGGGCGTGAGCGCAGAGACCTCAAACTGCACAGGATAATCCCCCGTGCTGCGGATATGCTCTAGTAGCTTGAGCAGGTAAGGGGCTAAAACAAACATCCTTCTACCCTCAACCTCTCTCGTCGCACACTTGAAACATTCAGCCGGTACTCTGTCCAAACCCCCAGACTTGTTATTACGCAAAGACTTCAGCGCAGCAATGACTTCCGCCAAGGTGAACGGAACATTGAGCGCAGCAGCAGCGGTGACTCGTGCTACCCGATCGCCTGTCGCCCTTACCCATCCTCTTCCCCTCCCATGTGGCACACCGTTGATGGTACTAAGGATGGTGTCCGCGGAAACTTCGTTAAACGCGTTGACTTCCCCATTAAACAGCGCATTAAAATAGGCTCCCCAACTGTTGACATCCGTGATAGGGCACCCCTGACTAAATCTGCCATTCAGCCGACCCCACAGCGCCCGTGGATCCCCCCGACATTCTTCGATAACTCCTTCAAAATGCATGACCCGGAACTTGTCCTTAGCCTCCCTGCGTAGACGTTGATACTTCGTGCGCAACCGACTGAACTCAGCTCTGGCATCCTGATCCCCCAGCAGACCGTTAGCACGCATGAGCGCCTTTTGAGCAAACATGGCCTCACGGGCTTCCGCACACTCAGGTGTCCACCAAGGCGCATCCTTGTCCGTCCTGCCTGCACTAGGAATGGACCCTTGCCTCCTCTCAAGACGAAACGTGGCGTCAATAGCCTTCTTAAGAGCCCGACAGATCACTGTAACAACCTCCGTACTGTTAAGACCATGGCCCAGTTGGCTAACAGCCTCGTCAATCTTCTGTACGACAGCAGCATCTTCTACCTCAAATAGGCGCGTGTACCGCTCCCACTCACGTTTCCCCAGGCGAGAGGATCCCGTGTTGCCACCCCTTCGCGTTCCTCCTAATCCAACGTCCAGAGTGAGTGACACCGGGCAGTGATCGCTGAGCCTCGATCCCACTTTAGGCCCCTCTATAGCAATGGGGATGCCAAGCACTTGCAAATGCGACGCCCGCGAGAACAAAGCAGGCGTGCAGACAAAAAGATCAATCATACTGCAGGCAAGGCCGTGGGCGTGGTAGAACGTGAACTCACCCTCCATGTCACCGGGCACACGACCATTCATGATAATCAGTTCAGTTTCGCGGCACAGCTCGACCAAACCTTGCCCAAATGGGTTGCTGGATGGGTCCTTACTGCGCCTGCTCGGCATGCCTTGAATGAGCCCATTACCTCCGATCGACACACCTGCCGCCGCCTCCAGTTCAGCATCAGCCTGGAGATCTGGTATATCACTCAAGCTGGCTACTCGCGCATTGAGGTCCCCCAAAATGAGGATTTCATCGCATGGACGCACATATCTTCGCAACAAGGCACGGAGTCGACCAAAAACACGATCCACGGTGTCAGTACGCCTTCTACCCGCATGGTCATTGTACTGAACAGAACCTTGGGGTGCTGCATAACAGGCTGCTATCAGCAAACTACGCCCCCCCATATTAAGAGCATGCCCTTTCACCCTTAACCAGATACTCTCCATGCCCTTAGGAACCTTAGACACACCAAGGAGCTGCACATCCCTAGCTAACATACGATTTACCCAGACAGCTACCCCACCTCTGTTGGGCGTGCCATCTACTGTGAACAGGAGCGTACCCGACGGTAGCATCTCCTTCACTACCGTATCTCCCACTAAATGCGTTTCCGTAATCACCACAATGTCATAACTACCCGCTATACCCCGTAACTCATTGTTATCAAGTTTCCAGTCCTTAAGCCCGCGAATATTCCATTGTACTACTTTCAACGCACCAGCCCTCTGGCTCGGACTCCTCTAGGTGTCCTCCATGGTGTCCGCTCCTGCCGGGGCCCCGTAGGGCCCGGTGTAGGGCACCAATCTCCCATCTGCTCCCACTATCTTGATCTCCGCTCCGCGGTCCCAGCGGGGCTGTTTGCCCTCGGCCTTGAGGCGCGCGTACGTGGACTGGCGTCTCGTCTTCGCGTCCACCCCGGCCTTGGTCAGGCAGTCCTGGACGTTGATGCCGTAGCGCTCCCGGAGTGGCTTGCCCAGTGCCGCCGCGACCGTCTTGCGTGCGTCCTCGTGCACCAGCAGGTCTACCCGCGTCATGGGTGCCTGCTGCCGGCCACCCTGCGCCGGGGCTGCGGCAGCCGCGGCATCTGCTGCGGCGCCTCTCGCTCCCAGCTTCGGCGGCACGGTGATGAGCTGCACTCCGATGACATCGTGCGGGCGTACCTCCTTGAGGATGCTGGGAACAATGGTGTGCAGTTCCGACACGTGCTGTGGCGGCACACGCAGGATCAGCTTGCGGGGCTGCACGTACTGCTTGGTGCTGCTTGCTTCCACCGCCTCCAGCCTCCCCTCCAGGGTATCCATTCGCGACTGCACCTTGGCCAGACCAGTGCACATCTCATCATGCCTAGTCTCGATCTTCTCAAGCCGCTTGTCCAGCCGGTTCTCTAAGTTTTGAATCGCCGCCATGAGATCAGAGAGGCTCGGCTGCGGGTTGCTGCCCGCAGGCCCCGATCCATTGCGGCTGCCGGACATTCCAGCCGCCGCCGCTTCTATCGCGTCTCTGGCTTCTTTAGCTCTTTCAACTAGTTGTGGAAGTGTTATTGTCTTAAAACGTGCTGTTTTGGGTGCACTAGAGCTAGGCGTCCCTGAAGCGTGTCGCTTTCTTAGATGCATGCCTCATCTCTAACATTTAACAGCATTCAGCGGTCAGAACGTGGACATGGACTGATAAGAGTGCCTTGTAGTTCATGCTTCTTATGCTTAGTGTTTATATAGTGTTTATATAGTGTATAATCCCATTCTTGTTCCATGCACCCCAATCTTTGTTCGGTGCCGTATTCCCGTACACAACGCTAGCACGCAACGCTTTCTTCCATCAACTAACCACGCTCCGTAAGACCGTAACACACGCTTAGCCAATTCAGCCCAGGCACGCCTTTTGCGTCTCATCCACGGTGGTGACCCCCGCCAGGAACTTGTCCACCTCACCCTTGTAGGTGGGTTCGTTCAGGCACTCGTAGTACTGGGCAAAGGGCAGCAGCTGCGGGCGGCACGAGGGTGCAACAGGGGTTACGTTCGGATAAGGAAATGCCGAAGCCAAAGCGGGTGTATGAATGATTGGAGCAGCAAGCAGAGCAAGAGCACTTTGCAAGAACATGTAGGATGTAGCATACATCACCTACACCAGTTGGGTTGGCTTACCTGCCCGTCCACCTGCCTGCCCAACTGCCTGCCCAACGCCCCATCTGCTGGTTAACTCACCTTACGGCAGCATTCAGCAGTGATCGGCTTCTTAGCGGCACACGACTTGAACGCCTGGATGTCCGGGTTGGTGGGAAGCGCGGTCCTGGCCTGCTCGCACTTGGCGGTGTCCACGGCTGCAGAGGGAAACACACGGGGGCGACGCGGGACGGCACATGGGTGTGTTGTATGCATTACACAGCGTTCTTAGGCCAGCAGGCACCCCCAGTGACCCATGGGTCAGCTTGCATGCGGGCACCATGTCTTTAGCAGCTTCTTCCTGACACACGTGCCATGTGAGATGTGAGGGATACCCTGCTGCTGCCTTCTATATAGCCTCTGCATGAAGACGGTTTCCATCTTTCATTGCCTGATGGGCTAACGGTGCTGGATACAAGACCTACCCGAAGCAGTCTCAAATGCAAAGGCCATCACCAGCAGCACGGCGAAAGCGCCGGCGACAGCCACCGAGCGGCGAGCCATGGTAAGGTTTGAAAGGCAACACGTTTGAGGGAAATTATCCTGATCTTAAACCACTTCTTATTTGGCGGTCGGAACTTGGAATTGCTGTGCTGGATTGAAGGTGGAAAGGGTGTTTATATGCGGTGATCAGCAGTGGTCAACGGTGATCAACTAACGATCCGGAAGTCGGCCGAAGGTCCATTAATTTGACAACCCCGCCCTACGCATCGGAACCTTGGAACCAATAGGTGCACGCGAACCTTGTGACTCACTTCGCAATCGCTAAGCTACGATGATCAAGCGTTACGCCCGCTGGATTCTGTAGGGAAGCCGAACCCTTCAGCTGCTGCCCCAGAGTGCATGATGCGGTCGATCGATCGATAATCTGCATCTAGCTGCTGCTAGAGTTGTGGGTCGGCTACCTGCCATGGGGGGATACTTGGCACGTGGTGGCGGTTAACGGCCATTCCGCTCTAAGTCTACTTCAGTGCTGTAAAAGGAGCTGGATTACGTTGAGACAGGAGGAGCAGTCAATTGCGACCATGCGAGCATGTGCGCATTAAGCACCCATCGGCCGTCTCATCACAGGTGCATTACTGTTTGCGGCTAAGCTCCGAGCTGTGCAAGGGAAATTCCAAGGTTCACTGCACGTTCACAAGTAGTAATGCTTGATACTACACCGTCCACACGGCGTCTGTGGCCTATCCGTGGATGGTGCGTTTGTGTTCCGCGCTGCAAGCAAGCAAGCTGCTG